TCTGGTCGTAAGGTGACGACGTCAGGGGTATTTGTAATTTGCATTTTTTGATTTGAATAAACCCAGCGGCACGGCCCTGACCGCGAATGTTAACGCGGAGAAATTTCCAGCGAAATAAATCGCCTCCGCCCCCGCCCCCGGCGGCGTCGGTAATCAGTCGCTACAGGAATTTCCGCGTCTGTTGTTATTGTTTAACCGGGTTAAAGGTGGAGACGGCCGTCTCTACTACTCAAACTTACCGTATCGATCAAACGCGAAATGGGAAACGACAAACTGCGGACCGATTTGGTGGTAAAAAATGAATTATATGTTACACCTCTTCTATGAAATCAATATACGTAGTCCCCCTTCTAGTCGCTAGGTGGCACCACAGCTTTAAAGCAGAGCCAAAAAACTGTGGAATAACTTACCATGGACGGTATATTCGCCATCTATGGTCTTAACCTCATTCCTCTTTTTGTGCTTTGGTGGCACATGTTCATTTTTATTCGGCGTCGGTGTTTTCAGCTTTTTTCAGCGTTTTTGGAAGTTAAATGGAGAAGTACAAGTGAGATTTACGTTATTCCTTATCGGATGAAGAAAGAACCTACCTACGACGAAAGATTAAATCTTTCCATCCGCGATTACATAATCGCTAGTGGCGTGGTTCCCATCAACGAGATTTTCTTACAATTGGGAGACGATTTCTTCATCGTCCGGGTTCCGATCGGAATCCCCAGAACTCGAAAGACCCCCCATCTTTCCCACTTATACGACGGCAGTCGTATGTAAGTGTTTCACAATTGGAAGCAATCCTTTTGTGAGGGGGTCGGCCATACATATGGTTTTATATTTTTTCGACATCGAAAAAATAGAGTTTTCTGGCTCGTCCGGCTATGGATGAGGCGCCCGGGATACTGGGACATAATGAACAATTTTTTATGGCTGTTGGAATGCATTTACTCCATCGTAAGTATATTTTTTAGGCCCTTCAATTAATTCTGATGTCATTGTTGAGCCCCTTGAGACGGATTTAAAGCAAAATGGCCTTTAAGCTATGGGGTCGATAGTCCCAACACAAAGTTTGATGTGTCATGACATTTTGGCAAGTCAGATTAATACCTTTTTGAAATCCGGTGTGTCCGAAGATTGTCTCAGTGACCTTTTGCGTTGATATCCTGTGCCGAAGAATTGCCGCTCAATAACTCTCCTAAATTGAATGTGCAGATGAAATCTGCCATCAACAAAGGTGGAAAGAAAAGGGATGAGAGACTGACTGCAACAAGGGGTGCTTTGATGGTGGTTGGTAGGACGCTCTTGACCTTGCTTTTGAAACCGGTTAAGGATGAGTAGTACTTACTTCTCATCGAAATGTTGAGTAATGCAATATTTGTTTTAAGCAAAATACACCATTTAGGTTCAGTATATAGAAGTTCAGCCGCGTTAAGCCTTTCGCTGCATGTATGAAGGAAGTGCTCGTTGATGCTTCTTTGCACTCTTGTTTATATGGAGAAGATTTGGCTGATAGGCTCAAATCAATCAGATTAGCTGCAGATTAGTGGCCGAGTTAAAGTCAGGTGCATCCGGAACAAGGCTTTTATAGCATACAAATTTAAACTCGACCGTCCCACTTCGTTCCCGGAAGTTGCAAGGCTGAAGTGGGTGAAAGTCATTGTACCCTCAAAAGAGGGAATACAGGAAGGTTCGAGAGGAAAGGGGGTGGAGTTGTGTCCCCAGGAAAAAATAGTAAGTACTTTTGTTGAAAGATTGCACGAGTTTCGGGACATTTGGAACTCTAGAACTCAAGATGCACAGATTCTACCTTGGTTAGATGGATATAAAATTCCATTTGCGAGGCCAGTTATACAGGACTTGATTACGACAGATCCTGTTTGGTCCCAACAAGAAAAAGATTCAATTTGTAATGTGGTCAAACACCTGTTAGAGATAAGTGCAATTGCAGTTTGCGAACCTTGCAAGAATCAATTTATTTTACAGATCTTTTTGGTTTCAAAATTGGATGGTTCGGTTTGATTAGTTTTAAATTTAAAGAAACTGAATGCTTTTATTGACACTTGTCATTTTAAACTGGAAGACAGAAAATTAGTAGAAACACTCTTCACAAGGAAGTCCTTTATGACCACTCTGGACTTGAAAGAAGCTTACTTTCTAGTCCCAATAATTGAAAATCAAAAGAATTTTCTAAGATTTTATTTTGATGCTCTCTGTTATCAGTTTAACGTGTTACCCTTTGGTTTATGCACCGCCCCGTGGGCCTTTACAGAATTAATGAAATCTGTGGTTTCTTATCTCCCTGCCAAGGCTTTTCCCTCAATAGTTTATTTAGATAACTTTACTATTTGGTGATAGTTAGCTATCCTTAAAAAATGTTCCAGTAACTTGCAACACACTGATTAGGTTGGGTTATGTTATTAATTATAAGAATGTTTTACATCCTTCGAAATCCCGTAAATTTTTAGGTTTTGTTTTTTTGAATCCCACCACTTGTTTTTTCTGATGAGTAAGTAAGTTTTGCAATTTGAACCGTTGCGAAATAAGAGTCTTTGCCGAGCTTTGTGCTGTGCTAGTTTTCAGTTTGCCCAGCAGTTTGTTACAGTTGGGTATATACTAAGAATTTTTGAGAGAATCAAATATCTAGCCCTTCAAGACTCTGTCGATAATTATGATATTTGGATGATAATTCCTTGTAATTTACGGAGGGATTTTATGTGATGGCTAAAAAGTTTACAGAATCCTGAATGCCCTGTAAGGCAGCAATGTTACAAACTTGAGATTTTCTCAGATGGTACTCCTTTGGGTTGGGGAATTGTGCCAGAGAACTTTGGAGTCCTAGGGAAGCTCAGCTTCATATTAATGCACTAGAATTAACTGCGGCCTCATTTGGTCTCTAATGCTTCGCCTCGTATTTGACTAACTGCGAGACACTTTTGAGGATTGATAACACAACTGCTATTTTGTATGTAAATAGAATAGGGTGAGTAAAATTTCCTGTTTTAAACGAAATTTCGAGGCGCCTTGGGGTTGGTGTGAAGAAAGGAGGTTATGGGTTAAAGCATCTTACATTCGATCTTCCGATAATTTTGAAGCGCATAAGGAACCCACGAATTTGAATTTTGATGGTGAATGGTACCTTTCGGACAATGCTTTTGCTAAAATAACAAGCAAATTTGGATTCCCATAAATCGAACTGTTTGCTTCTCGCCTAAGTAAGAAATGCGGAAAGTTTATTTCCTAATTTCCAGATCCGGAGGCATCTAATGAAGACTCGTTTACTGTTTTTTGGAGCGACAGTTTCTTCTATGTTTTCCCCCCGTTTTGCTTGTTGCCACTTGTTTTACGAAAAATCAAGGCTGATTGAGCTACAGGGATCGCAGTAATCCCTTACGGGCACAGCCAGCATTGGTTTGCTTTTTTTTTATGGGAGGCGTTGTAGTTATTTATTGTTTCTAATTCCAGACAAATTACCTTCTTCTTTTGACAGGAGAGGTCACCCTTTGTGGAAATCCCTTACCCTGGCTGCAGGGATTTTGTCAGGCAAGCATTCCAGAAGATTTGCTGGATATTTTTCTATCATCTGTTCAGAGCGCTACCTTGAGGCATTTAATACCTGCATGCATTTAAACTTTGGTGGAGCTTCTACGAAAGGAGGGGAGTGGAGTGTTATTACTTCTCACCTAGGCTGTATTGGATTTCCTTACTATTCATTTTAGACAAGGCAAGTCCTATGGCTCATTGAGTTCTTTCAGTGCAGCACGGCCTTATTTTTGGATCAGGTTTATTTAACAATGCAAATCTAACTAGGTTTTTTAAGGTGTTTATAATCTAAGGCCAAGTAAACCAAGATATAACAGCACTTGGGGCCCTAGTTATGTCCCTGACTTTGTAAAAGGGTTACGTTCTAATGACTTGTCATTAAAGCAATTAACTGTCATTAAAACAATTAAATTAGTTTCTCCTACTGAAGTTAACGATTGTACATAGAGTCCAAACGCTCTCTCTTATAGAATTGGTCAACATAAAATCATTTCCAGATGGATTAGAAATTAGAATAACGAATCAAATTAAGATTTCAGCTATAAATAAGACTCGACCTGTTTTTTAATTTTGCATAAATATGAAGATGTAAATCTTTGTGTGGTTTCAAATATATTATTGAGAGGGCCAGTGCTTTAAGAGGCAGTGAATCTCGTTTACTCATTACATTTAAAAAGCCTTGTAGGGCAGCAACTATACCCAACAAAAGTAGATGAATAAAGATAACTTTAGAAGATAGTGGTGTCTACACTTTTATTTTTACTGTTCACAGAACTCGACATGCCTCAACATCGTCTGCGTTTTGTAAAGGTGTTTCAATTGATATGATTGGAAAAACGGCAGATTATTGAGAATGCTCTAAATGTTTTCCCCTTTTATATAATAGACCTATTTGTACAGCAAGTGCAGGCCTTTTTGTTAATGCCACATTTGGGACATAGAATTTTTCAGAAGGTTTGTTTTCTCGGATAGCCATTTATTTTGTATTTGTACTCGAGGCTTTCATAAACTTTCTGGATTTCCTTATATAGCCGAATAAAATCGTTTTATAACAAATTTGCTGAGTTGCCTTTGAAAGTCTACGTATATTGATTTCATAGAAGAGGTGTAACATATAATTCAATGATCAAACGAACTTACCTGGTAAGTGAAGTTCGATCGTAATTATATGTTACACCTCTTCGTAGAAATCACCCATTCCCGCCCAATTTACTGTTCTGAACAGTACTAAAATGCCCTTTGGCAAATTTATTATAAACGGGCTTTAAAATAGAATGAGGTTAAGACCATAGATGGCGAATATACCGTCCATGGTAAGTTATTCCACAGTTTTTTGGCTCTGCTTTAAAGCTGTGGTGCCACCTAGCGACTAGAAGGGGGACTACGTATATTGATTTCTACGAAGAGGTGTAACATATAATTACGATCGAACTTCACTTACCAGGTAAGTTCGTTTGATCATTGAAATTTTGTACGACACGGTGACGAAAACGTGGGGGTGGGTTCTCGAACTGTGCGAATTTTGCAGGAAGGAGCAGGCGGTCTTGGAGGAGAGGGCGAGAAACGGGTGGAAACGCAAGTGGGGGTTTTATTTAGAGTTCGACCAGGTAAGGTTATAATTCGATACCCCGACCGCCTGATAATGCTTAGTTCAGGGTGTGCGGGACCACAACGAAAATCACACCCAGTAGGGATAGTCCTAAATAGTGTGAAAAACCACGCCCACGTGGGGCCGTCTTGGCTTAGTGGGCGCGCAATGCGTATGAGTCCGCGCTTATAGACGTGGTCTACGTTCTGGTCCCGCCCCTTTTGGGCGTGGTTAGTTTGCGCCCGCATTTTTGTCTATTTGCTTCGCCCTTTTGGGACGTTTGATCACGCCCTTTTAAGTTGTAACAAAATTAATTTCGTCACACGGTTAGTCAATTATAAAATTTTCGGTTCATCGATATTCAAAATCCGCAACCTCCCTTTCCTTTCCTGATTTCTCCGAAGAAGGTTCAACCAGCAATATATATATATATATATATATATATATATATATATATATATATATATATATATATATATATATATATATATATATATATATATATATATATATATGATGACACTATATTCCGGGATATCATCCGTTCGCTCGTTGAACTCCGACTGGAATCCTGCATCCGACTGGAATCCTGCAAATCCTGCATCCGACTGGAATCCCGCAGACGTTTCGCCAAAATCTCACTTGGCATCTTCAATGCTCGCGCTCCGAAAACACTTCGAACACTCGGAGCGCGGGCATTGAAGATGCCAAGTGAGATTTTGGCGAAACGTCTGCGGGATTCCAGTCGGATGCAGGATTTGCAGGATTCCAGTCGGATGCAGGATTCCAGTCGGAGTTCAACGAGCGAACGGATGATATCCCGGAATATAGTGTCATCACATTTTTCCATCCGTGAATCAATACGTGAGAATATATATATATATATATATATATATATATATATATATATATATATATATATATATATATATATATATATATATATATATATATATATATATATATATATATATGTATATAGAATTATTGTGTGTTAAACGAAAATCAGGCACCTGAACGTGCCTTTTGCTTTTAATTTATGGGCAGAAACCTCTGGTACGGTTTTCGGTAGCTATTTTCATCCACTATATGCCGCAATCACTTTTTACTGTCCGTCCTTTTTTTTACAATGCGAGTACGGGATTGCTAGTCGATATCACGTCACCTTGGTGGCCCTGTGAAAGCTCCAATTGTTTTTGACACTTTTGAAATTTGACCTTTAACTGTTATTACCTTTGTTATTATTTTTATTATTATTATTTCTTCTTCCCTCTTACTTTTTCATTAATAAAAACTTTCATCGCATTTGAAAGTTGGGTTAATCATACTTCTCTTTGATTTAATAATTTTCGCAGTTGGCCAAAATTCAAAATTGAGGATATTACTGTAAATCTTGTTAGCTTTTAAGATTGCAATTTGTAAGCAGGGGGGAGGGTAAGATGTTTACGTCCCGACGACACGGGACTCGTTAAGATTTCCAGGAAAAATTCGACGTAGTTGCCGCGGTTACGCGAACGTCTCGTTTGTTGCAGATTTGCGTCGAGGAGGCCCGAAACGCGGGCTTAACCGGCGACGAGTACAAAAGACGGACGAGGAGCCAAAACAAACAAGCGGAGGAAACGGGAGGCGGAGATTTCGGACCTGCCTGTGATCGATGTCCCCGCACCACTGCGGGTAAGTCGTCTCAATTCTTCCTCTTAATTCCGCTAATCTCCCAGCCCCCCACTCCACCCGTTTTCCAGGTTTCATAGGATGGCGAGCAAAACAAAAGGACGCCCTGGAAAAGTTCGGTCCGCTGTACGTTAGCCCTAAGGCTACCATGCGTCCCATGCAATCGTACTCTTGCATTATACTCGGCTAGTTCAAATAAATAGTAACGCCCGGTGGTGGTCGTTCATTTGAACTACTTCGGTCAGAAGGCTTTGGAATCGATTGGGATTGGTCTCTTATTGGCTTAATTGTCAGGACCTCTCCTAATATCGTGATAGAGCCAGGAGTATTTAAGATTGAGGGCATCTCTGATCATCTTATGATATACTTAAAACATTTTATATTTGATTTAAACAATATTAATTAGGATGAAAGTTGAAACATAAAGCACTGTCTTAATATAAGAGACCGAAAACCGAACAATACTGGCTTGAATACAAGGAGTCGAGAAATCTTGCAAATATGGCTGTTAAGTGAGAGAAACAGGCTTTTTTACAACACAAGTTCATTGATGCATAAATGGTTTTACAAGCTGCGTATTCTTTACTATAATAAATATATTGTGGATATAGCAATTAAATTAAAATTTACCGATTCCTTAATTCTGCCCTGCTTCAGAAGGACAAGGTTAGTCTTCTGCGTCTTCAGAATACTTGTCTCAGATTCTCATACACCATTCGTAAATTTGATCACAAATCTAGGCTAGAGGATTCTCGCTGGCTAACATTACGAATGTTCCGCAGCTTTTAGTCTTAATTAAAAAAGTAATATCTCTCCAACGTCCGACATATATTTTGATAAACTGGTGGATCAGATATTCATTCGGTTAATACTAGCCCTAGAGGGCTGTTAAACAACACATTTTTTAACAATACATTTATCATAACAGAGACCGATCATAAAACTAGTAACTATCAAATTGTATATACGTATAGTGTTAATTAATTTTTTTATCTCTTTTTTCACTCTAGCAGTGTTAAAATTATTAAAAATGTTTTTTCACAATCTAACTCTTATCACTTTGATTGAGTGTACCACAGTTACATATTTTGCAAGACATCTCCTTCAAAATCAAATAGAGGCCCTTCATTATTATTCTTAATTTGAACTACTGCGGCTAACAGTACTGAACTCGAATCAGCGCGGCGGTTCATTTGAACTACCCTGATTGTTCGGTTCCCCAATTGATTTTCTGCTTCTTCGAGTAGATGGTTCGTTCGAACTAAATCAATTGCATGGTTTCTCACTCGATTTTCATTGGAATTACCGCCATTAAACTGTTTATTTGAACTACCTAATAGAACTAAATATTTAACCGGGCAATTCATTTGTACTAACTACCCTGATAGTACGATTTCTCTTTCGATTGAATGGTTGTCGTTCCTTGGTCATTCTCGGTTCTCCGGACGCACTTAATATAGGACACTCCAATCATCTTTACTTATAGAAGTGGTGAACTCCCGTTCTTTACGCCTACAGTTATATGACTTATTCCACTAATCGATCGACGCTAATAACCTACTTACAAAATATTATTTTGAAATACTAATTAATGTCGCTTAATATACAAAAAATTAAAACCTAAAACAAAATATACGTTCATGCAAAAGCTGCCACATTGGTTTTTAAAAATATTAAATATTGGTGTAGTTAGTCGACACGACAGTAAGGACACTTATGAGAGTAGCGAGGCACCAACACAATGGTATACAAAACTATTGCGAGGAAAAGCGGAATAGTATTACCGACAGTCTTTAAGTTCCTTCTTAGGCTAGTGCGGCTAACCTAGTAAGAAAAGAACTCTGCCCATAGTTAATACGATGGAACTCCACCTGGAAGGGGCGGTTTATTCTGGTCTGGCGGGGGGGAACGTGGTGTCCCTTTTATGTTATACGTAAAATGTATGGTGTTTCTGCTCCGGTAGAAGTTTTGTTGGCATTTATTAATATTTAGTTCCATTCCATTCAAATCGCTCCATAGCAATAGGTGATCTGAATCGGACTGGAGTTTAATACAGTCATCGGAATTATAGACTCTCATAGAATTTTAAGTCGTAATAGGAAACATGCGTGATGAAAACACGAGGCAATATCATTCACATAGACAAGAGAAGGGGTCCCAGGTGCGATCTTTGTGGAAGCTCCGGACGCGCACTATCTGCACTCTATCAGTAAGGTGCGATATTAACCAGTCCAAAGGTTTCCCCTGGAGTCCAATGTTTCGCATTGTTTTTATTAAGATTTGATGATTTGTGAACGTGAGCAAGTTTAGCTCAGTGGAGCGATGGGAGAGAAATCCAAATTGTTGGTCGATGAAGCAACCTTTAAGGCCAACAGATAAATAGTCGCAAACTAAACTTTCGAATACTTTAGGAATGCAACTCAGGATATTGATGGGCCTATAATTGTTCACTTGCGAGTTATCGCCGGATTTTAAGATAGGGGTAATGAAGCTTGATTTCCAGCAATTTGGAAAAGTTCCCGTTTTTAAAGAATGGTTAAAGATTATATAAGGTGGTCTGGAAAGTATGAAGCTGCATTGCTTGCATCGGGACCGGATCCGTTGTTCTTGTCTAGAGTCGACAGTTTCTCGTAAATGGATGAAATCGAAATGTTCAAGTGTGAGAGGTTGACATCTCCAGAAGGTAGTACATCTTCAGAGACACGTCGCCAAAGTGCACAACCGATGGAATAAAGTTTCGTTCCTTTTTACCGTTGACGCACTTCCAAAAATTCTTAACGTTTTCTCTTAAGGGCGATTCAGTCAGAGATATATATTCCTGGTAACACTGCACCTTTAAAAATTTGCATTCAGCTCTTAAGTCTGAAAATCTCTTATAGTCTGCATATAACCCGGTCCCAAGATATCGTTTGTGTGATATCTTCTTCTCAATTATTGTGTCTTTAAGCTCAGAGGAAAACCAAACTGGAAACTTCTTTAAGGGAACGTGAATATCGATGGCTAAATAAACTATATCGTAGAACAGATTGACCATATCCTCAAGAGTTCTGTTAGCAAATAACGTATCCCATTCGAGCTGCGACAAAAACTCAGTCACTGCACCCAAGTCCATAGACTTAAAATCTCTATAATAGCCGTCACCCCTTAGACCAGAATTGTTGAAAGGTATTGAATCACCTTGCAAGGAAAAAGAGAGTGGTGAGTGATACAAGTCTATAGGCAGCAAAGCACTGTCCGCCTCAACCATTAAAATTCCGCCATCCTGTGCGAACACTAGGTCCAGAAGGTTGTCGTTAACGTTCCTGACTGACTTTATCTGGAAGAGGTTGTGGTAGGATCATAGGTAAGATAGTATGTTATGTAGTTATGCCGTAAAAATGTATATTATATATATATATATATATATATATATATATATATATATATATATATATATATATATATATATATATATATATATATATATATATATATATATATATATATATATATATATATATATATATATATATATATATATATATATATATATATCAATACGTGAGAATATATATATATATATATATATATATATATATATATATATATATATATTCTCACGTATTGATTCACGGATGGAAAAATGTGATGACACTATATTCCGGGATATCATCCGTTCGCTCGTTGAACTCCGACTGGAATCCTGCATCCGACTGGAATCCTGCAAATCTTGCATCCGACTGGAATCCTGCAGACGAAGTGTTCGAAGTGTTTTCGGAGCGCGAGCATTGAAGATGCCAAGTGAGATTTTGGCGAAACGTCTGCAGGATTCCAGTCGGATGCAAGATTTGCAGGATTCCAGTCGGATGCAAGATTTGCAGGATTCCAGTCGGATGCAGGATTCCAGTCGGAGTTCAACGAGCGAACGGATGATATCCCGGAATATAGTGTCATCATATATATATATATATATATATATATATATATATATATATATATATATATATATATATATATATATATATATATATATATATATATATATATATATATATATATATATATATATATATATATATATATATATATATATATATATATATATATATATATATATATATATATATATATATATATATATATATATATATATATATATATATATATATAAAATAAAACATAAAATAAAATATACGTCAATACAATATACACCTTCCCCCTCAAAAACGATAAAAAATGTTTTTTTTTTACTTATACTCACAAAACGAGATAAACTAAAACTAACCTACCCATTTATCAAGTAACTATCGTTATGTATTTCTAATCGCGTTGTCGCCACCCCCGCCACCGTTTTCCAAGTGACTCGGTTCCAGGTGATCGAGTACAGCGTGAAGAAGAAGCAGCTGACGCGCTTCTCGCTGCGTTTGGCGGAAGACGTGCCCCAGTGGCGCGCGAGGGGCGGGGCCGTCCGGAACATCACTTTCGATCCGAGGAAGAAGAACGTCTTGCTGCTCCACGACGAGGCCAACATCGCCGTGGCGAACAAGGAGAGGGTAGGCGGTAGTTCAAATGACCCGTCCTCGTTAATCGCATTAGCCGCGGCGCGTCATTATTCAATTTCGGCGTCGAGGCGGTGACGTTCCATTGTTCGCGCCATTGTTACCGATCCCCCTCCCCTTCTCCCGCCCGCTCTAATTATTTCGTTACGTTAACGGGACGGGTGGTTATTAATAGTCGCTCTTTACATCAGAAGCGGGATGTGTATCGCGCGATACGTCCCGCTTCTGATGTTTCGCGAAATGATCGTCCCGGGTTTGCGGTCAATACCGTCCGGGGGGCGGGGGCGGTGGGATTTGGCCGCCGCCGCCGCCTAATTCCGGGAATTTCTCCCGGGCGCCGCCGGTATTGTGTTCACGTCCCGCGGACACGGTCCACTATAAATTAAGAATTAATCCGGGAGACGCGCGCCCGGCTATTTTAATTAAACCGGAGTCGGCGGCCCGGCATATTGACGAGCGTTGTTTTTTTTTTGGCGCGGGTGCAGAGGACGCCCTCCGAGGACGCCGAGCCGAGCCCGAAAAAGGCGTCGAACCGGAACCAGGGCGCCGAGCCCGACGTCAGGGTAGTTCAAAAGTACAAGGTAGGTAGTAAGCGCGTTTTTCGACCGGATCCGACGTCGACGGGTTTTTCCAGCATCTGGTTCACCTGGAGCGTGTCGTCGACGAGCAGTACCTGGCGGTGGAGGTGAATCCGCTCGCCATATTGGAGAAACTTCCGCCCGCGTTCGCGCAGAAGACTTTCGGAACCAAATAAAATGATTTTTTAGACTTTACGGTTGTTTCATTCAATTCTCATAAACACCTCGTATCGTGTACTCGGGTCCAGTATTGGTGTTTTTCTTACAATAAATAGTTCAGTACACACGTCAACAAACCGGATGAATTGTCTTCGAAAAACATTGCAAAATTCCCTCGGATTGATGGTTACCCACAAGAGAGAAATTTGAAAAATTTCGAAAAACCTCGAGAAAGAAAATTTTGATAAAATTTGTAACCCTTATACGTACAAAAAAAGGTTAGTAACGAATGATGCAAATTAGATGCTTTGTTTAAAGGTCCATACAAAGTTTTAGACGTAAAAACCACTAATTTAATTTTGGAAATTGATGATACGCAGGTAGAAATACATAACGATAGTTACTTGATAAATGGGTAGGTTAGTTTTAGTTTATCTCGTTTTGTGAGTATAAGTAAAAAAAAAACATTTTTTATCGTTTTTGAGGGGGAAGGTGTATATTGTATTGACGTATATTTTATTTTATGTTTTATTTTATATATATATATATATATATATATATATATATATATATATATATATATATATATATATATATATATATATATATATATATATATATATATATATATATATATATATATATATATATATATATATATAAAATAAAACATAAAATAAAATATACGTCAATACAATATACACCTTCCCCCTCAAAAACGATAAAAAATGTTTTTTTTTTACTTATACTCACAAAACGAGATAAACTAAAACTAACCTACCCATTTATCAAGTAACTATCGTTATGTATTTCTACCTGCGTATCATCAATTTCCAAAATTAAATTAGTGGTTTTTACGTCTAAAACTTTGTATGGACCTTTAAACAAAGCATCTAATTTGCATCATTCGTTACTAACCTTTTTTTGTACGTATAAGGGTTACAAATTTTATCAAAATTTTCTTTCTCGAGGTTTTTCGAAATTTTTCAAATTTCTCTCTTGTGGGTAACCATCAATCCGAGGGAATTTTGCAATGTTTTTCGAAGACAATTCATCCGGTTTGTTGACGTGTGTACTGAACTATTTATTGTAAGAAAAACACCAATACTGGACCCGAGTACACGATACGAGGTGTTTATGAGAATTGAATGAAACAACCGTAAAGTCTAAAAAATCATTTTATTTGGTTCCGAAAGTCTTCTGCGCGAACGCGGGCGGAAGTTTCTCCAATATGGCGAGCGGATTCACCTCCACCGCCAGGTACTGCTCGTCGACGACACGCTCCAGGTGAACCAGATGCTGGAAAAACCCGTCGACGTCGGATCCGGTCGAAAAACGCGCTTACTACCTACCTTGTACTTTTGAACTACCCTGACGTCGGGCTCGGCGCCCTGGTTCCGGTTCGACGCCTTTTTCGGGCTCGGCTCGGCGTCCTCGGAGGGCGTCCTCTGCACCCGCGCCAAAAAAAAAACAACGCTCGTCAATATGCCGGGCCGCCGACTCCGGTTTAATTAAAATAGCCGGGCGCGCGTCTCCCGGATTAATTCTTAATTTATAGTGGACCGTGTCCGCGGGACGTGAACACAATACCGGCGGCGCCCGGGAGAAATTCCCGGAATTAGGCGGCGGCGGCGGCCAAATCCCACCGCCCCCGCCCCCCGGACGGTATTGACCGCAAACCCGGGACGATCATTTCGCGAAACATCAGAAGCGGGACGTATCGCGCGATACACATCCCGCTTCTGATGTAAAGAGCGACTATTAATAACCACCCGTCCCGTTAACGTAACGAAATAATTAGAGCGGGCGGGAGAAGGGGAGGGGGATCGGTAACAATGGCGCGAACAATGGAACGTCACCGCCTCGACGCCGAAATTGAATAATGACGCGCCGCGGCTAATGCGATTAACGAGGACGGGTCATTTGAACTACCGCCTACCCTCTCCTTGTTCGCCACGGCGATGTTGGCCTCGTCGTGGAGCAGCAAGACGTTCTTCTTCCTCGGATCGAAAGTGATGTTCCGGACGGCCCCGCCCCTCGCGCGCCACTGGGGCACGTCTTCCGCCAAACGCAGCGAGAAGCGCGTCAGCTGCTTCTTCTTCACGCTGTACTCGATCACCTGGAACCGAGTCACTTGGAAAACGGTGGCGGGGTGGCGACAACGCGATTATCGCACCTTGCCGTCGGCGTAGGCGACCACCAGGTTCAGGGTGACCGGGTGGACGGCCAGGGCGGTGGGCGGAACTTCGTACCGCGGCAACCGCGAGTAATTCCGCCACTCGCGGTTCCTTTTCGTCCAAATCGTCACGTTGCCGCCGCCGTCCGCGGCCACCAGGTATTTACCGCAACTCGAGGCGCCCAAAAACGTCACAGTGTCGGACAATTCTAAAAAAAGGGCGCCTCTGCATGTAGTGAGCGCCAACAGCGCCACCTGTAGGCGGGTAGCAGAAACTTACCGTCCCTGTGATCTATGGTCTGCGCGAGCGACACCTCTTCGTCTGTCAAATCGTATACGGCAAGCGTGCCGACGCTTAGGGCGCAAACCAGCTGCTCGCCGACGAAAACGGCCTGCACGCAGGGATCCTCGCCTCCCTTCAGGTCGTCCATTTTGATCAGTTCTGGTACGCCGTCCTCCTGAAACCGACTCGTACTGAACTCGTCCTCCATATGAGTTCCGTCTCCACTAACCACGCTAAAGCGGTACAATCTAAAGCCCAAATGTGTGCTGACGAGTATCCACCGACCATCGTCGGATATGGCGCAGCAAACCACGCCCTCGCCTTCGTACTCGTCGTTCCAGTTTCGGCCCATCCGCTGCACCGCCACCAACTTTTTGCATTTTGATTTTAATTCCAACAATCCCCGATAGGTGTCGTCCGCGGGCTCGGTCTCGCCCAGCGACCACAGCTCCACACGTGTGGGGTACCTTTAACCGAACGGTAGGTTTACAGAAGTCACACCCGGAGTATCATACCTAAGCAAGATGCGTCGCGCTTGCGACGCTACGTGGACGCACCGACCATAGATTAGGGGCGGGAACTTGATCAAAGTCTTTGGCGGGTGGTAGCTGCATGTCAGATAACTGTCCATCCCGCCTGTATATAGCTTTTTACCCAGGAGGGCCATCGCCCGGACGTCGTGTTCGTGTATCTTCCTGTGCACCGATTTTACCCACTTTGTGACCCCCTCTGCAACACGCCACCTCTAATCTCATCCCCAAACTGCGAAACACCATACCCTTGACGGTGATTTTCATGTAACTCGTAATCAAGGGGTCGACCCCCGCGCAATACAAACAATCCTCGTCCTCCGACAAACACGCGCTTAGTATGTCTGCCTTGTGCGATTGATACTGTTCGATTTGGGCTCCCATTCTGCCGTCCCAGAGCGTCAATATGCCCCTCGAATCGCCGGTGAACACCGTAAAATCACTAGAAATCTCGAGGCACCACACCACCGTCTCTTTTTTGGCTTCCGACCGACCCAACTGCATCTTATGGATCGCGTGGCCCGAGCTCACGTTCCAAACCCTGACGGCGTTCAGGCTGCCCGTCACCAGGAATTCGCCCGAATGGTCGAACCTTATGCACACTATCCGTCCCTCTTGTTTATCGAGAAACCTGTCGAAATCTAAACCGTCTTCGCAAATACCGAACAGGTTTATGTAACCTAGTTCGGTTCCTACCGCCAAAAGAGTATTGGATTTGTTCACGTCCAGGCATGTGGCCGCCTCCCCCGTCACGATCCATTTCGATTTGGACCGCATCCTATACAGGTCGTACTCAAACACGCAGCCGTGCAAACCGACGCTAAATAGGCGGTCGCCTGCCCAACATAAGCCTTCGATGCTGAAATTTTCGAGCGACGGGGGCACGCACTTTTCCATAAACGGGGCGTACTTCAAGTTCCATATTTCGACGCTAGCGTCGGACCTGCAATCACGGCGTAAAGGCGCGCAGACCGGAAACTCGATTTTACCTCGACAGAGCCAATTTTTCGCGTCTCTTGTTTAACGCGAAGCAGTATATCGCTCTCGGCTCGGGCAGGTAGAAGCCCACGTTATGGACCTTGCAGTGAGTCATGGTTTTTATTCCAAATGTGAAATGTTTGAAATTTGCATCGCATAACCTCACACTGCCGCGTGTATCTGCGATCATGCGTAATGGTCTGCGACACGGTAAGCAGATTGGAGGAATCTTCTTCATTTACTTTTGGTGGCCACGACAAAGCAAGCATCGATAGAAATCAGAAGAAGCGCGCAAACACAGTCTTCTTTTCAGTTTGATAGTTTTTGGTCATGTTTCAAAACTCACAATCTATTCAGAGTTCTAACGAAAACTTGTGTCATTTTAGCGTGCAACCGTTATGACGAGAAATGATTTGACGAAGGAGTTTACGATGGATACAAGTGGCTCTCATATTAGTTATTATCAGATTCACCAGTAAGTTGTGTGCGGTGTCTCGTAAAATGTGGGATTTGACGCTTCTTTAGATAGCATGTAGAGTTCGAAAGAGGCCGCTATGACGTGCAATGCTGATCTATGCAATGACGTGCCCAACCAGCGACAGAAGGGTTCCACACGTTCCCCACGGGATCCTCATCCGCCAAAATGTATTCCCAGCTATTGGATTGGAAACGGTTTTTAAATTTTGTTGGTATATTCTTTAACGAGATACCTGGGTAGACCGCGAACCAATAGGTCGACATAGAGTTGTGTCAATCGCGATTGATTCGGTCACTTTGATTTAATCACTTCATAAGATCGAACGAATGAATCCCGCTTGTTCGTAACGATTCGATCACCTTGTTCGCTCTCGCTGCTGCCCTGACCGGTCTGAAGTGACCGAATACAAGACGATGGATCGACCGACTGAATTCGCCGGAATACGATTCATTTGAATGGTTTAAGATTTAAATGCATGACTGAGACAGGTCACGGAAAAGGAATGGAAGTATTTTTATAATTGAGTTGCGACATCGATCTGTAGATTTGCTGATGTGTCGAATCGAATATTGAATGAAATATCTATTTCCACACAGGCATTTAATTTCAACAAATTAATGTATTACTGGTACAACCCAATATGTAGCACCTATTTTGATAAAGTCATGATTCAATAAAAAGCAGAACACAGCTAAATAGTATATTAACTATAACAGGAAACGAAACATATCTGTAGTTCAGACGGTTCGGATTCAGTGACCATTGCCGCTTATGTTGACATCAAAAAGTATTGAAATGAACGATTGATTGAAATGATTTGGTCCTTTTCGAAATGGATCACTGATTGATTCGTTCTTCGTAAAATGAACGATTGACACAACCTTAGCTCGACACAGAAAAGGGAAAGCTGACACGCGAATGTGGTACCATCTGTTATTAATTAATTAAACTAGTTGGTGGAGTGGTGCCATCTGCTGTAAAATTACCGAACTAATTAGTTGGTATGATGATAGCGCCATCTTTGATGAGATTGCGCGACTATTTAGTTGAAGCTTCCACCAATAGATGGCGCGATTGTGGCGCCAACTTTCGAGTGATGGTGGAACTAACTTGTTCGATTAAAGGCGGTTACGCCATTTCTCGTGAAATCCTTGAACCCCAAAACACCAACAGGTGGCACGACGAACTAATTGGTCCTAGCAAATATCGCTAGATGGCGCCACCTCTTGTCGAACAATTAAAACCAATCGTATAATTGCGTAAAGTGCGCTTACATCCTCTTATGGAATTTACCAGGTTAGAGAAAATGAAAAAAAAAAACAACAAAATTTTAACCTTTAATAGAAGAATATATTACACGGAAATACAATATATAAAAGAATATACCGAATTAAACTCCCAACCGGACGTACTCTCGTTCTTACCGGGGGGTCGCTGAAATGGCAAAACTAGGAACCGTTCTTCCCTTTACATAAACAAAAAAAAAAAACGCTTAATTGGACCACATTTTCGCTCGACGACTCTCCGATATGTACAATTTTTTTTGCCGCCCGCGGGGGCGGGTCGTATTTACATTTAAGCGACGCGCGCTCCCTTCCCCACGCCGTCAATGGAACAACAGTTGCGATGGCGGCCCCATGGAGTTCGGCTGCTGCGGCACCGTAACCATGGGCGTCAGAGGCGTCATCATGCCGGCCATCGGTCTCATGCCCTGCAACTGGGAGTTTTTTTTTTGTCTCGACCCGCGACCAGTGGCGGCGGTAAAACTCACCACGGGGGACACTTGGGGATAAACGACCGGGTTAGACGACGGGGTGATCATGCTGCTGAACGGCGAATTGGGTATGGATTGGTTCATGGGCTTGTAATTGGCGCCGGTCGTCGCGGGCATCGGTTGCGGCGTCCAATTGTTCGGTTTCGAACCGTTCTTCGGCGAATTCCACACGCCCCTGCGCAAACAAAACACACGGTCAGCGTCGCGGCGACGCCCTACACCGACACGCCATACTTCAGGGTCTGTTTTCGATCGCTGATGGTCAAATTTTCGGCAAGCGACGCCAGGCTCGACTCCAAGTCGCCGGTCAGCAACCCGTTGCCGTTCTGTTGGGAGTTGTTTTTGCCGACAGAGGGCGCCGCAGCCGCCGTCGCGTTGTTGTTGTTGTTGTTGTTGGTCGACCCGTGGGTATTGGTCGGTTGTAACACGCCGCCGAGGGCGTCGAATGTGCCTACAGCTGCGCGTCGCTACATTAGGCGCCGCCGTTTGTTCGTTAGGCACGTGCAGTGACGTCACCCGCTCGTTAACGGGGCCACCGACGGCGTGTGTTATCGACGGGTGACGTCACGCGCGGTCCGACGACGTGCTGCGTAAAGCCGTGCCGTGAAAATGAACGTATATTACGGACAAGCGACGGACGGAGGGCGGGAGATTCGGGAATCTCTTCGATATACGGGTGCGGGTTGCGGAGGAGGCGGGCGCGCGTACACAAACATCGAATCACCTGCGTCGCGTCGCCTCGCGGAACGCGATCAGGCGTCGTGGTGGCGGTCGCCGGAGCCCCGGTGCCCGAAAAAGTCGAGCACGTCGCGGAAATGGCGGTCTTCGGCGGCGGGCGAGTCCAGGTCGACGAGGGGAACGGTCGTGTCCACGACCAGGAAGGGATTGCGGGACGGGACGGGGTTCTCCTGCGCTGCGTGCGACGGAAATACAAGAACGCTGCTACGGGTTTTCGCGGAGGTCGAGCCAAGGTGGCGCCGCACAGTGAAACGAAACGGACATCGGGCAGTATTTTTTTTGACCATCTTTCGATAATTTTGAGAGGATGGTAAAAAATGTATCTCATTTCAAAAGTAACTCCAGTCAAATTGACTTTTCCAAGGTATATTGTATCCAAAATGACAGATATCAAACCCAACCCTTCATTTTCTGTTCCAAATAGCTAACTTTTCTTATCAATATTGACCAAACACTAGTAGGATCGGCATATTCGGCTTTTATCGCAACGAAACCCTAAACAAACAGGAAGATATCAACTAAAATCCGCACTTCCTAGGTCAAATAGATGCCGATTTCGATTAGATTCAAGTCAGAGCCTGCTTTTTCGCCTCTTATTGTACCAAAATCTGCCTTAAAAATGCAGATATGAACTTAAAAGCCCTGTTTCTAGCTCAATTATTTTTGTTTCTTGATTTTGTGCAGAGTCCAGTCAGAAACGGCTTTTCTGCCCGATATTTTTACGAAAACACTATCAAACTTGCAAATATCAGCCTAAAACATTATTTTCTGGATCAAATATTTGCCAAATATTCCTTGTTCATTTCTAATAGATTCCAAAGAATACTGAATTTTCCAAAGCATACCCCCATTTTCTGTTCCAACTACTTACCTTCCCTTGTCAATACCAATGAAATACTAGTCAAAGTAGGCTTCTTGGCCCTTTATTGTAACGATAACATCAACAAACCAGAGCATTTTGGGTTTGTCGGGATTTACAATAGTATTAATTTTTTTTTAATCTATTACGAAGCAAGAAAAAGCATAATAAACATGTTGGACTGTCTATAAACTCACTCAAAATTTTAGAAAATTATTCATTGGCAAAAAAAAATTATTCGACAAGAAACTATAAACATTTCATAAATCTCGACGCCCTTAGCTTTAAGCGATCGATACTCTCCCACATTTCGGTTTTGGTTGTTACTACCATATTCAGTCTAAAAAATATTTAACCCCATGTCCAACACGTAACATTGTGCGGCATCGATACCGAAAAATGACCTAGAGAATAGCACTTACTGGCACCAGATATCATGATTCGCGTGGGTAAAAAAAAACGACACCCGAGAGTGTCCCTTTTTATCTTTGTTACTGTTCCGGTGTCGCTAAAAACCCTTGAATACGCGACCTTCGGACGACCTCTGCGTCAGACGGCATTAGTACAGAAAATAAGATGTGTGCTCGGAGCAACGATGGAGGCGGGTGCACGCTCGAAGCCGCCACTCGGCCGATGGGGGCGGGGCACTTACGTGGCGGGTCCGCGTTGCCGAAGACCGAGGCGAAGTTGTTTTCCGAGACGAAGGTGCCGTTGAGTACCGTCGCCGTAGGGTGGTGGGTAGGCGACCGGACGCCGTAGCCGTTGTTCCCGTTGACCACCCACGCGGCGGTCTGCTGAACGGGGGCGGGATGACCAAACGGATCGATGAACGGATTGGACAGCTGGAGGAGGTCGTCGGATGCCCTCGCCGGAGGCGGGACGTTATCGTCCGCCCCGAATAGGTCGGGCGTTGAAGACACGCCGCCGCCGCCCAAGAACGGATTGCCGCCACCGCCGACGGGGGCGGCGGTCGTGGGCGACGATACTTTCGACTTGAACTGGTTCATCGCCGCCTCCTCCTCCGCCAGTGCTTTGATCTTAAGACTCTCGTCGATACCGTTGACGGAGTCGAAACGAGCGCTAGCTGCGACGTTGCCGAACGCTGTGCCGGTAGTGTTCAAGGCCGACACCCCAGACTTGACGTTTTTCTGGTTAGTGCTGCCGCCTCCCGACGACGCGGAACTCGTGGACGACTTTTTCCCGTCCAGGTGGCCGTAGTGCTGCTCGAGGGCGTCGAGGAGGCTGCTCGGCGCCTTGGTCAGGTCCGGGATGTCGCCCTTGTCGATACCAACGTTCTCCGCGACCTTGAGGAATTCGGCCACGCGGTCCATCCGGATGATGAACTTCTTGTAGATGTCGAGTGCCTCCTTGCACTGTTTCTTGTTCATGTCGAAGTACTTCTCTGCGGGCCAACATTAAAATCGATTCCCCGCTTAAACATAACACTACGCAACATTCAAATGTGGCGCGAGATCCGGTAGCCTTTTTGCGGTCCCCAGCAAAATAATAAAGGTAATGTCTGTTCATAGATATAAGAAAGTAACTAACTGATACGGGCAAGCTGTAAGAATGAAATATGGCCGAACAAGTCCGTACTTTGCTTAGAATTTAATTATTTGGGGTCTTGTTAGGAAAGATACTAATATTTATTTATTTATGTATACATTTACGTTTAAATCTAAAATAAAATTACAAATTATTTTTATTACCTACTAAAATTACTTAAAATTATTCACATAATATATCAGTATCACTATCGCTATCATCGCCTGTTCTAATTATTATTTGTTTTATATTATTTGCAATATGGATATACGATTGTTCTGCTTTTTCTAGATGTTTCTATAAGTTTCTATAAGTTTGAAGACATTGAAGTTAACACGGGGAAAACATTGTTACGACGAATGGCTGATTTCAGTTGGCGCCAAACATGTTCAATGGGATTAAATATACAGTGGTAAGGTGGAAGCCTTAAAACTGTATGCCCTAGATTTTTTGCATAATTATCACAGATGTATTCCTTTTGTAGGTTCAAGCTTTGTAGAACCTCAATTAATTGCTTTTTGGTATAATCTTAGTGAAAATAATGGCCGTTTATTCTAAAGATGCTTACTTGCTGGCAATACGTTCAATGAGAGTCAAATAAACATTGTTTATAACTTCCTTAGTCTCAATAGAATAGTGAGATACACTAGACGGACACATATTTTGCGTAATTCGCACACGATTCAACACACGCTGTATTACACACGAAATAAGAATGATTACTAATAAACTTAAACTAAGTAGTATACCAAACCAAAGAATATTAAACACAGGTGGGTATAAAATTATTTTCTATTACGGACCACAATTTTACCTGAATTTAAATTCCGAAATTTTAGGTAATAATCTTGTTCCTTGTATGTTAATGACCATCCTTGGATAATCCCATTCGAAAGCAATTGGTCACTTTCTTATATCTATGAACAGACCATAATCACTTGCATGGTCTAAATTACAAATTCCTACCAAATCAAAGTCCCTCCGCCCATCGCTAGATGGCAGCACAAATGAAATTGCAGATGCGGTTTTCGCTTAGTCGAAATTGCTGACGGATGATTGGCAAAACGTCAGCAATTTCCACTAAGTAAAAACCGACGCAGGAGAAATCCAGAAATTTTTGTAAAAAGCATTACAGTAGCCTGTCGAAGTTTCTTTAACTACAGTACTCTTTTTTTATTTAATGTTTTCTGAACAAAGAAGTTTATATACCATTACTCATTTTGTTATTATTTATATGCAGTTTTCATTAATTCCTGAAGAAGCAAACATGCTGATTGGCGAAACGTCGGCAAGTTCGATTTATCAATAGCCGACGCAGGAGGAATCCAGAACATTTGTAATGAGTATACGTTAACATACAACGTAAGTATGCGGTTTTCCTCAAGTGTGACTTCCCCAGGGTCACTTTACGCACAGTTTTCATAACAAATTTTGTATGACCCGATACTCAGGAAAATTTTATTTACTTCGGTTGAGTGCACACGACCATGAACGTAATCTGAACCGACGCGAATAAATTACGGTGTTTAGATACGTGGTATTTTATTAGCTGCATCTTATCCACGTTTAATTAAATTGTATTATTAATTATAAAGATTTCCTACTTGCCTATGCCCTAAATTATAGATTCCTAACTAACCAAAGTTTCGCCGCCCCTCAACAGATGGCAGCACAAACGAAATTACAGAAAAAACTTCGACATAAGTCGGACGAAGAATGAAGACTAAAAATGTTATTACTTATTTTAATATTATATATATTCAGTTCCAGTTAAGCCATGAAGAACTCAACAGGCTGATTGACGGAACGTCGAGTTATATTTATCAATAACCCACGCAGGAGGAATCCAGGAGATTTGTAAATAGTATCACAATCGCCTAGACAAGTTTTTTAGAAAAAAAGCAAATTTTATATGACCAATACCCAGGAAAATTTTATTTACTTCTGTTGAGCGCTTAGGGCCATGGACCTGATCCGAACCGACCTGAACCCTTGAAAAAAGTACAGCGTTTACATACGTGGCGTTTTATTCCCTGCATCCTAAGCACGATTAATTATATCCCATTATTTAATTATATACAAGGAGTATCAAGAGGTCAGGAGTGGTGCGGATTCGTTAATTCCGCATTCCCGAAAATACAGATTCCTAACTAACCCAAGAATCGTCAGACAGATAGCAGCACAGATTCGAAGCGGCCAGCACAAAAAAAAAATACAGATTTTTGAATAACTGAAATACAAAGGAGATCGAGTCGAGCTTTTTTTCGAGTATTGGGATGATTACTGAATAAAAAAGTTTTATATGACCAAATACCGCGCAATATACAAAAAAATCTCCAAATACACAGATTCCTCAGGATTGCTGGGACTAAATTGTGTTGCATAACAGAATACAAACCACGTGGGTGGTCTTGGCCAATGTCTTACCCAGCAAGTTGATGATGCCGTCGTTGTAGCAGGCGAACAAACGGATCAGGTCGCGAAAGAGTAGCATAAAGCACATGTTTATGATGCCGTTGCTCAGATCGTTGGCGGAGCAATCGAACTCGAGGAGGGCGTCGACCTGGGCCTGGAGCACGGGCGCCGTCTTCAGCAGCTTGTCCGCGTTCATCGTTCTGAGCACGCCGTCGTCTTTGCTGTGAGCGCGGGCGGTAAGAGGGGGGAGCGCGGCTGGCAGGGACTATAAATACTCACCCACGTTTGACTTTGCAAAAATCGAAGGCGACCAGACGATACGACATAGCTTTCTCGTTCAGGTAGCGCGCGTAGCGCCTAATAAACGGCGACATCTCGTACCCTAAAAAACGTACGGTCGATGCGTGAGCGGTCCCCGTAGCGGCACCGGTTTATGTACGGGGACCGATCGCTATATTAACAGCGGCATGCGGATTTTTTTTTTTAATTCGCTTTTCTTTAGTCAAATGGTCTATTTGGGGGGGAGGGGGTTCGGCCAGGGCGGTAGTTAATCGAGGATGTAGGAGAAGAGGGCCGAGCAATAAAAAACCGCACTTACCCGCCTTCGAGTTTAGCATCCCTGCGTGGGGGACAAAAAGTACCGTCTTAATAGTTAATTAAACCACATTGACATTGAGATTTCGCTTGACATGTAAAACAATTACGCGACGTTTCGTATCTTCGTTGGTGAAGCGAAACGGCTTCGTTATTTGTTTGTTCGAGAAAAAAAAGCGACTCCATGAAACGAAATGTGGAAACGCCCTGTATTGTACGTTAATAAAAACTGGTTTTTCAGCATAAATTTTACATTAGGTGTTGAGTAGAGTTTTTGCTACCGCGCAATAAAAAAAATGCGACAAAAACGAACCACAAAAAAAAAGTTACGGACCTTGTCCGGTGCGGGCGCTTAAATTACAGGGTTGCCGCGTTTCCGCGACTGTAAGCGTAAAAAGCAACTGTCAAGTGTCAAATGTTCAAGTCTTCGAAAATTACGCAGGACGAAATGTTTCGTATGTACCTTGGAGACCGCTTTTGTCCAAGAAATTGCTCAGCTGGAAGGTGCTGTTGCTGGACGCCAAAAATTGCGTAAATCTCTGGAACAATAAAAAAGAAGCGTAACAATTAAAAAAAAAACAACAAAAAGAAAGAGACAAAAAAAACAAGCGTCTAATGCCATGGGTATTTTAGAGTAGATCCGGCAACGTGGCATTCGCGAAAATACCTGTTAAAAAAGTTATGCACGTGGATCAAATTCGAACCGTCCAATTTTTGCAATCTTCCATACGCGAATTATACAGGTTTAGGCAAAAGTTAACCACCGAAACGCTGAAATCTCAAAGAAATGTATAAATTATTAATTAATTATTTTTTGAAAATCGAAAAAAAACGCTAAACAAAAGATCGTTAAACTAATTATTCGGCGGAACGAAAGGATTACCACCTGCGAATAAAACAATCACAATAAACCCGACTGAATGAATCATCATGAATGGGGCTTTCTTTGACCTCCGATAGCGAAATAAAAAAAAACTACGAGCGGGCAGACTTTGCTTTGTTCGGGGGAAAAACAATGGGATTGCAAAATAATTGATATGCGTACGTTTAATTTGTAAAAACTGGCGTTCACTTCTACCGCGCGGCTAACTAGGAACATATACGAGGTACGACGAAAAGTTCGACATAAAAGTTTTAAAATACGCGGAAATTACCTACTAAGTTTACAATTTTACGTAAAACACGTTCTATTTATCTATCTATCACTTTAACATAACGAGCAGTAGATCAAAACTAACCAAATGTTGGGATTCGTTATAATAATGTCGAGAGATTTTTGTGTTTTGGTGTCCTAACTATCAAGTTAAAGAGAAAAAGTTTCGTCCACAATATAAGGTAACTGTAACTGTAACAAACAATGACTTATTTATTCTACCTCAATTGTCAGTAATTTTGAATATCTTCAAATTTACCTCGTTACCGTAGCACATCATGTGATGGACGGTCACCAGGGCCTTGTACACCACCACCCAGTTGGCGCTCTGCGACCTTTCGATGAGCAGGTTCGCCAGTTGCGGTATCGAAACGTTGGGCTCATTGGTGCAGTGCACTAAATCTGAAACGAAACAATTTCGTTACAATTTCGTTCCAAATTACAAATCATTTATCTTCCACAGGAAAATCTTATTAAAGCCTAAAAAACTAACATGGACGGCTCGAGATAAGAAAGAGACAACACGGATTACAAATAGGAGACAAAAAAGAAATAAGAAATGCTAAAAAAGGAAGGGAAGAAAAAGATTTTTGTCACGAATTTCAATGAATGACCACGTAGCGTCCTGTTATAACGTTACGCTTCATTTGTTTTTTAAATCAACTAAACTGATGCCGTAAAATTATTTATTTTACATCAGTTCATTGCAAAAGTAGGAAAGCGTTGAAAAGTAACCAATGAATTTTCAATTTTTTATAGGAATGACGTGTAACTCGATAGATTTTTGGCTTATTTGCATTCAAAAAGTTCAAGGTATTTTTTCTGTTTTTTTTTTTTGTAAATAAAATTTTGTTGTCCTCGAGATTGGCCATGAATTACCCTGTACATCCAATGTTTATGTCGGAAAGTCTGACTTCTTCCTCAAAATTTTACCTAATCGAACTAAAACTCGTATTTCACTGTTGGTGGCATTTGGCAAATATCTCTGCGGGACGAAAAGCACTTATCATAGAAAGCTACCCCATAAAAAACTGTGCCCTCCTAATCTCATATATAGAGCCCAAATTTCCACATAGGAAAATCTAGGACTCCGTTATGGTCAGGTCAAAGACAAAAAATCAAAGCCAAAAAGTTGGTACGTACCAGTACATGAATATCAGGAGTTTGATAAAACATCAACTTAGTTAACCACTAGCTAAACCGTGGTTACACCAACAAAGAACCTAACCCCCTCGTTTTACCTTGCCTGCTGATAACCGACCAATACAAATACGAACTATGCAAATCTAGCGAGATGTCAAACAACATAACCAAAGATGACTCCGAGAAATAAACGCGGTGAGTTAAGAACTGGACTCCACATAAGACATGACTAGATTTTCATTTGTTTACTTCTGACTTCAGATTTCGAACTGGGAAGCAATTACGAATACTGGGACCCGTTGACTGTTTGAAACCGATCCATCGCAGTATGATTAACATTTCCACGGATAACCAAGTGGTTTTATTCCAATTTTTTAAACATTTATTATACATTTTGTTTGGAATGAAAAACCGTCCAATTTTTACTGTCGAATCGTACGCTGCAAACTCTACCATCGTTTCGGCGCGTCCACCAATATCAACGACAATAAAAAACGCCGCCGCCATATGCATCGCGCGCGATAACGCCCGTTATCGGCGAGAGAAATGTTTGCCGCCGCCCACGCGGTGTCGCGTTGCGGGGCGGCCAAGCGATACCGACCGCCCCCTAATCTCCAGCGACCGGACGGCATGCCAGTTCGTAACAGCTTTTTCTCAATAACAATAAAATAACTACTGCAATGCTCAAGAAGAAAGTAATACGCCATTGACTTCTTTTCAATTCCTCATCTTTCCAGCTCACGTGCCGCTGGTTTCACAAAAAAAAAACGACCCTGAAAGCACTTTTTTTCAAAGTTTTGCAGCAGTGAATTACCATGTTGTCACGCAAACTTCATGCGTGTCATATTGACACGTTAGAAAATACAAGGAAGCCTAAAATGGCTCCACAAACGAGCACAGAGTTCAAGAAGATCAAAAACTACAGTTTGCCAAAAGAATCAGCTTATCTACCCTCTTAACCACCAAGAAAAACGGTTTTGGGATGGAGTCGTATTGTCCGATCAAAAGATCTTCCCGGTCTTCCAAAAAGTATAAAATCAAAGACCAGACAAGCAGTGTTTCAACCTCCAATTTGTGGATAGATATAGAATGGGAGCGGTATGGTGCCTCGTCCACAATGGCCCGAATATGCCAACATTGAAACCTTGCCATGACCAAGTAACCGTCCTGACCTCAACCCAAGCGAAAACGTATGCGGGATAATGGTGAAACGGCTGTATTCAGGAAGTATGGGAGCAATTGTCGCTTGAAGAAAACTTCATAATTCCTTTCATGACCATGAGCCGAACACTTTAAGCTGTGATCGATGCGGGTAGAGATTGCACAAAATATTACATCCATTGCAAGTGTCCCTGTTGCTCCTGGTGCTTATCGTATTTATAGGAAAAATATTTGTCTTTTTTTATTTTTTTGAATTTTTGATTGCAAATTTTGGTTTAAAATCTGCGATTTGACGACAATTTTGATATTTTACATGCAGCCACAAAAAGTCGAAAATTAAATTTATTGTAAGCCATGAGACATTCAAATGTATTGCTTAATGATCAATATTAAAATTAAATTCTCACAATATTAATTAAGGGTTTATTTTGTAAACTTTGAAAAAATTGTCATGTGAATATATATAATTTGGTGAAAATCCGAACTTTTAGTTCTTATTTATTTTGTTTAGCTTTAATTATAAAATATTGTTATTGTGACGAATTACTGGTGCTAGATTTATTACCTTAACTGCAAGAATTTTCTAATTTATATTTAATTGAATAATTGAAGATTAGCTTATCAAAATTAATTCAAACTCGGCACATGAGTTAATCATACAGGTCCCTTGAAAAACTTTGCTATAAAATGTACAGGGAGTCAATATAATAATAAATTTACATGGGATTTCTTATGTTCCGTTCGGTAATGAATATAACATTTTCAAACAAATTTTGATAATTTCCTTTTGACGAAAATAGAAGTATTCGACAAAAACATAATAGCGTAAAACGGAATACGTAAGCCGCAAGACGTTACGACGACGCCGAAAGAAAGGAAGCCGAAGGGGTGGAGGTGGTTACGAAAGCCGAAGAAAGAGAAAAAAACACGAGGCGGCGTAGTCGACGTCACGAACGAAGGTGACGCGGCGACCACCATAATAAATCGGTCAAGGGAACCCGCGGAGAAGGCGAACGCATTATCGAATATGCGTCTAGCCGTGTGGGCTAATTTGCGAGGGGGCAGACGGCGCCCGGACGATTAATTTTTCGAAACAAACACGCCGCCATTAAAGATATTGACCTAACCCCATCGACCTCCGCCCGGCGTAATTTAATTAAGTAAAGTAAAGTAATTAAAACCTACCATAATAGGTCTAATTGAAAATAATTATAGTCAAACTTGTCAATCTCCCGCGTTTGGGCATTGGTTGCGTTATTACTACGTCTTATCATTGCTCTACTTTAAATATTATCCGAAGTATTTAGGTCGGGTTGCCAATGTAGAGACTGCCGATACGAAACAAATATTCCGTCGGGGACGCTGGCCGCCGATCGAATAACACGCCACTGCCACGATCGCCAATAATAACTTTATTTGCTCAATAACACAGGCGTGCGAGCGCGCACACAAACAACGTAGAATGTTAATAAACAATATTGGCGCTTAAAAACCCGTTAGCGAGTGTATTTAGAACGTCCCGGGCGGCGAGCATGTTAATCCGGTTTACTTTATTAGGTCCAAGCAATCACACCTGGCTCAATCGCTGCGCCTGCGACGTATTATCCACCATCTCGCAAGGACGAGGCTAAAATCAAGTCACCGTTTTATTTATAAAAAAAAACACGACACCTGTTATCCCTATAACGTCTTTTTATTACGACAAAAAAAAAACAACCAAAGATAAAATATTCATAAGGCACGCAATTCTTCTTCTTCACGTTTCGGTGGCCCCGTAACCCGCCCTGGCCCAGCGACGAGACTCGATTTGGCATCGTCGCGAACGCCCGTTTGTTATTCAAAACGCAAGCGTTGAGAAAACGTATTCCTTTTAACCCTGCGATCGTCGCCGCCCGCGTGATTCACAATGCGGGACAAAGTCCTTTCCGGGAACCATCGTTCTCGCGGTGATTCAGCCGCTAAGCCCCCGAAGTGCGACTCGTGTTATTACTAATTGGTAATTAACGCGCGGCGTTACTTTCTGAACGCGGCAAAGAAAGTTATACCAGACTGTTACGTAACGGGTTGCATAACGACCGGCCGCTCGAGGAAATCAATCGACGCGTTACGTCTTCGTCCAGAAGACTAGGCGTTGCGAACGTACTTTCGCGGTTCGTGCAATCTATGTACCCGAACGTTAGTGATCTGTGGCTGTTTGGCATTTATTATGTCACTCGTTGCATTCACGAGTTTTGCATGGTTCCAGAGAATAAAAAATAAAGTACAATTATGCGTTAGTGTAATCTAAATTTAACGAACGCGTCAAGAAATTTAAATTTGAGCACGTAAACACAATTTAAGATAATTTAACGCATAAGAAAAGATAACCAAGTAAGCTTCGACAATTCGCTTAAAATTCGATGGGGAATATCGGCCATTTTATGGAACCAACGTTCTATTTTGCGATTGGACACTGTCACTTAACGTACATGAAAGTCCTTTATAGATCAATGTGAAACTTTTAAATTAAAATGTTAATGTTTATGTGACATTAAAACTAAAACTAAAAATAAATCAAACGGTTACAAATAATACCGATATTTGCGACCACTGGGTGATTGTTTTCTACCGACGTCACAGCCTCGATTGTTAAATTATAAACAAATTAATGAAATTAAGCGATTAACGGGTCTTACCGCTAGACATTTCGCTAATGTCATTCCAAAAATAAGGCCCTCCGAAACAACAACAAAGCCCCGAAAGGGACAAAAACTCGACATCAAATAACCACTCGGCGGTACGAGAGGTTATGTTTACGACAACACGGAAGAACGGATGTGTGGTGCGCGAACGACCGGAACCGAACGCTGCGTGGACACGGACCACAGTAGCGTTCGTCCGCGACGGACGGTCCTTTCGCCGCGACCTTGAAAGTTCGTGCACCCGGTGGGATAAGGGGGGAAGAGAAAAAAGAGCTCCTCGACGGCGAGGCGTTAGATTTTCGTGCGGTCCGGCGCTCCCACGCTCGCCAGGTAGAAGGAACACGCCAAAGGGTCGAATCTAGTGTGCCTGTTATTTTCGGACGATCGCTAAAAATATCGGCGTTTCCTGTGTACCGGGAACGTAAATATTTTGATTTCGGGACAGTTTTGCGTGCGGAGGGGTCGAAATAACCACGTTTTTGCTCGCGCTGACGGACCACTTCGAACGTTTTTTTTTGTTACACGCGATCACGTGCACGTCAACGCGATAGCTCCTATATAAGGTACACCGAGGAAAAAGTGGAGCGATATAGCGGACGATGGATGTTTTCTTTACACATAATTAGGCGCGTTGCGCAACATATGTTTACACGGACCGCTGAGTATTAAGCAACGCGCCAGGTGACAACCCGATACAAACACTCGACGTACAACACGCTATCGGGTCCCCGTATATATCGCCTGTTATCTAAGATATCGTCGTTAATCCCGACCGATTATCGGTTCGCACTTACAGTCCAAATGCTTTTTCTTGGGTCCGATCGGTTCTTCCGTCGTGGCCTTACAGACGGCTTTGGCGAGGCCCTGGCCGGCAAGACTGTGCTTCGCGGCCAGCAACCGGTCGTTTATAGTCTGTCCCGCCATTCTGCCTGCCATTGTCGCACTTTGCGCCGTTATCGCGACGCGATCACCGTAAAAAAAAAAACACCACCCAACGGAACAACCTCTCGCCTTTTGTTCCGCCGCGCGCAACGAACCTCACAACGCCGCTCGAGAGTTACTGACGATGCCCGTCGTTGTCAAATCACACTTTACGTCGTGGCACGTCGCGTGACGCCTGGCGGAAAACGCGCAAAGCTTTCACGAGACACGCGGCCAGCGACTTGATATAGGAAGAAGAATAGGAATTCGAGAGGTTATGCGAGTTTGGTTTACATGAAGTATCAGAAGTCATGCTGAAACGAGTACGAGCGGCTTGGCGGCCGCTAAGATCGCTCGCGCGTCAGGTTGGGCGAACTTTTTTAAAGTTTTTTTTGCGACCACCCGCTCATTTCCAAAGAATTTCAGCAGAGACTCGTGTCTACGGAAGCGGTCGCCGAACAGAAATCGACAAGCAAAGCGATGAAGGCGTACCTCGAGAGGGCGCGGGAGCACGACGAGTTCATGACGGAGCGCCGCCACGAGTTCCAAATCGGTAAACGACACTTGGCCAACATGATGGGCGAGGACCCCGAGACTTTCACGCAAGAAGACATCGACGTAATTAAAAGGCCCGTTCTTATTACGACGTCGCGTAACGATAGTTCGGTTGTAGAGGGCCATCGAATACTTGTTCCCGAGCGGGCTGTTTGAGAAAAAAGCGCGGCCCATAATGAAGCCCCCCGAGGAGATATTTCCACAGAGGAAGGCGGCCGAATTCGACGAGACCGGCCGCCCGCACCATTTCCTGTTTTATACCGGCCGACCTCATCTCTACCAGTTGTTGCACGACATCGTGCGCAAAATAAACGAACTGAACAAGTTTGAAGACGCCATGGTCAGCAAAGGCCTGAGCCCCGATCCCAACCTGGCGCTGTGAGTCATCCGTAATGGCGGGTGCTTTCGGCAAACGGCGGTTTTGACTTTGATTTCAGGCAATCTGTGGGCTTCGAGTGGGTCTCCAAAGTCCATTTGGAAAATGCGCTGATGGAATCTCTCTCGGACCGCGACTACAATACGTTTGTCAACGCGATACAGCGTCTGAGCAGCCTGCCATACGCTTACAAAGAGAAAGAATTTATCATGGGCTATAAAAAGGCCCTGCTCGAACAAATCAAGCTCGACGAGATACCGAAACCGCAACTCGATGAGGATGGCCGCGAGTTCATCTCGGTTTACGGTAAAAAAAATTTCTTCTTTCTGTTCTGTTCTGTTCACCTGGGAAAAAAATAACAAATATCGAAAAGCACGAAAAAAAATCCAAAACATTTATATCTCAAAAAAAAACTCAGTGGTTACAACTTCAGAATTGACACTAGCTTGACGAAATTTAAAAAAATATGGGCCAATATAAAGTGAGGTCAGTGATTAGTATGTTGGCCTTGATATCTTTACTTTCAGTTCATGGTATTTAAAATAAAAAAGAAATTGCAAATACAAATATAAGGCATGGCTCAGTGTCCAATATGTTGGTTGTGACATATTTATGAATCAATCAATATAGTAACTCATTTAGTAACGCTTTAGAACTCATAACTTACCTTGTCGAATGTTGCTAGTTCAGATCCTACCGATCGCCACAAAAAAAATCAATCAAAACAATTGAAATGTAGCTACAAAAAAAAGTTCACTTAAATATATAAAAAATTACATGGTATTTAAAAAAAAAAACACGTTAACTTGGCGAATATCGCGAGTTCAAATCCTATCGATCGCCACAAAAAAAGCTCAATAAAAAAATTGAAACAAACTTTGGAGCAATATAGGGTGAGGGATAGCTCAATAGCTAATGTGTCAGAACTGATCCCACAAAAAAAAAGTTCAATTTAAAAAAAAAAAGAAAACTGTGAGCCCGGCAGGGATAACTCAGTGATTGATGCGTTGCAACTGACAATGTGGCCGATGTGGCGAATTCAAATGCTACCGATCACCACAAAAAAAAAAAGAAAAAATTACTGTACTATGTACTACTATGTACTATGTATTAATCCACTCTGTATAACGAATTTCTCACTCTATACCGAAAGAAAAAAGGGCACATCGGGTAACAAAGTACGGAATGTAGGCCGACTTGTAATTAATAGAGTCTCTTACCGTCTCAGAATTCATCACCTTAATAATCTAATTACCGAAAACCAGTGTTTTTCTCGTAATAAGCCTTTATCGGTATGTATAAAAGCCCACCATTGTTTCAACCAGTTCTAATTTGACTTAGTGAATACCGCGAGTATGGCGAGTAAACGAAAAATTTTATCTCTACATGATAAAGATAATTCGGGAGAAAAGAAAAGTGACGTGGGACGTCGATACGGACTTACACCGTCGACTCTATCCACGATCTGGAACTGCGACGAAAAAATCATTCAGGCTGAAGCGGCAGGCAATTCTAGTAAAAAACTGAGAAAGCCAAAATTTCAAGATTTGGATCGGGCAATGTTGCAGTGGTTCCGACAGCAACGTCTTAAAAATGTACCACTCTCTGGACCTATTGGTATTGGTATTAAAGGGGGGCGCCCTCGCGGGCGTCCAAGCACTTAGGCCACCAGATGGACCCCCGTTGTGCCCCCAGGCCGCTCTAGAGGGCGTCTAGAATGCCGCCCTTCCTATAGAAGCAACTTCTTTAGCCCAATACCGTGCACTGAGTCCGGATCGATCAGGGCCGTTTCGAAGACTCCCAATCTTGCCCATGTCAAGGCAGGGCACTCGGTGAGCAGATGATACGGGGTCTCCTCCCCTTCCATGCACCACCTACACTCCGGGTCGTCTCCAATGCCTAGCAAGCAGAGATGCCTCCTAAGCCTGCAATGTCCTGTGTAGGCCCCTGTTAGTGCTCTACACTCCCTTCTTTTCAGTCTAAGCAGCTCCCTGGTCCGAGGGAGGGCGGGCCCATCCATCATAAGCCTCGCCTGCCTCATTCCCGGAGCAACTCTTCAGCCCCCCGCGGCCCGGTCTCTCGCCACGGCTTTGAGAGCTCCCCGCCTCACACACGGGGCGATCCCCAAGCGGGGCTCTGGCCCTATATGCCTATGCGAGGAGCCCTCCAACCAGGAGACCAACGTGACCTTCCTCTCCTCAGCCACCCTCCTCAGTACCCCTTTGCACTCCTTTATCAACAAGAAGCGCATACGCACTGACTTCAGCGCCATAAGTGCAGCCCTGTAAAAAGTGCAGTATCGTAAAACTAAAAGCAGAAAAATTTTGCTGAACAGCTTGACATTATCGATTTCAAGGCTTCGGTACAAATTATGGACAGATAAGTGGCCAAGCCCGTGATGTCGACAGAAACGTCACTGGTCGAAACGTGGTGAAAACTAGCAGAAAAGTACGCTGCTGACGAAACTGGTGTTTTTTACAAAATGACGCCAGATAAAACTCGTTAAATTTCGAAGCGAAAAGCGTGTGTGGTGGAAAACTTTCTAAAGAACGTATAATAGTGTTGGTAGCTGCCAATATGAGTGGGATAGAAAAAACAAAGCTAGTCGTGATTGGAAAATCAACTACACTTACAAGGCAAACAAGTCTGCATGGATGACATCGCAAGAGAAGATAAGGAAATAAGATGCGGAATTAAAGGGGAGGAAAATATTAATTCTCTACGGAATATTGAATTGGCATTTCTTCCAGTCAAACCAACAAGTGTATTACAGCCGATGGACCAGAGCGTAATAAAAAGTCTTAAGAGAAACATTTTAATGGAAATGATCGAGTCCGAAGCAGAAACAATTCAACACTCCTATCGTCATGCAGGACTCATTACCGAGACAGAATGCGTACAGGTCTAGAAAGATGATCAGCCACCAAGCGAGTGGATAAAGCAGTTTCAAACAACAATTATGTTTACAAGGGAGGAGTTGCAAGATTTTATGGTGATAAATCAAGATTTGCCTCCAACAGCAGACTCGACAGAGGAAGCCATATTACAAGAGGAAGAGGAAGATGAAGAAGTTGATCTGGGACCACCACCGACCACCAATCTCTCTAGCAGTTAAGCTGCTAGAGAAATTTTTTATGTATCATGGGGAACATGCCCCTCTCGAAGAAATGGCTGAAATACAAGCCAAAGTACGAGATGCGTATCGGCATACTAACAGAATTCAAAAGAAAATGACCGATTATTTGAAACATTAAATGTAATTCTTAAATGTGTATATAAAATAATTAAATGCGTATTGACAAAAAGCAGTCCCTTCAATTTCGCTATATAGAGTTGCGACCGTATTTAAAAAAGACTCCGCATCAATAAAGTAGCTCATTTGTTACCGCGTTATAACTCACACCTTACCCTGTCGAAAAATTTATATAGTAAGGAAAAAAACACGTTAACTTGGCGAATTGAATTAAATAAACTGTGGATCAATATCATCGCCACAAAAAGAAACTCAAATATTATAAATTGAAACATAAGAACTCTGGGCCAATATAGGATGAGGATAGCTCAGTGGCGAATGCATTAGTCTTGTCATCTTTTCAGATGTTACGGGTTCTAATCTTAAAGTCTGTTCATAGATATAAGAAAGTGACTAACTGATACGAATTAAGGAAAGCCCGGGCAAGCTGTAAGAATGAAATATGGCCGAACAGGTCCGTACTTTGCTTAGAATTTAATTATTTGGGGTTTTGTTAGGAAAGATACTAAACAATATTTATTTATGTATTTATGATTAATTCTAAAATAAAATTACAAATTATTTTTATTACCTACTTAAATTACATAATATATCAGTATCACTATCGCCCATTCTGATTATTATTTGTTCTATATTATTTGCAATATGGATATACGATCGTTCTGCTTTTTCTATATGTTTAACAAAAATTGCCCAACTTTTTGGAAGGGATGTTAAAAACTTCGGTTTCTATAAGTTTGAGAACATTGCAGGTAACACGGGGAAAAACATTGTTACGACGAACGGCTGATTTCAGTTGGCGCCAAACATGTTCAATGGGATTGAATATACAGTGGTAAGGTAGAAGCCTTAAAACTGTATGCCCTAGATTTTTTGCGTAATTATCACAGACGTATTCCTTTTGTAAGTTCAAGCTTTGTAGAACCTCAATTAATTGCTTTTTGGTATAATCTTCGTTAAAATAAATGTCGTTATTATACATGTAGTTTTGGAGTGTTGCTTTTGTGTAACATGAGGAAGGGGTTTTAATCAACTGTCTACTGTGCTAATTTGCATTGCCCATTACGATGACGCTATTTGGAGGAATGTTTGGAACTAGTTTGTTTTTAAACAAACTTTCAAATAAATCAGCGCTGGTGTCTTCATAGTAATCCGGAGAAGAAGCTTTAATATTTTTCGCAGAAAGAGAAAGTCCATTTGGAATCCAACCATCTTTAGAGTCAGCATACAAAATAGTGATTCTTTTACCTCTTTTTGATGGCGCGTTTGTTTTACACTTATCAGTTGAGTCAACCCAACCCTTATACGGGGTATTATAAGTGTCGAACCAGGTTTCATCCAAGTAAATAATTGGCCTTTGTTGTTCTCTGTAAATTCAAATTTTTTCTAGATATTCCAGTCGCTATTTCCGAATTCTAGAAGATTCCATTAAAACTTGCCTTTTTTCAATTTTTTAAAATCTAAAACTCATGTGTTGAATACACTTCCATAAGGTAGTTCTGCCACATTTAACACCGATTTCATCTTTTTCAAGCCTCCTAATTAAGATATCTAAATCTAATGTAGGCACTCTTTGTTCCTCATATAATTGGTAAATTTTACGACGTATTATATCTTGATCACTTTCATCTACACTCGAGAAAATCTCAGCATCACTTCTTTTTTTTTTTTTCCTGAAATGGGATTATTCACAATTTTCCATACAGTTGATGTTGGAATTTTCGTCAATGTGGCCGTTTCTTCTAAAAATGCTTGCTTGCTGGCACCACGTTCAATGAGAGTCAAATAAACATTGTCTATAAGAATGATTACTAAGTAGTATACCTAACCAAATAATATTAACCACAGGTAGGTATAAAATTATTTTCTATTACGGACCACAATTTTACCTGAATTTAAATTCCCAAACTTTAGGTAATAATCTTGTTGCATTATGTGTTAATGACCACCCTTGGATTATCCCATTCGCAAGCAATTGGTCACTTTCTTGTATCTATGAACAGACCATACCCATCATAGCCACAGAAAATCAGTTAAAAAAAAATAAAAATGTTTATAGTATAAAAAAAATCTCGGCATCAATGTAGGGACAGCTCAACCGCTAACGCGTTACCGATCGCCACACAAAAGTTATTTAAAAAAAAGGTATAAAAAAAATCTTATACAGGAGGGTTGTTTCAGAATGTCGCAGGAAGTCATCGATCGGCAACGTGACGCTGTGGAAACCGGGCACAGGCAAAATCACGATCAACGGCGAGGACATAACCTATTTTCGGGAGGTGCAGTCCAGGGAGCAGGTACGCCTTGCGGGAAATGCGGGAAAGCTCGCGTCCTTTTCCGACCCGGTTGTTTCGCAACCGGCGCGGGCGCGACCGGAAAACTGCTGACCGGTTCGATTGTCTATTTTTTTTTTGTCACGGCCGACCGCGCGCATCTAAAATTTGTCGTCAGCGTCGCGCGGAATCGCGAGGGCGCGGGCTTTCCAAACTAAACGAAAAAAATACGAGCCGGAGCTGCGAGCAAAGCACTTTCCGTCTTATCTTTTCGTTTTTATTACTGTCAAAACCCGAAGCGTTTTGCATATTTAAAGACGGCAATTAACACCATTATAGTTACAAAATATATACCGGGCGTCCCAACTTTCGGATTTATCCGACGCGGAGTCACGGTTTTTATTAAAAAAAAATGGTACGACGCACGGGAAAATATGAAATGCAAATCTTGAATAAATATGTGCGTTTCGACAGCTCTTTTATTCCCATCCTTTGACGAACGCCGCCATTTAGTTTTTCTATTCAACGGATGCGTCGGATTAATTCTCTCCACCAATCCAGGCTTTTTACAGGTAAACTCGAACCGCTCATTGTTTCGCTACTGTATTTTTTTTGTTGGTAAATAAAAGAAATAATTCTTTCCACAATGCTACACGTTAAGCTTCGTCCATCGTCCTTATTATAACATTTTTTTCCTTTTTACAAAACTTCTGGATTCCTTCTGCGTCGATTTTTGCTGAGTTGAACTTGCTGATTGGCGAAACGTCAAGTTTCTTTGAAAATTTATTTTTTTTCCTCTTTATCCTTAACTGGACGAAGCGGATTAATTCTCTGCGCAATTCTGTAGTTAAGTTTCATCCTTCGACAGACTAACTGGTCACTTCGGTTATAACTCCATTTTTTTCCTATTTTCACCATGCCAAGCGAATTAATTCTCTCCACTTTAAGCTTCAGCGTCAGTTTTTGAGTTACAACTACATTTTTTCCTCTTTTCGTTAACCGGACAATGCGCATTAATTCTCTACACCATTCTATGGTTAAGCTTCATCTTTCGACAACGACGAACTGATCACTTCTTCGGTTATAACTACATTTTTTTCTTATTTCCACCTAGAGAAACGGATTAATTCTCTCCACCTTAAGCTTTTTGGGTAGTAACTACATTTTTTTCCTCTTTTTATTAACTGCTCGAAGCGGATTAATTCTCTGCACCATTCTATGGTTAAGCTTCATCCTTCGACAACGACGAACTTATCACTTCTTCGGTTATAACTACATTTTTTTCTTATTTCCACCTAGAGAAACGGATTAATTCTCTCCACCTTAAGCTTTTTGGAGAGTAACTATTAACTGCTCGAAGCGGATTAATTCTTTCCACCATTCTATCGTAAAGCTTCTTCCTTCGACAAAGATGAACTGGTCACTTTTTCGGTTATAACTACATTTTATCCTCTTTTCGTTAACCGGACCAATGTTAATTCTTTCCACCATTCTATCGTCAAACTTTATCCTTCGACTAAAACAAACTGGTTTCTTTTTAACATTTTTTCTTATTCTCGCAGTAGAAAACGGATTAATTCCTCCTCTATCTTACCTTTTTCGGTTATAACTTCTTTTTTTTATTTTCACCTGTAGAATCGGATTAATTCTCCACACCATTCTGCACTTCAACTACATCCTGCATCACACTTTTTGTTTTGCTTTCATGAACCGGATAAATTCTCTCCCGTATTTTCATCAACCGGACGGTACGAATTAATTAATTGTCTCCACCGTTGTGTCGGTAAACTTCATCCTCCGCTAAAGACAACCTGTGTTTCGGTAATAACTCCGTTTTTCTTTATTTTCATCATGCGAAGGGGATTAATTCTCTCCACCATTCTATCGATAAGCTTCTTGACTCGAAAAAGAGAACCTGCGGTTCGGTCACAACTCCTTTTTTTCTGATTTTCACCAGGGGAAGCGGAATAATTCTGTCCACTATTCCATCGTTAGCCTTAATCCTTCGAAAAAGACAGCCTACATTTCGATTATAACTCCGTTTTTCCTTATTTTCACCACGCGAAGGGGATTAATTCTCTCCACCATTCTATCATTAAGTTTCATCGTTCGAAAAAGACAACCTGCGTTTCGGTTGTAACTCCTTTTTTCCTATTTTCACCAGGCGAAGAGGAATAATTCTCTTCACTAGCCTTGATCCTTCGGAAAAGATAGCGTAGGTTTCGATTATAACTCCGTTTTTCCTTATTTTCACCAGGAGAAGGGGATTAATTTTCTCCATTCTATCGTTAAGCTTCTTCATTCGAAAAAGACAACTTACGTTTCGGTTATAACTTCTTTTTTCTTTATTTTTACCAGGCGAAACGGATTCATTCTCTCCACCATTCCACTGTTAAGCTTCATCCTTCGAAAAAGACAATCTGCGTTTGGATTACAACTCCTTTCTTCGTTATTTTCATCAGGGGAAGGGGATTAATTCTCTCCACTATTACATCGTTAAGCTGCGTTTCGGTTATGAGGCCTTTTTTTGTTATTTTCAGCAGGCCAAGCGGATTAATTAATGGAACATTTTAGTCGATTCTACGAATTTGATTTTTTATATCTGATAACTGGACGAGTTAGATTAATTGTCTCCACCGCAATAGTTGAACCGACGATTCTTCTAACCCCGCCATTTTCAAGCTCCATTAAACGTCCGCTACAGATTAATTGATCTTCTCGATTGCCGGCGCCTTAATTCTCTCCATCATTCTGTACCCGTCCCGTTTTTTTTTTTTTAATTTCGATTTATATTTTATACGACGACCAGCGGCGCGCGCGGTCGCCTGCTCGCCGACGCTGCCACTTCAACGTGCGTGCGTGTTCATTTGACCGCCCCAGGTGGTCGCGCATCTTAAGACGAGTCCGTCTTCCCCCCTTCTACGCCGCCTCGGCGTTCTTAAAACGGAGGCAATTTAACAATTTGCCTTAGTTTAGATTCGCGCCCAGAGACTCGGAACTGTGCTCGATCAAAATACGTATCTGCGACCGATTTTTTTTTTGCCCTCGCGGCTCAAGCGGAGGTGCTGCTGCACCCTTCGTCGGACGCGCGCCACTGATTAGCGCAATTAACGTGTAATAATCGAACCCGTCACGCGCTAGTGTGTGTGTGTGAAAAAAATCGTTTTCGCGTGTGTGGCGGCGCACCAAAACAATACGGAGTGTCGAGGAGAAGGATAGGTAGCCGGTGCGACCGTTCAATTCATCGGTGGGATGCTGCGCAGTTGCCGCGTGAGGTAAGTGCCCCTTTTTCTTTTTAATCGCCCACCTTATCGTTCCGGTTTTCTCTTCGGCCTTGTTGGTGGCCGAAAGAATCTCTCTTAACGTTCGCGTGACGTCGCCGACTCGTCGTCGGCGGACTTTTACGACCCCAAATTTATTCTAATTGGGTCGTAAAGCGCCTAATCCGCGAGCGCATTGTTGTTCAAGTTCAAAGTCAACATCGCACACACTTCGCGGTACCGTCGTCTCGCGTTCCGAGAATTTTTATTTTTTCAGTCGCCTACGAAGAGTCGAAAGTCGTACGAAAGTCTCCATTCGGACGCGAGAGCGCAACGCACAAAATCAATGTTAATATACGGGGTGTTATCGCGGTTGGGAAAAATATTTACGTGGCGCTCGTGTCTGTGTCCTCTTTCGACCGCTTGTGCCGTAAAATGTCCCCTAAGTTCCTCTTTTTGGTTTGGTAACGCTATGCGTTGGCGATCATTCCAGTGATGGAAACTCGTAGTTCTGGGTCCGTGTGACGACACACGCTTCATTCTTCAAAATTCGTTTCCGACCATCCGTTGCAACTACACCGAGGTAAATGGTGTCCCCGTCGGATGAACGTATCGGCATGGAGAACCTGGGCTACCAGGAGAACGGGGGCCGGGCCAAACTGGGCCGCGCGGTCAGCGTCGCCAACGCGGAAAGCCGCCCCCTCTACCAGACGCACTCGTCGTCGACGCTGCTCCGGTGGCGACGCGGCCGCGACGACCCCGAAGCCGCGCTCGACGACGAGTTCCCGTCCGACGACTTCGAGTACATGGAATGCGGACCGTCCCCGCCCGCCGACCACGCCCCTAACCTATACGAGAGCTACGAGGAGTTCGCGACCAGCGAGCTCACCGTCCAAATATGCCACGATACCATCAAGATGAACCTCGCGGAGCACATGAAATTGTCCGCCGGCCGGCACCACTTCCTCGACGACATCGAGGCCAGAAAAGTGGGCCAGGAAAACTTGGCGGAGGCGCTCAAGGGCGCCAGCAAGGTCGAACTGAACGTCTGCTTCCTGTGGGCCGCTTTCCTCAAACGCTGGGAACTGCTGGACGGTCTGCTACGTCTCGGCGCTCAGCTCAAATACTACGAGCCGTGTCAGGGGATGAGCGCGCTCCATTTGGCCGCGTTCGGCGGTTGCATCCCCGGCACCCAGTTCCTGATCTCGCGCGGCGCCGACGTCAACGCCATCTACAAGTGTTACAGTCCGTTGCATTGCGCCGCGTTCGGCGACAGTCCCGAAACCGCCATGATACTGCTGAACAACGGCGCCAGGGTGCAGGCGTTGACCGCCAACAGTACCAGTAACGGAAACGAGAGCGTACTGCACTGCGCGGTGCGCGCGAACGCGGTGGCTTGCGTGCGCCTTTTCACCGTCGAGGGGGCGGACGTGGGGCAGGTCGAGTTCGCGGGCTCGTCGCCGATTCACCTGGCCGCGGATCTCGGCCACGCGCAGTGCCTGCGCATCATGCTCGACGTCAAAGGCGTGAACGTGAACGCCAGGACCAAAGAGAAAGAGCAGACGCCGCTCCATCTGGCGGCGGAGGGTGGCTACGTCGATTGCGTCGACGTGCTTCTCGAACGCGGCGCCGACGTCAATCCGAGGAATCATCGCGGCCAGACGCCGCTCCATCTGGCGGCCCGCGCGCAAGCCTACGACTGCGTGGAACTGCTGCTGCGCAAGGGCGGCGCCGACCCCAACGTCGCCGATTGCGACAAGAGGATGCCGCTACACGCCGCCGTAGGCAAAGCCGCCCGCTCCTACGACATCATCGAGATCCTGATCAGGTAAGCGCGCGCTCGCTCTCGCCTCTGGTCCTTCGAGCCGGACAATTTTTAAGTCGCCGTGGAAGAAATAATTTTTTTCTTCTTTAATTAAGGTGTCATACCGTATTTTAGGATGATTCGTATTGTGTTCGTGATCTTTTGCCCATTTTGTTTATCTGTTCTCGTTCGTTCTGTCCACATGATCTCTCCAGAATCGTCGTTCGTTATTTAGGTATGGTCTCACGTCTTACCTGATTTCTCAACGTTACTTCGTTCATTCAGATTTGTCTAAAAGATTCGAAACTTGCCTTCAAATTGTAATTTCAAAATTATATGTATCAGCTATGCTGCAATTATGGATGTTTTCTGAGCTTGTTATTTCCACTGCCAAGATTTTCCGGGTCTTTTACTAATATACTTTCACAATCTTTTCTTTCTTCGTGGTTACACAGTTCCCTCATAAGTGACTTCCATTTCTCCCTTGTAGAAATAATTATGGTTGTTTATTATTCCACTCCGCCTTTACCTATTTTGAAAACCATCTCATACGTGTAGATGCTTCCAAGAGACTATTCTTGGCGCCAACCGTTCTTCGGGATCTCCATTGGATGCTTTCAGTAGATTATTTTTAATGTTCACTGTCCGTTTCTGCCTAATCCGTGAAACCCATTTCAAATTGTCTCTTCTTCGTGCGCGCCCCGTGATTAAAAAAATTATCCTGCAATTATGCATTGTTCGCTTGTGTACGAGTTTCTTTGATTAAGCTTCTGTAGCTTGTGATTCCTACTGCCAAAATGTTCCTGATCTGATATTAATATACTTTCACGGTATTTCTCCGCTTTTATTATAGTTCTCTCATAAGTGACTAACCATTTCCCCTTGTATAAAGTCTGTTCATAGATATGAGAAAGTGACTAACTGATACGAACTAAAGAAAGAAAGAATACAGTTGATGTTGGAATTTTCGTCAATGTGGCCGCTTTTTCTAAAGATGCTTGCTTGCTGTCTTCACTTAAAAGTAATATCGTACTTCAGCGTCCAGCTGCTTTTGTTGATCTATGTGTCACTTTTGACCCTAAACTTTCTTTCATTCCACATATTGACCTCCCTGTGTCTGCCGCGAATAAAATATACCGAACTCTCGAGACTTAACGGATTTAGAAACTTTAACGACTCTGTACCTCGCATTTGTTAGATCTAAATTGGAATACGGCGATATTATATGAAGTCTGTTTTACCAAGTCCATTCAAGGAAGCTGGAATCCGTACAACGAACATTCTTGCGATCTGTGCAACTCGGCAAGTTTCCAGCTTCTTCTATACGTGACGTTGAAATATGTTTTTTTTTTTTAAGGAACGGCGTATAATTATTTTCGTTTTATTTTACGTTCTATCATTTTGCTGTCCTTCTGCTTTTTTTAAAAAATTTGTTCTTTTTTCTACGTAACCTTTTGTGGCCAAATCATCACACATCTCATCTCTTCTTCGTCCGTTTCCCTTAATTAAAAAAAGGTTTTCATCTGAACAGTTACGGCGCGGACGTGAACGCGAAGGACCAATACGGTTACACTCCCCTCCACATAGCCGCCCTCAACGAGCTATCGCAATGCGTCGAAATTCTGATATTCCACGGGGCGGACGTCACGGCCAAATCGAAATTCGGCATGACCGCGCTGGGGATCATCACGCGCAAGACGCCCGCCTCCCTCGCGATGGTCCGACACAAACTCGACGAGGCTATCACGCTCCACCACCACCCCGAGTCGTCCAACCGCGAGGTCGAGCTGCGACTCGACTTTCGCAGCATCCTGCAGCACTGTCACCCGCGCGAGATCAGTTTCCTCAACACGTTCGTCGACGAGGGTCAGAAAGAGATCCTCCTCCATCCGCTCTGTTCCGCGTTCCTCTACCTCAAGTGGGAGAAGATCCGCAAGTACTACGTCGCGCGCATGCTCTTCTGTTTCATTTTCGTGCTCAGCCTGTCGCTGTACGTGTTGACCGCGCTCGCGCACAACTGCTACAACCACGGCAAAAACATGAACGACACCCAGCCACAGAACGTGATCGAGTTGTGCGAGCGCAAGTCAATCATGGGTCACATGCTGCGCAATAACCCGTTCGTCATCGAGATGCAGTGGTTCGCGTTGGTCGGCATCACGTGTTGCGAGATTCTGCGCAAGGTCTACGGCATAGCCGGGTACCCGTCGGTCAGGCAGTACCTTTCCCATCCCGAGAACATAATCGAGTGGACCGTCATCGTGAGCGTTTTCGTCATTTCGTTTATCTACACCGGCCGCACCTACACGTGGCAGAACCACATCGGCGCGTTCGCCGTACTATTCGGGTGGACCAATCTGATGCTGATGATCGGGCAGTTGCCGATCTTCGGGCCGTACGTCGCGATGTACACCCGCGTCCAAGGCGAGTTCGCCAAACTCCTGCTCGCCTACTCCTGTCTCCTGATCGGTTTCACCATCAGTTTCTGCGTTATTTTTCCCGACTCGTCCACTTTCGCGAACCCTTTCATCGGTCTCATCACCGTACTGGTAATGATGACCGGCGAGCTGAGTCTCGACCTGCTCGTCGACGACGACCCCGACGACCCGCCGTTCCTGCTCGAGATCAGCGCCCAAGTCACTTATATTCTGTTTCTGCTCTTCGTCACCGTCATCCTCATGAACCTCCTGGTCGGTATCGCCGTCCACGATATCCAGGGCCTCCAAAAAACCGCCGGTCTCTCCAAACTCGTCCGCCAGACCAAACTTATATCGTACATCGAGCTGGCCCTCTTCAACGGCTACCTGCCCAGGTACCTGCTGAACCTGCTGCACTGGACGGCGCTGGTGTCGCCCAAAGCCTATCGAGTGGTACTCAACGTGAAACCTTTGAACCCGCGCGAGAAACGGCTCCCTCGCGACATCCTCGAGGCGGCGCACGAGATCGCGAAAAAGAAGAAGAAGCACTCAAAGACGCTATCTTCGTTCCGCAGTTCGGGCACGTACGGCAAGAGGACGCTCAATAACAACGCGGCCGACCCGGCCACTGCGGGTGGCGAAGGAGTTTTCGACCCAAAGCCCGACCACCTGGCCGCGTTGCAGAGCAAACTCGACAAGAGCCACGAGCAGATCGAAAACTTGAACAAGGATTTCAAGGAGCTGAAACACGCGTTCGAAAACAGCCAGCGGGTGGTCGAGAAACTCCTCAACACGATCATCCAGAGTCGCAGGAATAGCGCCAAGTGCTGACGCGTCCCGCCTGTATATAATACCGTTTTCCTTTCTAGGTTAGCTTTAAGGCTGTAAAGTGTAGCCAATAAAATGCTTACTCAAGACGCCGCTTCTATTTATTAGTATTTGGGTTTTGACAGTAACGAAACGAATCATAACCCGCGTCCCGACATTGTCTAGCTCTCTTTCTAGCTGCTGTTTCCGCTGATATTCACCGACATGTTAGACAAAGTGGACGTCGTGTGCCACGTGGAGAAAGGCGGATGGTCGTCGCAAGCCGGCGCTTTGAGGTGGGGCATCGCGACAGCGCTGAGGAGCTTCCTGGACGGCGACTCGATCGAGAGAATGCGCGTGGGTAAGCATTTCATCGCTTTTCATTTAGCCACCATCTTTAGTTTCGTATAATCCTTCCTTGGTTTCTGAGCTGTTTAGCTGTAGATAGTGGGCTCTAAGCATTCTGTTCCCTAGGGTATCTAATTTTAGGAGTTTTCTCATTAACTACCTTGCCAATCTATATCCCAGATTGAGGCATTTTATTTATTCATTTTTCAGCGGGGTTGCTGACGAAGGACTTCCGGACCAGGGAGAGGAAAAAGCCGGGCCAGGCGGGCGCCAGACGCAAGTTCACGTGGAAGAAACGTTAAGTGTTAAGTTTTAGGAGGAAGATAAATAAAATTTTCGATTTTATCCGAAGCCCGGTTTTATTTACTCCCTATGCGCGCCGAGAACCCGTTATCTGAAAGTTATCTGAAGGTCGAGGTTTCCCCTTTATGCTGTCACTCACCCAATTGTTTATTCAATTTTTTACCGGTATTAGCACAGGCAAATAATGCAGAAATGTAAAGATATACGGGGCGTTCAACTAGTAAACACTTTTTAAAAAAATGCATATATATATATACGCGACCACCGAGCGGTTCATGACGGAAAAACTTAACAGTCTCATCGCAACATCCTGAGCTTCGACGTGTACCCAAGTCAAATTTCCAGTAAGGCATTTCGTTTTTCTTAAACCAGCACCGACATGAAACTTTTCTTAAGGACGCCGTATTGGATTCTTGCAGTTTTGAATACCATTGCACAAGATCCGAGATAAATGACGTTTTGACAGCTCCATCGTTAAAAATTCGATATACCGGGTGACAAGAAGTGGGAACACCCTGTAACTTTTAAACGGCTTGAGATAGAGGGCGGAATGTCCAATTTTTTGACAATATGTAGTCAATGTTTGGGGGTGCGTCAAAGATCGTGTTTATATAACTATATATAAAAGCCAGTCAACAAAAAAGGTGATGGCCACGATCTTTTGGGATTATAAAGGAATTCTTTTGATTGATTTTCAAGAAACTAATACCAACGTCAGTGGTAAATATTACGCAACATTATTACATAAAATGCGAGACTGCATACGTGTAAAACGTCAAGGAAAACTGACCAGAGGCGTGCGTCTTTTGCACGATAATGCACAAGCTGCACAAGAGTATGGGTTCCAACAGATAGATCATCCTCCCTATAATCCGGGTATTATAACTATTATAACTTTTTACCATAATAAAACACTTTCAACAAAAACTTCTAATCGTTGAATCTCAGAAGAAACTCTCCCGTGATTTTTATTTTTTTTTAAATACTAATATATTTTTTCTTTCGACTGCATATGAGCTTGTCGAGAGTTTCTTATGCATTTTTAATCTTACCGACTTGACAATTAATTATTGTGGTGTGGTGTCAAAATGTTGGGAAAAAAAAGTACCAGTTTTAAAAAGTATTTGTTCCCACTAAGGTGCTATTTGAAAAAACGAGGTTATCCCAATTAATTTTCGCAAAACAACACGAATGCATTCACTGACATGACCGTCAGAATTGACAAACGTCAAAATTCAAAGCGTGGGAAATATCTCCGAAAATATCCGATTGCTCCGTGCGGTAAAATCACGGAAATGTCCGAAGTGGCTCGGATTCGTGGGAAAGGAAACTGACGTGGTAAAGTGACGCTTCCCGCACGCTAGATCGGTGGATAATTAGGTATTTTACAGACGGGAGTAGTATAGTATTTATGAAGGCCACAGTCTCCTAGACACGATTTTCAAAAATTAAATGCGAATGTAAAAAAAAAACAAAAAAATGAGAAAAACTGTTTTCTCCTACGCAGAATGATCTGCTGAATCCAAAAACGCGTTTCCGTTCAAACCGCAAGTGCAACCATTGACTACATCAAAAAATTGGACATTAGCCTATATTAGCCCTTCCGGGAATCGAATGTGAATCACTCGCTAACAGTGATGCCTGGACGACGCAAGCGTTTAGATGCGCGGCGTTGCCAACGTTACCCCGACTATACGGCTTTTTTGTTCAATATGAGGATTGTTATCGCCGGATATCGATAAACAATCGTCGTGCTCGTCGACATGGACTCCGTTTTGACCGCGATCGACTGCCGATACCTGTTGCCAGCTCCCGGAGAGCAGGCGAGGAGGAAGAATCTTCAGTTCGTAAGTACCGTTGCGAATAATTAAGATGGAATCGGTGCGCGTGGAAACAGCGGGAAGTGCCTAGCGCGACGTTGCCGCTTCGCCGCGGATCGAACGGCCCAAGCCGACGCCCCGCGCTGTTGCCGTTCGGGCAATTTTTTTCTCGCGATTGAGAAAAATGAACAAAAATTGTATAATTCTTCATAATAACGTTTTTGAATCGAACATTACCGAAGGACCCTTATTGCAAGATTCGTAAGCATAATAGGCACTGAGTAACGGGTACGGGAGGTGTGGGCAGAGGTAATTCCTGATCCCGGCTGTATATTTCGATTGTTGCAGTACAGGGTTATTCATTATATTTTGACACCCACCTACAGGGTTAATAGGTTCCGTTAAGGGGGAAAGTTGTATATATGTGCCAAATATGAAGTCGATTGCTTCAAATTTCGGACACTTATCGTATTTCATAGCAAAATCCAAAAAACGGGCGAAAATCTAAAAAAAAAAGTGGACGGCGTGTTTGAGCGGACCCATTTTTACTGGTTTTTGTAGCTTGTGCACGGCGATTTTATCGATTTTTCGAAAGTAACAAGTGACATAGAACGTAATAAATATTTCCAGAATAGCTCGGCGAAAAAGATTGAAAACACACTTGTATCCTGCTTGTTAGTGTAGGTAGATAAATTCCTAGGACGGTCCTGCAATGGTTACGGCCAGGGTGTTCCATAGGGGGCTGCGGTTTTGTAGCTTGTAAAAGCACTCGAACGGGACATTTTCTAGCTGCTCGAGTCGCTGCTTCGGAATATGTGCTACCACGACGACTTATTCAGGGAACTGTACGTCGGCGTTCAGAAAGACTACTACGGCGACGACGACTTCAACACGAAACGCGTCGCCTCGTACAAAATCCGATTTCTTTTGGACGTCCCGAAAGCGATCAAGACGAAACTTGTGACGGAGGCGGACAGGCCCGCGCTGGCTCGAGCATACGTCTCCGACGTGACTGGGGGCGTTAGAAATAGGCCCGCGTAAATATAAAACAACATGTTCGGAGGCTTGAAGTGCTCTCGGACGCGCATGCGCGAACGAAAGGTACAAATCAGGCAGACCGATTGCTAGTGATGCGCATGCGCGCCCATGGGTGTTACGAAGTTGGAGTCGTACAGTGTGTTGTTAATTGCATGATATCTCATATATGTTTTAAAATAAACATATTTTTTTTAAATTTGAGAAAATATACTTTTTTCTATCACAAAATATCGCATAATTTGCTACTCCTTCTTAACCGGCCCTAGAAGGTAGAATCCAGAATTCAGTGGCGTCCTCAGATCTTTTTATAAAATCTAAGTTTTCAGATACAAGCTATTCTTAGATGAAACACCATGCATAGTTTTTTTCAGTCATTTTCCAAAATTATTATAAATATTTGCACTTGTTGATTTGTTTATCCCCAAAACAATACAATTTATTTAGTTGCTGCTTTCTGACAATGACTTACCAACATTTTCATAGCCTACTTTAACTTTAATTATTGTATTCTGTAATTTGATTTTTTTTTTAATAAAAATAATAGTGTTCAGTGGAATAAAAAATTAGGTTAGTTTTGGTTAGTTTGGGAATCAATTTTTTTTTAATAAAGGCTAGCAATGTCGCGAATGACGTGAAAAGCAAATATTGCAAACAAGCCCATATTTTGTCTAGTACTGCCCTGGATTCTACCTACAACCTAGCAATATAAGGTTTTTGAAAGTAGAAAGGCAACTGAAATTGTGAAATTTTACGTTTCTCCGTGTAAGTATTCGAGAAAAAACGGAATTTTTAATTTCGATTTCTAATGTCTCCTGGCATTATTTTTTTAAGGTAAAACACACTTTCATGGCCACTTTTTCTGCTCTATAACATAGTATTATTAAATACTGAATCTGACGTTTCGGCTTCAACTTTTTTTTTTTTTAAATACGGACCTGTTTTTTTTCAATTTAATTCAATCCTTGCAAAGGAAAGCAAGAAAATGTATCGATAATGAAGGTCATTTTTTGAACACTTATGGTGATTAAATTATGTTTATTTTTAATACGGGTATTAAGTATAGTACAAATTGTTTATGTAAATTTTCTATCAACAAAGTAATTTCCGCTGTTAGATAACAATGAGTTGAAATGGAAACATCCACAAAATATAATAAGTGTATTCTTTTTTCAGTGGCGTCGAGCGCCTCCTGGACAGATACGGTTATCTGGACACGCGGACGACGCGCCGATGGCTGGTGAACGTCGCGTCTGCGACCATCCGCAAAGAATGGCGGAAGCACCACAACAATCGCTACCTCGTCGAGCACCACCTGGGCGATTTTTATGTGAGCCAGCGAGATTTTCAAAAATCCGCGATGACGCGTTTTAATTATCAATCAGGTGGAGATCTGCGAAGCCGACGCCCGGCTCGCGGTGCGTCCCACAAAGTTCGCCAGGGGCGGACTGGCCCCTTTCGACGTCCACATCGAGCCGTGCATCTACTTCGGCAAATCCGATTGGCCGCCGGCCCTGAGGTCTAACCCGCTAGGGAGAGAGGTTAGGGTTGCCCAATTGATTTTACGGCAAAATGGACCCGAAAAGTTTTATTTTTAACACCGCGTATTTTGAAAACAAAGCAATTTCACGATCCTTCCTGTTGGCATGTTCAGAGATTAAGTGAAACTGTTTTATAACGAGAAAAATCTCCAAAAATTCTTAAAAAACCGCTTACTACCGCTGGTTGTTTCAGCCAAACTTTTTCGTCACGCCGAAGGCCGCGAAACGTGTGAAAAACACGGACCAATATTGGAGTCCGTGCTTTCAGTTGCAGGAGCGACGTTTGTTCAACGAGTGTCCGCCATTTCGAACGGTTGTCAAACTATTTAAGGTACGTCCGAGCCGCCATTTAGTTACAAACTCATCAGAATTATGTCCATTTACAGAGTAGAGTGGGAACAATTTAAGAAATAGAAGTTTAAAATTTAATAACAAATAAACAAATCACACAAATCGGCCAAATCAATAACAAACAAAAGAAAACGCAACGGGCCAAGATTGGAACCCTGTGGAACACCTGACGTTGCGTAATAATAGTTGGAGCAGTAACCCCTTACAACAACTCGCTGTGGTCTCATATACAAATATGATCAAAAAAATTAAATTAAAACCAAAATTGTTGAATAATTTTTTCAAAAGGACATTGTGTGACCCATTGTCATAACATCCACTTGACTTTTCTTGTCCCATCCCTCAGCAATGTGTTGAGCAATTTGCCAAAGATTCGCAGAAGTAGATTTTTTATTTAAAAAACCATGTGGAATCGTCTTTTTTGTGCTGCACAAAAGTATATAATATTTTAGCAGGACAAGAAAGTACTGATATACGTCTAAAGTTTTTAACATCAGAAACGTCACCTTTTTTTAAAAATTGGGCAGATTTTTGCTTCCCTCCATTCTGAAGGAAATGTGTTTATCTTTAAAGAGAGGTTAAAAATGTGCCAGGGGGCTCAGCAAAAAAACGCTAATCATACATTTAAAGATAAAAGAAGGAATACCATCAGACATGCTCATATCGGACATCATACAAATATAAATAATCAAAAACTTGATGTGAACTATGTGAACAGAGCTAAAACTAAAAATTTAAATGCATAACGAACTACGAACTATTAGCTTTCTGATTTTTCGTTCCTAATTTCTCTTTGGTTAAAGCAGGATACATTTTAGCACATAACTTTCTTTTGGGTACATAAACTTCAACAAAATTAATCACACATACTCATACTCTGCTATTACCATTGGTTAGTTTCCAAAACTACTCCTGCGCGGCGTTTTCTTTTTCCAGAAAATGCGGCGCTACATCAACCACGCACGCGTCCCCGAATCGTGCTTCACGAATCTGGTTTTAACCGGTTTATACGACGTCCACGACGGCGTCCGAAATCCGCCGAGCGTGCAGCCTTTGTTTTTCACGGTACGACAATATTCTCAATCACATCACAGCCGGAATCGCGCGTCCTTTCAGGTGCTGAAAGCTTATCTTCGATGCTTGGAGGACGGCAGAGTACCGTACTTCTGGAACCACCGCGTTAACCTGATGCCGGACATTGGGCGAGAGGTTCTGTCCAAGATGGTCGAACGAGTGAAAAATATCATCGCCGATTTGGAAAGTCACCCCGCGGACGCGTTTTTGGTCGCCAAATACATAAGCAAGTTTCGAACAAATGATTCGATCAATGGGACAAAAAGGTTTTTCGTTTGTAGTTTCACCGGCGAAGCTATCGGCGCTCGAAAGGGATTTGTTCAACTGACGCCGGCGTAGATTTCATTTCTTTACAAGTACCTAACCAAAACCCCGTCCACATTAATAAAAACGACTATTAGCATTTTTGAGCCAAATTCGTAGACGCCATTTGTTTTTTCCATGAAAAACCAAAAATACGTTTTTCCGACTATAAGTTTAACGCCATCTTCCGTGCACAAATACATGTAACAGGTTAAAAACTTATACCTAGGTACTCACGAATTTAATAAAATTTCCGTCTAAAACGACCTTGGAGGATATTAAAGGCACGAATCACTCAACTTTTTGATTAACTGCCGCTGTATTTTCAGACGCTTTTTCTTCAGCACTAAACACAGTCGATAAATAGGCTGCGAAAAATGCGAACGTTTAGCGTGGACCAAACAATCTCGCCCGGTACTGAACACGGACTAATTGCAGATCCGTACAGCGATTGCGTTAAAAGCGCCATCTCTTTGGACTTCGCATAATACGCTACTTATGACGCAATGATAAATTTACACTGTCGTGATCTGTTCTGAAAGTGCAATCTTTCTACGCCGACGGCAATATAAAGAATTGGGTAATCACGTCACCGTTAAACATGATCGAAAACGACTTGGTGTTGTGTGAATTTCAGCTCCAGTGTAATTTACGAGCAGCTGGTTCACAATTTACGTTTTATGATTTGACTGGTCGTGCTTACGCGTTCTTTTGTGTTGGCAGTTGAGGAGCGCCAGACGGCGGTATTTTTAAAAAGCATAGAGTGAAGGCTGGATATTTCCATTAATTTTAAGAATTATTTTTATTGTATTTACGGATTACAAAAAATAAAATAAAATAATTGATATACGCTTCCTTGTTTAATAGATAATAAGATTTTTAAAAAATCTTGTAAAAAAAAATAAAAAAAGAATTTACCATAAATAATTATGATCTGATGAAGGTTTTATATCTGTTATTTGTTTATTACTAGCTAATAGCATTTAACGGGTGTTTTCTTATCTTTTGATATTCTGTTCTTGACAAAATAAAAGTAGATTCGTTTCTCCTTAGATTCAGATTAGATAGAATAAAATGCGTTCAAAAATGAAACATAACCTCAATACGGTCCGACCAACGACAACACCAATAAAATAAATTAAATCATGGAACGTACCTTGTAATTGGGCGGCTCGTTGCGATTTTGGGTCGCTAACCTAATTAACAGATCTCCTCAACATAAAATTATTTGAAATGGCGTTACCAGAGGTCCTATCGAAACTTTTCAAGTGAGTACCTTTCGGACTATCGATCGGAGGTGTTTATTTCGCCGATTTCCAGACACATCGACGATAACAAGGCAAATTGCATCGACGCTCTAAAAGAGGCGGTGGCGATCCAGTCGGTATCGACGTGGCCCCAAAAACGTTCGGAGGTAGTGCGTATGATTCATTTCATAGCGGAAAGGCTAAAAAAATTAGGAACCGCCGTAAAATTGCGCGACAACGGTACCCAAACGTGGGCGGACGGTACCGAATTGCCTTTGCCTCCCATTTTACTTGGCGAATTAGGAAATGACCCCGAAAAGAAAACCGTGTTAGTTTACGGCCATTTGGACGTGCAGCCCGCTTACAAGGAAGACGGCTGGGACACGGAGCCTTTCGTGTTGACGGAAAAGGACGGCAAATTATTCGGGAGAGGCAGTTCGGACGACAAAGGGCCGGTGTTGTGCTGGATTCACGCCGTTGAAGGATTCCGAGCCATCGGCGACGACGTTCCCGTGAATGTAAAGTTCGTGTTCGAAGGTATGGAGGAGAGCGGGAGCGAGGGCTTGGACGAGCTCCTGTTCTCGGAGAAGGACAAGTTTTTATCGAACGTCGACTATGTATGCGTATCCGACAACTATTGGCTGGGCAAGAACAAACCTTGCATCACGTACGGCCTGCGCGGTATTTGTTATTTCTTTGTGGAAGTCGAGTGCGCCTCCAAAGATTTGCATAGCGGAGTGTACGGGGGCACCGTGCACGAGGCCATGGCCGATTTGGTGTTCCTATTGGACTCTTTGGTTGATAAAAACGGCAAAATCTTAGTGCCCGGGCTGTACGAGGACGTCGCCCCACTTTCAGGTAAGTAATAATCTTCCGGGTCTTCCAAATTGCTTGAGATATACCTCAAAACCTTAAAAATTCGAATTTGACGTTACATTGGGCAAATCTGCTAGGGACACTCGCCCATTGCCGCATCCGTTGAAAACCATTCTTTGTTGGTAACTCGGCAAGACTAAACTAAAACGTTTTAACGTTTGTTTATATTTTGGACCCCCGTTATGGGAAAAACGGCGCGAACGACAACACTTATTCTATAAAAACGTTCACATAACGGGCAAAAAATTAAACCCCCACCATTCAGACTGATATTAATAGTTTTGAAAGGAATACAACGGTTAAACCACCACAGAATATTATTACTGTTATTATTTGGGCGAGTTCAGCGAGGCCGTTCGCCCAAGCCCGTTCTTACGTCCGCTTTTTTTGTAAATTTAGAAGGCGAGAGCGAGATCTATCGCAAAATAGACTTCGACGTTAACGATTACCGGTCGGATATAAAATGTCACCGTTGGCGCTACCCTTCGTTATCGCTGCACGGCGTGGAGGGCGCGTTCTCGGAGCCCGGTCAAAAAACTGTTATTCCGCGCAAAGTGATCGGCAAATTTTCGATACGGATAGTGCCCGATCAAACGCCAGATCGGGTGGAAAAATACGTCGTTCGGCATTTGGCCGAACTGTGGCGACGGAGGGGCAGTCCGAACAAAATGAGGGCTTTTATGGCGGACGGGGGTCACCCTTGGACGGAAAACCCCTCCCACCCCCATTACGGCGCCGCCATTAACGCCACGAAGCACGTTTACGGAGTGGAGCCGGATCTGACGCGTGAAGGGGGCTCCATACCCGTAACCCTCACCCTACAGCAGGCGACGGGGCGGAACGTGCTTCTTCTGCCGGTCGGGGCGGGAGACGACGGCGCCCATTCGCAAAACGAAAAGCTGGACGTCAGGAATTACGTCGGAGGGGTGAGCGCGCGGCAAATTTCCCCGGATTGAGGTTAGAGTGTCGCGCGTGTTTTTATTTCAGACCAAATTGCTCGGGGCCTATCTCTACGAGGTGGCGCGGCTTTAGCGACGCCTGCTGCGCGATACGACGAAGCATTAAACGATGTTAACGCAGATAACGGTTGTTTTTATTTGACCCACCACAGTATAACGCTGCTCGCTCACGTACTCACTTAAAATTGGTAATTTTGTACACCCACGCGTGCTCCGTCTCTACCTGCGCTTTGTCGGGAAGCAAGACGCTTACCCGGTCGTCTCGTACCGTCCATTTGAGTTTTCCCGCGCGTCCCAGCAGCGAGACGAGCGTTTCGGACGTCCTGAACAGCGTCGCGACCGAGCCTAAGGTCAGCACGTTGTCCTTCGGCCAATAGAGGGCTACGGCGTAGACGGCGCCGTCGCGACACGTGTACCACACGTTGGAGTCGACTGTGTCGTTTTGCGCCGTCCACGGTCGACTCCCGTACACCGCCTCCCCGTTGACGGAGAGCCAACGGCCGAGGTCGAGGAGGCGCTCCTCGAAAACGGGGCTTATCGTGCCGTCCTTGGCGGGGCCCACGTTGATCAGTATGTTACCCCCGCAGCTGATCGTCGACGCTAAGGTAGCCAACAGCTCGCGAGTGGTCATGTAGTCCGCGGACCGGGCGTTCCTGCGGAAACCCCAAGACTCCTTGTCCAAGGTCATCGCGTTCTCCCACTTGCGATCCTGCAGCACCCCTGCAAATTCGATATTAACCCCTGGTTTTCGGACGGGCGCCGGGTTACCGGGGTCGTAGCGGTCCGAGCAAGTGAAAAAGCCACCGTGCTTGCACGGTATTCCCGAACCCCACCTATCGTTGACCACGACCCGATCTTTAACCGGGCTGTCGTTGTAAAGCCAGGCGAGGAACCCGGTCGAGTTCCAGTAGAGGTCGGGGGCTTCCCAGTCACCGTCGGACCACAGCACCGAAGGCTCGTACTTGTTAACCAGCTCGTACATCTCCGGCAGCATTTTGTACTCGACGAAAGTGCGTTCGGCGAACTCGCTCGCCTTGTCCGACAAGTACATCGGGTTGTACCACTCGTAAAGCGAATGGTACAACCCGAATTCGAGGTTTTCCGCGCGAACAGCGTCGCCCAGTTCGCCCACGATGTCCCGGTGGGGCCCCACGTCTTTCGCGTTCCAGCTGAACGAGTATTTCGACGGCCACAGCGTAAAACCCTCGTGGTGTTTGCTCGTCAGCACCACGTACCTGCGTTTATCAAATAAAAAAACAGAACAAAACGGTAGACTTTGCCGTACTTCGCCCCCGACTTCGCGAACAGCCGTGCCCACTCGGTGGCGTTGAAAAATTCCGCGGTGAAGTCCCTCGCGAACTCCTGATACGAGAATCCCGGCGGGAAGTTTTTCTCCACGTACTCCGCATACCGGTTGTTTTTGCCTGAAAGCGGGACGACTGACGTCACGGTTTCTCTGGTCCGTGACCTATGTACCGCAGATAGATACGACTTACCCGCTGACTTCCAATCGATCCAAAACCACTCGGAGCCGAAACTGGGAACGGAGAATACGCCCCAGTGTATAAATATGCCCACTTTGCTTTCGTCGTACCAAGACGGCAGCGGGCGCGAATCTAAACTGTCCCAATTCGGCGAATACTTGGATAGCGTCGCGTCAACTATTTCGTAGCAGGCCGCCCCCGAGATTAACAGAAATATCGAGAGAACGCGAAAACGCGCCATATTGCAATAAAGATCGAGTTGTTTGTGTATTCTCGGGTCGGTCTAATCGCCGATGACCTGAGGGGCGTTGCGCAGGGGCGTATTCGGCCCGATCTCACAGAAAATTATTTTATTCTGCGACCAAAAATATAGTGCATTTATTGCTTTCACGTTTTAAATACTTCACAGTACCTTAACCGCAGTACCGTGGTAAAACCCATTTGCATTAAGTAAGTCTTATTTGTAGAAACTTGAAATTTTTCTTTGAAACGTAAATGGAGCGTTTTAAATTTGATTCAGCATTGATGCTGCGGGGTATTTTCGAATAAGTAGAAGCGTTTCTTTTAGCGTCAGCTGATATATACGGTTCTTAAGAGTTTAATCTAAATTGCAATATGTTGACCCTGCAAGGCTGTTTTCATTGGATAGTTCAAAAGTTAAGGGTACGTACCTATACTCTATTTATCTTCCACCTAAGTTTGAAAATAATCATTTTTGTCTTGTGTGCCTCTCGATTGACAACTTTCTTCTTCTTGTATTTTTGTGTCTTCTACGTAGTTCTTCGATTTGCAAACAACAACAGTGTTTTTTAAGATTGTACTATAATCATATCCGAGGTAGAAAAAGGTACGTCATAAGAATAAGAACACTTTCAAATGTGGAGACCGTGGAATGAAGCAGATGTTCCCCTGTTGGACAATATAGAAGACCAACTATCCCAGCAAATAAAAAAACGGATCCATTTGCCTTCGGATGTTTGTATGTTTACAATTTTGTAAGAAATTCAGGAGGGGAAGTAGGAGCAGCAATAGAAACAAGATTGCTTTCGAAAAATCGTCGCCAGGCGGGGCGGTTTTCGAGAAAATAAGTTTTTTCTGAAACCATGCAGTGCGCCGTAATAATCATTGATGTTATCGCGTTTTGACTGAGCCCTCAAAATAGTGATTTTAATATGGATTTGTTCAAATATCCCGAGCAGTGTATGTGATAGACGAAAACCGCAAATACGAAAATTGTAACTCTTGATGCGCACTATAAACCGAGTAGCCATATTTTTACGATTTTTGATTTGCGGTCAATAATTTACTCCGTTACGGAACAATTTTCTAAGTCTTTTAGATTTTTGACTATAATTTAAAAACCCTGTATATAATCGACAAAATGCCTAAAATCAATGTTATGGTTCAAAAATTTGGTCGTTCGGGTGAAAGATTATGAAGGAAAACATATTTTTCTAGAAGCCAAAATTACCAAAAAAAAATTCATTTTTTTTTTAAATAGCACGGGATATCGGGAACACCCTGTACAAGAGGTGAAAATCTTAAATACAAAAAAAAGTTTTAGCGGTCTATTCGCGCTATATAGCAATGTAAAAGAAAGTGACATCTGAATAACAGTCTTTCAATTATAGGGGGACCCATTTTTTATTTCTTTTTTAATCTAGGACGGTCCTGGAATGGTTACGGGCAGGGTGTTCCATAAGGCGCTGCGGCTTTGGAGTAATAAACAGTAGGCAGAGTTAATCACGGGGTCGGTTGTAAAAGCACTATATTTCTGGTCTAAGTATAATTGATCGTTCAAATGTTAGACTTTATTTCGATGGTGACGAAAGAAAACTGCGCCACAATCAAAACGAATTTATTGCGCACAATCAGGCGATTATTTTCAAAACCCAGGCCCTTTCGCTGCGCACGACGGCCCGGTCGGGAAGGCTCACTCTCACGACGCCGTCGTCGACGGCCCACTCGAGTTCGCCGTCGTTACCCAACAGCGTCACGACGCCGGCGTCCGACAGCAATTCCGAGACCGATCCTAGCGCCACCTTGTTGCCGACGGGCCATCCGAGCACTATCGCGTATACGGCGCCATCTTTGGTCGTGTACCACACGTTCTCGTTGGCGCTGTCTTGCTGAGCGGTCCAGGGCCGGCTCGAGTAAATCGCCTCGCCGTTGATGGCGAGCCAATCGCCCAGCTGCAGGAGCCGCTCCTCGAAGATGGGATGGATGAGACCGTCCTTGGTGGGACCCACGTTTATGAGCAGGTTGCCGTTGCAGCTCACCGTCGACGCCAGCTCACTGAGCAGCTCCTCCGTGGTCAAGTACTCGGCTAGTTTCGCGTTGCGTCGGTAACCCCACGACACGCGGTCGATGGTCATCGCGTTTTCCCATTTGTGTTCCTGCAACGTGCCTGAAAGGAATATTCGTGAAAAACTCGTGCCAACGGGTGCTTCATTTTAAGATATAAGTGATAGATAGTAAAAGTGATTAGTCGGTCATCCGACCTAACCTCATCGCACCCTCTCCCTCAACCCTCAACTCAACCCCTATCCGCTCTCGTAATCCCTCACCTCCTTCCCCATCCTGGCGCAGCAACTTAAACTCTACTACATTTTTCGCCATAATGACTCATCTTTTTTTTTTTCGCGTCTACCGAGGATCGAACCTGGGATCCGTCCGTTGCTGAAAGCCGACTTTAACCTCGAGCTAACGAACTTATTAAAATCACTGGGTAATTATGTGATAGATATGGAGAAAGATGACTCAGAGAGAAGAAGCGCGGGATCCTTATCTATTATACAATTGTTAACAAAAATATACGGGGCGTGTCGGTTCTGCGTGAAAAACCGAACCTTCTCGAAAACTGCGACAAGTCGATTTCGTCTGAACGCGTTCATAGCCCTCGTCGAGAATTACAATTTTTGTATTTAGCGTTTTTCACATTGTATAGGGTGCGCGAAATATTTCATCAAAAACGGTTGATAATAATTCGTACCGATAGTAAACTATTACCCGTGACTACAATACAGTGACAAACGGTACAGTTTGATTTATATTATTTGGTAGGGCGCGTCGGGAGCTACAATTTATGTATTTACTGTTTTCTCAAAATGTACAGGGTGCGCGAGATATTTCATCGAAAACGCTTAATAATACTTCACACCGATAGTAAACTATTAACCAGAACTGAAATGCCGTGCCAAACGGAGCAATTTGATTTATTTTAAAGTCTGTTCATAGATATAAGAAAGTGATTAACTGATACGAAATACTTTGCTTAGAATTTAATTATCTGGGGTTTTGTTAAGAAGGATATTAAACAATATTTATTTATTTATGTATGTATTTATGTTTAAATCTAAAATAAAATTACAAATTATTTCTATTACCTACTTAAATTACTTAAAATTATTCACATAATATATCAGTATCACTATCGCTATCATCGCCTGTTATAATTATTATTTGTTCTATATTATTTGCAATATGGATATAGGATTGTTCTGCTTTTTCTATATGTTTAACAGATTTGCCCAACTTTGTTTTACACTTATCAGTTGAGTCAACCCAACCCTTTTCCGGGGTATCGTAAGTGTCGAACCAGGTTTCATCCAAGTAAATAATTGGTCTTTGTTCTCTGTAAATCCTAATATTTTCTAGATATTCCAGTCGCCATTTCCGAATTCTAAAAGATTCCATTAAAACTTGCCTTTTGTCAATTTTTTTAAATCTAAAACCCATGTGTTGAATACACTTCCATAAGGTAGTTCTCCCACATTTAACACCGGAAGCGTCGCTTCTATTTCCCCTCGCTGCAATGGGATTATTCACAATTTCCCATACAGTTGATGTTGGAATTTTCGTCAATGGGGCCGTTTCTTCTAAAGATGCTTGCTTGCTGGCACCACGTTCAATGAGAGTCAAATAAACATTGTTTATAACTTCCTTAGTCTCAATAGAATAGTGTTTTCTACATTTGGGCGGGAGCATCTCCTGAGATACACTAGACTCGCACATATTTTGCATAATTCGCACACGATTCAACGCACGCTGTATTACACACGAAATAAGAATGATTATTAATAAACTTAAACTAAGTAGTACACCAAACCAAAGATTATTAAACGCAGGTAGGTATAAAATTATTCTGTATTACGGCCCACAATTATGCCTGAATTTAAATTCCGAAACTTTAGGTAATAATCTTGTTGCATTGTATGTTAATGACCACCCGTAAATAATCCCATTCAAAAGCAATTGATCATTTTCTTATATCTATGAACAGACTATACCTGGTAGAACGCGTTGGGAGCTACAATTGCGCGAGATATTTGATCGAAAACGGTCAGAAATGATTAACGGTAACCGCAATACCGTGGTGAAGGGGACAGAGCTACGATATTCACGGGTTTCGTCTATTATACAGGGCACGCCAGATATTCGAACATAACGTTTGCGAAAATTCGGTTGCAGTTCGCAGAATAAAACAAAACACAGCAATGGAAACATTGAAACAACCCTGCCCCGCCCCTATGCGATATATACCGGGATTATATCGGTCATTGCACGTGAAGAAGCCGCCGTGGTTGCAGGGTATTCCTGAACCCCACCGATCGTTTGTAACGACGTAGTCTTTGACGGGACTTTCGTTGTAGAGCCAGGCGAGGAACTCGGTGGAGTTCCAGTAGAAGTCGGGCACCTCCCAGTCGCCGTCGGACCACAGTATCGCAGGCTCGTAGTTGTTAATCAGCTCGTAGAGTTCTGGCAGGACCTTGTTGTCGACGAAGCTTCTCGCGTCGTAGTTCTCTTTCGCTTCGAGGTACATCGGATTGTACCACTCGAGCAGCGAGTGGTACACGCCGAAGGTGAGGTTGGCCGCCCGGACCGCCTCGCCCAAGTCCCCCACTAAATCCCTGTGGGGCCCGACGTCCTGCGAGTTCCAGCTGTACGAGTACTTGGACGGCCACAGCGTGTACCCCTCGTGGTGTTTGCTCGTCAGCACCACGTACCTGCGACGCGTGATGAAATCGCGGTAACGTCGTGACGTCACGAGCCGCGTACTTACTTCGCTCCCGATTTAACGAACAAGTCGGCCCAGTCGGCGGGATTGAAAAACTCGGCGGTGAAGTCTTTCGCGAACTCCTGATACGAAAATCCCGGCGGGTAGTTCTTCTCGATGTAGTCGACGTATTCGTTGTTGCTGCCTGCGGATTTTATTGTTCTGTGGTCCGTCGCGTTATTGAAATGACGTCATATAATCTAGCGAGTAGTATCACAACTAATGTTTTTGTCATTTGTCGTGTACCACTGCCGTGTGTATGTTTTACGGTTATCGCACTCACCGCCCGTCCTCCAGTTGGCCCAGAACCACTCGGAACCAAAGCTGGGTACCGAATAGACGCCCCAGTGCAGGAAGATGCCGACCTTGGCCTCGTCGTACCACGAAGGCAACGGCCTGGAGTCCAGGCTGGCCCAATTGGCATCGTAGGCGGCCTCGGCCGCCGCCACACAGAGGAGTCCCAATATGGATGCTCTCGGGAACATGTCTTTTTCACATTTGAAGCGGCGACGAACATCATAATGACTATAACTTCGTCCGTTATTATCTTATCGGTCCTTAAGGGTACTCGACTCTCTCCTCGACAACAACGCACTCGAGGAAGGTGCAAAAAACAAATTTCAAAACAAAAACAGTTTCAATCGCGATAATTGTGTAAAAATTCCATTCGAAAGATTTCTGAGACACAAAAAACGGAAGGCTATCTCGCGGGTTCTGCGGTCGCCGTTATATAACCGATTTTGTCGCCGCCATCTTAAGTTTTCGTCTTTGAATTGATTGGAAAAATTGTTATATTTCATATTTCTTATACACAAGCTGGTCATTAAAGAATCGGGCCATAATACGTTTTACGTTAACTCTGACATTTAAATCTCCAATTTTTGATAATTCAGTGAGATAAAACAAAAAAAATAATATTACATTACATTACATTTTACATAGGGCTTCTTTAAATGTTTTCTTATAAGTTAAACCTAACTAGTTTGGAATTAGAAGTGTAATTATGTTCGATGACATTTGACACCATGAAAGAAAACTTCTTCTTTTCTTGACATTGACATTAGAATTGGGTTCGAGCAGAAGATAACTCGTTTGTTAAGGGATTTTGTCCCAAGAAGATTAGATAGACTATTAAAACATGTGCATAGAACATTCTCTTTTAACCTAATATTCAAATATTCGTAGAATGTTTTCCATTATCTAATATAATTTATGATTATTTTCCAAGTAATATTTGGGGAAGTTTCATAAAGAAGAAACATTCGAAGTTGTGATATAAAGGTATATATATGTATAATAGAGTGCATTCTTCTTATTTGGTGCTTACTTTAATTTATTTTTTTATCTCGCTACAATCGAGGAGCCCGCGCGCATCGCTTTCCGTGTTCCGTGTGCGTGACGTAACGGTCAATGTCGCGCCGATCGACGTTGTTCGGTAATAATTTTGCGGTTTCGGCGTAATTTTTGCGAGCTTTAAGGATAACTGGGTGTTACGGCGATTCCGTCTCGCCGCGATTTCGCCAAATCTGGCGGGTACGTAACGCGGAAACGCGCAGGCGTTTGTGTTTACATCCCTGGCCTAACCGAAGTCGTCTACTCTGCCGTCCAAGGAGCACTAGACGCGCTCCGCAGCCGACGGTTTATCGTTCTCTCTTTTTTTTTTTTTTTTGGTGTTTTTCTGGCCGCAGCGGGCCTTGAATCGTTGTCCGCGGCGGTTTTTTCGTCGGCGCCCTCTGAGTGGGGAGCGGTGGCTGCGACGGTGGGGTTGTTAGTTTAAAATCGCGGGTCAGACGCCGTTTCCGGCAGGTCGCGTGTTGACGATGCCGAGCGCTTACGAAATTGCCGGCGACGACGCCAGGCGTCACAAAGTGCCCGTGTTGTATACGAGAGGCACTCACTACGAAGTCGGTTACGACGTGGTAAGTAAGATTTTTAATCCCACGCCGGTGCGAAATGCGGGAATGGCGAAAGAACCCTTACTTTAAGAAACGATCAACGTATCGAGCCAGGGTTGGGCCTATTTAATTTACGATGTAAAGGTATATACGAAATTGAGTTCGAAAACTTGGAGAAAAATGTAACAAAATTTTATTTTTAACGCAGTGGGCTAATAATAATAAGTTGGTATTTTATACACAGTCATCGTTACAAAATACAAAAGTTTCAGAAATCTGTCACCAGAGGGCACTTTACCTAGAATATTTTTTATATTTTCCCTCTATTTTATTTATTTAAACAACAATTAAAATTGTTACTCTTGTTTTAAGTTCGATAAGTGTTATCCTTTAGCCTCAAAATTTGATTTTACCCAACAGGATTTAATGAAATTTAAAAATTAGTTTGTATTAAAAGAGATTATTATCCACTGTGATGGTCCATCAGGAATATTCAAATACTGAATATCGCGACATGCATGTTTGCTACGGAAGAACAAATGGAAATGCAGATTATTATTTTTTTATTCTAATTGTTTTAAGTCAATAAGTGCTATCGTTTAGCCATAAATCGATTTTTTTATTCTCGACTATTTTGAATTTATGAACACAAGGATGTATTACACTAAAATAACTTTATAATTAATGAATACACTGATTTTAAATTAACACTCTCTCTCATGTTAGGTTAGGTTCTATTCTACACCGTTTCCTCTTCTCTTTTTACAGTGGATTAATGTCAAGTAATCACAACATTCCTCGTCGATTTGAAGTTTTACAAATGTTTGGATAAATGAAAATCGTGATTACAAGAATAAACAATTGCAGTGTTATACAATATTACACTTATCTCTAAGTTTTACAAATAAATCCTTGCTTAAAGGTTTTGTTAACATGTCTAAATTTTCCTCAGTTGGTACATATTCAACAGATATTTTCTTGTGTAATACTAAATTTTTTAAATAATGATTCTTTATATCTATGTGTTTAGCCCTTTTCGAATTCTCATTACTTTTTGACATTAATATTGAACTTCTGTTATCACAAAAAAGCAGTGTGGGAATATTAAGCTTAAAATCATGTAACACCCCTTTAAGATTCATTAGGTCCTGAGCACAAGCAGCCGCTGCAACATATTCCGCTTCGGCGGTAGAAAGAGCAAATCATCCCTGTTTCTTTGAAAACCAGCATACAGGGTTGTTACCAAGTAAAATTAAGCGACCACTTACACTCTTCCGATCATGTTTATCTGATGCCCAATCTGAATCTGAAAAAGCTTTTAATTTTACTCTGTCATTACTTGATTCATTTTTCACAAAAGTTAACCCTTTAAATTTAGTAGTATTTCAATAACGTAGTATTCGTTTTCCTGCGTTCCAAGTATCATTTTTTGGCTTGTCCAGAAATCTACTTAAATATGAAACAGAAAATGTTATATCAGGTCGTGTAGTGGTTGACAAGTACATCAGTCCTCCGATCAATTGCCTGTAAGGAACATTCACAATCTCACTATTTTCATTATATTGAAATCCTTTTTCCGTAGGTGTAGATTTTCCACTACACTCTTTCATGTTAAAATTTTCCAATAGTTTTTCAATAAATTTTGTTTGCTTTATTTCTAGTTTACCTCGATCTTCCTTTCTGTTTATTGTCATCCCTAAGAAATTCTTGACTTCTCCCATATCTTTTGCTTGAAAAGTTTCTTTAGTAAAAATACTGTTTCTTCAATGTTTTCATTCGTTCCCACTACTAACATGTCGTCTACATATAATAATATCCAGTTATTTTTACCACAGTACAAGCAGCAATCATGTCTTGATCTCTGAAAATTGTTTTCAACAGCAAAATGTGATACTTCTTTCTCCAACGTATCTTCAATCTGTTTCTCCTCCAGAAATGCTTTAACTCTAAACCTCCAGTTATTATAATTCTGTGCATTTAATTGTGGAAATACCACCGACGACGTATTCATTTTGCCGTTACAAGTTTAATACACCTGTTCAAAAAAAATTTGACAAAATCCATTGTTACATCTGTGTTTAATGTTTCAATCGCCGTTATTACAGGATCATAGTCCTCATTAAGAGACAAAAGTAAGTGGCACGCCTTATCCGATTCTTCGATTTTTGACCCAATACTTTCTAATTCTCTTATTACAGCGTCAAATTTCAAAAAATGATCCTCTAATTTTTCGTTCCTTTTGCATTTTATTGTTAGCAACTTCTTCTTTAAAGTCGACTTCGAAAATACACTTTTCCTTTGAAATACATCTTCTAATGCTTTTAACATATGCTTCGCTGTAGTTGACTCTTTAATTATATCAAGGTGTTTGCACTTACACATTGCACTATAATTGATTTTGCCTTTGCCCATTCGCAAGCAATTGGTCACTTTCTTATATCTATGAACAGACCATACCTAAAACTTTTTTCAGCTATTGTACAGGGTGTCCCCGATGTTCCGTGCTAAATAAGAAATATGTTAATTGTTCTAGATTTGCAGATATCAGCTTCAAATTTAGCAGAGAAGTAAAGGTCCGTGTCCACATTTAAACAATAGAAATTGGGTGCAATCATATTTTACCAAGAATTTTTTTAAAATTTTTGAATTTTTTTTTGGTAATTTTGGCTTCCAGAATAATATGTTTTCCTCCATAATCGTTCACCCGATCGGCAAAATTCTTTAACCAGCAGACGCGGAAGATCCAGTGCAATAACATTTATTTCAGGCATCTAAAAGACCTAGAATTTTTTTGCGGGGTAAATTATTAACCACAAATCATAAATCGCAAAAATATGGCTAATCGCTTCAAACAGTGTCAATATTTTGAAAAATCCATATGAAAATCGCTATTTCGGGGGCTCAGTCAAGACGCGATGACGTCATTGATTCTTGCGGCGCATTGCATGGTTTCAGAAATACCTTATTTTCTCGAAAACCATTTACTATTTCGGAAAAATTCTGGAATCAGGAAAAGTGGAAGTTTCAGAGCATTTGCGGATTTTTTCAATTATGTACCAATTATGGGAAAAGAGCACGATAGAAAACCAATGCGTCCCCTTAGGAAAAGAAACCATGAAGCATCTTCTTTTTAAAATAAAAGTCTGCTTCGCGCAATCTTGTTCGCGAACATTTTTTTTTAAATCATAGTCAACTATGATTCCTGTATAAAAAATCCTAGCGCGCCGCTGCGTTTGCCTCGAAAAAGCGCCTTAACATTGTATTTAACTGAATCGTAAATATTCGCAAATAAAAAAGTTGCCGATAAATTTGAAAAATTGGCCGCGACGTCAGTCGATTTCCAGGCAGTTGGGAAATAGGTTTTTCGTGATAAAAAAAAAGGTTCCAATTAACACCGCAGGGCGGCGCGGACGGCGACGCTTATCGAAATTTTCGAAAATTCGGCCAAGGTACGGACGGCTTATCTTTTGTTTTCCGACGACGCGGATCTGATGCCGCCTTGATCCCGAGCAAACGCGATAATAATGTGAAAAAAATAGAAACGAGACAGAAAGAGAACGCGCGTCCGGCTCCAATTAACGAGGCGATTTAGCGGCGAAAACTGGAATCGTGGGTGGGGGTGGGGATATCGCGGCGCTAGCGACGCAGAAAAATAGTTCGGAGCTCGGGAAACGGACGTCCAGTGTCGAGGAAAACGCGTCGGGATGCCGAGCGAAAACTTGGGCAGACGGCACTGCGTCCCCGTCCTATATACGAGGGGCACGCACTACGAAGTCGGCTACGACGTGGTACGTAGAGATTTGCTTTTTTGTTTTCGGAGGATTTCGACCGAAAGCGTTATTTTTTTCTAACGTCCGTTAAGACAAAAAGTCCACGTTTGTGAGGTATTCTGATTTTTTTTAACGGGCAATTAAAGCATCTTTCAATAATAAACAAATTAAATACCAATACCAATGTGTAATTATTAGGTAATTATTTTTTTTAAGTTGTGAATTGCGCCCAAGGTGTACATAAACACGAAATTAAAATGATTAAATCAGACGAATTCGTTGGTGTTTGTTTAATTGTTCCGTCGTTTTATTTTGCTTTATTTACATTTTTTTCATCAACCTAATATGATTAATTCTAAGCTGCATGTAGGAATAACCTACATCCGGTATACAATTTTAAAAATGTATCACGCGGATGAACGGGATTGTATGCGGACTTAAGAAAAAAACTGACCTCAAACTGACAGCGGAATAACAATCTTGTCAGTTCTGTTTCAACGCCTACTTTTCAATTTTAAAATAAATAAGGCGACCGTGCCTCCTAGCAATATCAATCGAGCGTACCTTTTTCGCGTCACAGAACACAATTTTTACGATTTTGTACGAAAAACTCTAAAGGTCAACCCACAAAAAAGTGATTGACATTTGACATTTATAATTTTAGAATTACATTCTGCACATATGTTTATATAGAAAAACTATTGGTTATTTTGGACGTATAATAGAATGGCACATATTATGAACAAAATCACATGAATATCAATAACCATTAAATTTAAAACACACATTGAAAAAACGTTAAAAACCAAAACCTAAAAATTAGTTTTCTAAGTACATACTTGACATTGTAAGGATGAAGGTTTGGACTCGCTTTTAAGTAAACAGCCGCATAGTCAGCAGGAACGCTAATTACAGTATGTTAATTAGACCTCGTCCATTTGCTCTATTAGGGCTTTGGTTATTACAGCAATATTGGTAACAGAATGTGATAAAACAGCATTTTCGCTGTGACTCCAGACATCACTATACAAAATATTTTTTTTAATTTTCAATCAATGTTGAAGTAATGTTATCGAAACATTTAATTGGGCAAAATTCCTGTTTTATTGCTAACATTTTGAAATCCCTTATTTAGATGCTAAATATAGGAAAAAATAGGAAAAAACATTTAAAACATTGAATTATACTACTTTCCGATTCTCACAATCGGACACCCGGTAAAAAAATTTGTAAGTAAATAAAATTTAAACGAATTCTTGTTGATAGTTTTATTAATATTTTACAAAATATACACTGTTTCGCCTCACTGTCGTTTACTTCCTCGTATCGCTCGGCGCGATGAAGTGGTCCGTGAATCACTCCGTGACGTCTCCTTTTCGACGAAATGGAAGACGATTTTCCCTAAACCGGGCTTCCGTATTTACTTTACATCGCTTTCGATTATAAAAACAAATCGATTTAAATACGTCGATCACTTTTTTGTCGTCGTGCGTAATTTATGCGCACGTAACGACGCGAAATATGCGGTATCACGCGTATTGATTTGTTTTATTTATTAACGCGCGAATAGGAATCGATCGTTTTTTTCACGGCGCGGTTTTTTACCGCAGATCAAAGCCGGCCTGTCTAACGGCACGGCTCGGGGAAAATTACGATAATCGAGAGAGTCACGCGCGAAGGAGGCGCGAGAAAATCCGCGGGAAACGCGCAATTATCGCGCGGCGCCACTGTAATTTATCGCTCGTCCTCTCAAGGAAACTTTAGCATGAAAGGTTTTGCGGCAAACGTCCACCCATGCCATCGATACGTATCTGGTTACGCGAAATCGAGTCGGCCGCGTCCGTTGACACCGCAACGGCGGGCCACGGAGTATAGAAAGTCGCGGACCACAAATATTCATGCGTTTTTCCAGGGCCGGACGTTCTCGGGGGTGATCCAGAGCTTCCTGCGTTGCTCGGAGAGCCTGCCCGAGTTCCTCGACGCGTACGAAACGGCGGAAGGCCGCCGCGCGTACGACGACACCCTCGCTTGTCTCAAAGCCAACTTCCCGCAGTACGTGCGGGAACTGGAAGGCACCGCAGATGGCGCCAACGTTCCGTTCCACAAGGTCAGAGTTGACGTCGCGGCCGCGCGCAACACAATGTTATTGTTGCGGCAGAAAACGACTTATTAATTATTCGGCCTCGCCATTTTTATGTTGCAGCTCTTTCTCCATCACATGGACAACATTATACTGCACGCGGCCAGAAAACGTATCATCGAACAGCCGACCGGGTGCTCGACTATCTGCGTGAATCAGGACGGCCAAGTAAGCAGCGCGACCAGAAAATTTAGTTTACGCAGCGTTGGGCACGGTTACTAGGGACATTGGCACTGCTCTTAACAGGCTTCATTAAGTGGACGCGCAATTGGATTAGTATTTTAACTCGATTAACTTTACGTAACGCGCGGCTAATCGGATTTAACGAGACCGAAAGGCTTCCTTTCAACGTCTTCATTGGCGGTGTTTATAAAAGTCGCGTATCGTCGGCGGTCCGTGACGTCACCGCTTCCGTAGTCCGCGAAAAATCCGTTCGCTCGTTGAACTCCGACTGGAATCCTGAAGACGTCTCGCCAAAATCTCACTTGGCATCTTCAATGCTCGCGCTCCGAAAACACTTCGAACACTGTGTATGGCTGGCGATGCTATTTGGAACACGCGTTTCAGGAATTGCTGGGCCACACCGAGGACGCGTTAGCGTCGACCCTGAACCATTTTTACTTCGTATCAGCTCACATCGTTTCTGACAAACCTCTTGGCAAGTGGGGCGTCAAAGAGGAACGTTTCACGTCGTTGTGTTACGCGGGCCACCTGCCCGGTTACACGATGAGCTACAACCACCACGGCCTCGTGTTTTCCATCAATACGCTGAGCGCGAAACACCTCAGGCCCGGCAAGACGCCCCGCCATTTTGTGGCGAGGGCGCTGCTGACGGCAGACAATTTTGAACGCGCGCAGAAAATCCTGCGAGACGCGGGCTGCGGCGCCGGCGACGGCTGCTCCGTCAATATGACGTTCCTGCGGCAAGACGGCGACCGTCTGTTTCACAACGCCGAAATGGCGCCCGCCGCCGACAAATCAGACGAGTCGCAGCTGAACATTCTGACCGCTAGTCCCGGCGAACACATCGTCCACTGTAACTCGTAAGTGGTCCGCGACCGGTCCGTGGTCCGTGCGAGTCTTCTTCGTTTTCGCGGTAGGCCCAATGTTTAACGGCACGGACCATGGACGAAACGATGTCGCTAATCAACGTAACGTCAGCTGCCGAAGTTTGGTATCCAATTTGATTTGATTAGCCAATCAGTGGATAGGGTTGATTCAGTTTTTGTGTGATTTTTAATTCTTGCAGATTATTTAACAGAGATCGTAATCATTTATCAACAGTTCACTATTCGTACTGCTTTATTAAATGTTAAAAATGATCTGAAATGATTATAGATTACTTGTTTTCAATAAAATACCCCAACTTGTGTCTTTTATTTCCAGCGATTGTGTAGTACACTATTGATAAAACGCACAAAAACTGAAACTCTCATTCTGAATCTCAAATATAGACAGTCACCAGCTCTACGTCATCAACAATGTAACATATTGTAATGATTGCGTTTCGCATAGTTATCAGAGGATGCAGGTCGAGGAAGCCAACAAGAGCATGACGGACAGCAGCGTTGCCAGATTGGCGACGTTCCAAAAGTACAGGGCGCCCAAGAACGAATCCGACCTAAAGAAAATGTTGAGCGATCGGAGCCACCCGACCCACCAGGTGTTCAGAGACGGCAAAGATGATTACGTCAAGACCATATGCGTGGGTACGGTTTTTTTTTTCTGAATTAAACGAAATAGTGGGTTGATTAATTTGTTCTTTAAGGAATTTTCGACTGCGTCGCGAAGACGTGGTCTCTATACGCCGATAGACCCAGCGAGACGGAGCCACTGGTCGTCCTGCCTTTAGCGTTGAAAACATAACCTCCAAACCTCGAATAGTTTAGTTTGATTTTAACGTACCTTATAATAAATAATAAGCAGTGTTAGTTATACACGGATTTATTTGTACAAAATAACCTATTCCAAATCCAGAGATAAAAGAAACATTAAATATTACATCCCACAACTTCCGCCTGGGCACCCACCCACTCCTCTGACGGTCGGTTTGTTGATATCGCTCATACTCCTAAATCTAGGGCCACCGCCGCCCTTGCCGGGCCTAAGAGCGAATAAATACAATCGAAAAGTCAGCACCATCAGTGGCTAGACTTACCCAAAAGGTCCGCCGCTGCCTCCACCGCCTCCAAACGAAGAACCGCTACTTGTACTCGCTTTTGACGAACTGGTATCCATTCCGAGCAACGACTTAAAGCTGAAAACGAACGACATCGAACATTTGCGTAACGATACCGAAGTACGTACAAGAATATCACAAAGGAGAATATGCCGAATACGAAGCTAACGAGTCTCGTATGGAGTGGTGGATTTTCCGTCACCGTTCCGTCTAAAAACCACGCATATTATTGCGGAATACGTTTTCGAAACGCGTATACGGCGCTTACCGCTCCTGACATACACCATGTTTCCGAGGTCGTATTGTTTTTAGACGAGGGCGTTGAGTTTACGTTTTCGACACACCTAACCTCAATTTTTGACACTTTGAGACAGTATGAGCACAGAACGCGAGAAAGATAGAAAATACTATTCGCTGACGGAGGGGTACGACTGCTTTGGTCAAAGCACATAAGGAAAGAGAAACTTTCTGCTAAGCAACATAGAAAGAGCTTTTATTCTACGCGAGTAACCACGGAACATCTCTTCGCCACAGAATAGACAAACGCCAGAAAGATTACGAAAACCGATGATGTATGCAGAACAGTATTAAAATTGTTTTCTGTATTTTTGAGTTAGCAAAAACTGAGTGATCGTTCTGGTTGTTTGTTCATTCTGTGATTAAGAGGTGTTGTCCACATGCGATGTATTTTTGTGGATGAGAAACGAAAAGTAAAAATTATAGACGTAGAATACCAAACTTGATTGTTTCTTTACGCTACTTAGTTTCAGTCGGACGGCCTTGAATATTATTCGAATTAAAAAAGATTGCGTTCATTTAATAATTAGATAATAGAGAGCAGAGTTTCGTCGTGGTGGGCTTTGCCCGCAATTATGGAAGTTACCTGCCCAGGGATTGACTCTCAAAGATTTTGCTAATAATATAATTTTTTTGTACATAAAGAAAAAACGATTATCGAATACATATTGTTTTTTAATTGCATATGAATGTGGGACGGACTTCCAAAAGTTGCGCTTTTTTGTAAATGAACTCAAAATAAATATCATTTTCTAATATTCCTGGATTTCAGTTTATCAACTTGATAAGGCTAGTGCGTATTGGACTGTTGTGGTAGCTTGTGTTATGCATGGCAATAAGTCGTCCTACAGTTTTGAGTGAAATCAGCCAAACCTTTGGATACAGTGTCGTGTGTATCGATTGTTTAATCTATATCTTGAAGGTAATTAAATCCAAGTGCGTAATCTGTGTGATTCCATTACTACTTGTCTTTTATCTACTTTGCGGTACTTAAATCTCATTTTATGAACAACTCCATGGAGGGTGACACAGCTTATATTCATATTGGTTTCACCTTGTTCCAGCTTCTTTTTCAGTTTACCTAAGGTAGAAATAACTTTGCTTTCATAAAGACAATATATTTTCCTTGTTATTAGGTTCTGATCATTATTGTCCATACGGTGAGTTTGAAAATCATTACTTTTACTCCTTTTGTTCAATTCTCCACTATTAATAATATCCCTCATCTACGATTGGCATTTTTCTAAGTAGACAGGTTACTTTTTAAGCTTCTTATTGAATAATTAAAGTTTCATACACATTTTTCCCAACCTGTTTTGTATCAAGGTACAATAGTATATTATGCAACAAGTGCGGTATCCGGCATTTGACTCACGAGTTTATTTGACACAAACGGACGGAAGTAGAAAAATGACTTTGACGATTACTCAACACTGCCACAAGTGGTCAACACTCTTATTAACTTTCTTCTTCTTTCGCTGGTGGATGCGCGAATGCGTAAACACGGAACCACAGACTGTGACGTCACAATAAGGAGACCAACATACATTTAGACAGCGAGTTTATTTAGTCAACTCAAGGTGGTATTTAAAAATGTAACAAACAAATAAATAACTTACTTCAAAAATTAACCTAAACCTGAGTCGGAACATAACAACAACAAAAATGGCGAAACCGTGACAACTTTAAGGGTAAGCGTCGACCTTGTTCAAACTCCCACGCGACGAACTCAATTCAAAAAGAAAAAAAGAAAAAACTAAACCGGGCGACGCTGCCAAAGTGACAATAGCGCGACGGGAGGCCTCCGGGAGCGTGAGTTTGGCAACGCCGCCGTGCAACTAAACAAAACCCAATCGGGGAACAAAAAAAACTGAGGGGGCGCGGAAAGTGTTGAAAAAGGGCTCGCGAGCTTAATGCAACAGCATAAAATCTCTTTTATAGGTACGAATAAACGATCGGGTATTACGTCCGGACATCACTGATTTTCAGTTCTTTCGAATCACAGCCCTGCGTGTGTGTGTGTGCGGGGGGCAGATATTGCACCGGGCCCGCTCACTGTTTCGCCTTCGACGGGCGCGAGTAGAAGCCGTCTTCGAGCGAGCTGTAATCCTTCTGCGGCCTCTTCCTCGCGCGACCCGAGCGCGAGCTGTCGTCCATTGCGAACGCTGAAACGTGGCGACGGGAATATCAGAAAAAATTGTCCGGTACGTTTGAACTACCGCGACACTTACTGACTCGTTTCGGCGCGTGCTCGACCGCCGGATTCGTCTTGCCGGGTCCTGCAAGTCAAATAGGTGTGACGGAGGAAGGCAAGGGAGCGGCATTTATATACGGGGCGTTATCGAAATGACACTAGATTATTTAACCAGTGACTCTCCGAGAGCCAGCGAGTAGGAAAGCGTGAATCGGTCGTTAATGCCATCGAGCAATAATTCTTAATGGAATAGTAGAAACGGTTCGCATCTATGGTAGAAATAATAATGTACACCGTGTCAAATAAAACGATCCACTATACGATCCGAAAAAAAGTTTCTTGGACTCTCCAGAATATTTAAAATACAGTGGACCTTTGATAAGTCGAATTTCGATACCTCGATTTTTTTATAGGTCGAACCAAATTGGTTGGCAATAGTGTCAAAACTAGGAAATGCGTGTTAGTTTGTCTTGATTACTCGAATATCTTGATAACTCGAACGAAACATTTGGTGCCAACTTCAATAAGTCGAATTTTCTCGGGGAAACTCTTAATTACGACCGATCTTAACCTGTCTTTTTAACGTATCTATGCAAGCAGTTCAGTTTCTGTGCTTGCTAAGTTCACTTGTATGACTTACTAGTTAATAATAAGTGAAAAATACTGTTCCTATTCAATTTACACATTATATTAAAGACATTTTTGGATTTTTGCATTTGTTGATATGTCATCAAAACGTACTATAAAATCTTTGTCTGTTGATCAAAAATTCAAGGTTATAAAAAGAAGTGGAAAGTGGCTCAAAAAATAAAGATGTAGCTGTGAAGTATGGTATTTCGGCAAGTACAGTGTCAATAATTTTGAAAATAAACATTCAGTCATCGCCGAAATGGAATGTTTCGAAGAAAACAAAAACAATAACATTACACTAATGGATTGTGTTGACAACGTAACTACCGCATGGAATATCGACGTTAAGCCTGAAACAATTTCCAATTGTTTTAAAAAAGCCGGTTTTGGTCAGTATTCTGAATGGGAAGAAGATGAGATTCCCTTGATTTTCCTAAGTGCTTGAAAAAAAAGAGTGAAGACGAAATCCAAATAGAAATCGAGTTGAGGTATAGCAGAAGGTAGCACCATCAACGATTTTATACATGTGGATGAGGATATTGCTACTTCAGAGTTTCCTACTGATGAAGATATTATTGAGTCCTGTAGATCCGGACCGTTATAGTTAAACATCGAAGATGACTGCGAAAGTGGAGGAGGAATTGGAAGATGATTCTCAGCAACCAACTTCAAATGAATTGGTTGAAAATTCGTTGATTGTCTTGCGTTAATATTTGAAAACCAGTGAATACACAACCCATTCCCTCTATGATTGTTTAAATAAAATTGAAGCTTTTGTTGACAACCAAAATAAGAAATCCGGTCGTCAGTTACAAATAACTGACTTTTTTCCAGTGAAAGAGTAAACTTTAATATGTACATACATATGTATGTATATGTACATATATAATACATTTGTATGTACATATATTATGTAAATACATACATACATATGTACTACTATTTCATAATTTTCGTTTTTTGTTCATTGGCATTTATGTAACGTATAACCCATTTTTAAAAATGAATGAATAAATGTTCATTCGCAAAAAAGTACATGCATTTGTATTTTTTATTGGTAACTCGAAATTTTCATGTGTCTAATCGCAGTTCGACTGTATTATAATTTTGTTGATACGGGGTGCCCCAACAGTGTCCTCCCGACATCAACTTTGTTATTTTAAACGAAACACCCTATGTATTTAGACATTTTTGGACTCCTTGGTTAAAATATAGATCACTTTCTTAAGGAAATGACAGGAAATTTCTAAAATGGTCTACTTGATGATGCTATGATCAGGTTGTTCTTACAGAAAAGATCAGAATAGGTTTCAACTTTTGAGCACCTTTCGGTGGGCTGGCTCTATAGATGTAAAAAACGTCATAGAATACGAGAATTTGCTCTTCAAGGGGAGAAATTAAGTTAATTAATTAAAGCCTGAGCACGTGTACAATGGCCCTTTATTGGAAAGCTATGCCGAAAAAAATACTTGTTGCAGGCTCGGAAACTGGTGCACCAATGTTTCTTGTTTTTTTTTTTAGATTTTAAAGTAAGCGAAGAAAGTTTTCCAGTTAAATGCTGTGCTAATGCATCAGACTTTATGCTTTAACTGTTGGGGGAATGCGATTTTATGGGGTTTTGGAAATGTCTGAATTTGAAAAGCAGATTGAGATGGTACTAAAGGCGATGGTCACTGAAAGGTCTATCGAAAACATAGCATTTATGGCTTCGCAAATTAAAGGTTTGGAAGGAATAAACAACGAAATATAACGGAATGGATGGAATGTGATAGCGAAGAAAAAGGGCATCAAATGATGGATGACGATTATCCAAATAACCAGACTTATGCAAACAGTTCTAGCAAATATAGTGATGACGATGAAAATAATTGCGTCATCAAAATAAATCATCGTTCAATTTATTTTGATAACATTTTAATTGGCTGTAACTTTTTTGTTAAAAAAAAAAACAAAATTTAGGGTTAGTAGGATAAAGTCTAATACTGCGGTTGCACTTTTATTATTCAGAAAGTATACTTGAAGCACATCACTCCTTTCACGGATGCTAAATTTGCGAAAAACCATTTTAACAATAATGACTTGGAGAATAATGCAACCATCAACGTTGTTAACTAAAATTCAAAAACGAGTGGACTAAAATATAAAGTGTGTTACGTCATTGTAATCGGAATAAGGTATTCTATTCTAACACATTAATAATATACAGGATGTTAGAATTAAAAAGATACGATACAGGCTTATGTCAGAAAATTGATAGTGTTTTGTTTGATACGTCACTTGCAAAACAATTTAGCCACTAACCCTACATTTTGTTTTTTTTGTTTATCTTGACATCTCGAAAAACAAAACAGTTACAGCCAATTAAAATGTTATCACGATAAATTATTTATTACATTATTTTTAGAAACAGTCAGAAATTGACGACATTTACTTGTTTCAGCTTAGAAAAATGGAAGAAATTATAAATTGTAGAAGTTACTCTTAAAACAAGCAAAAAAAAAGTGATTTGTTTACCTAATACGTACTAATATATCCATGTATTTATGTAATACGATGTATAAATAATTAAACTTTTATTTTTTGTTCTTCTTTAGACACACGTATACGTGAGTTATTAAAAACATAAAAATACGGGTTTTCGACTCTCCGGCAAAGGCAACGGATAATCGAGGTTCTACTGTATATGTTTTCTCCTAAAATCCGAATGACGTCAGTAAATAGTCGTTTCAATAACGCCCGGTATAACGTATAGTATAAAAAAAACTTACGCTTCGATTTGTCTTCGGGCGCCAGGGCGCTGGGATAACCGGGGCCACGACGGCGAGGGCGTTTCGTGCCTTAAAAAGGAAACAACAATTAGGATCGTCGGGGGAACACCGACGGACGGGTAGGGGGCGCGTCCCCGGCCCCCCACTTCGGCACGATTTTCGTTCTTCCCATGATGTCGACGTAGACATTTAACAGACTGGATATTATGGTTTTATGTTTATTTTAATCGGACATTTATTTTCATGCGACACGAAAACACTGAGGATTTTATTTAAAAACGTCGTAGAGGGCGCGCGAGCGCTAGTTTCCCGCAAACTGTTATGCGCGGCTTTTTCGTCTGCTGTTATTTTTTTCGTGTCCCCCATCCCCTTCGCCTCTTTTTCGGAAAAATGGAAACGGAAAAATGCGTAAGCACATAAAGCGTTTAACCAGGCCGTATAGAGAAGGCCGGTGCGAAATATTAGGAGAATCGCGCAAGACATTTACCACACGACGAATATTATAATTACGTTACAGGCGTGGGGGGACAAAAGAACTACTTCGTTTTAAAGGCTTTTTTTACCAAAGACACTAAACCGCGCGAAATATCCGCCAATTTTTTTTTTCGAACCAGTTCCACATCTTTTTATGGAATCTTGAAAATTATTCAAAATTCCCCGCCATCACCGGCCTACAAGCTTACCAACGTCAACTAATAACTTTGAGGAAAATATGGCACATTAGTTTTACAAACTTTAGGGGAAAATGTACGGCTTGGCAACGCCGCATCGCGCGAGAAAGAAAAATAAGCGAACGATAAGCGGGAACCGAGATGGAAACACCTCAACCACGCCCCTTTTATATTTACTCAATGTTTTTTTTTTCAATTTGACATGGGCATAAACGCGGTTAAGCGCCTTTGGTCTGCGCAACATAGTGAAAGGAACCAGACGTTTGTTAGACATTGGGCCAATATTTCTTATACCATATCTTTTGAAACTTCAACTTCAAAAGTCCTCCGGAAATAGTTCAAAATTTGTTTTCAAAAAAACGGCAAATTAGACCAACTTTTTTTTATACGTTTATATTCAGGCAGGCCACCTTCCCACAACCTCCCACTGTGTTGTGAGGAAAAATCGAAGAGCAAATGATTTTTTTTATTGTTAAAAAGCATAATGTCTTTAGAAATAAAACTTAAAGTTAAATTTTTAAAACAATACAATTTCTCTGGCAATATGCTTCGTCTCAGGAAACTTTTAAAGCAGTCTCCAAATTTAGATAGAAAAAATTTTGGATTTGGATAATTTTGATCTAATAAAAAAAATTCAAATATTTGTTAAAGTTACCTAAAAGGATTTTTTCTGTTTTCTTCAATTTTAAGGTACTTTTTCGATATTCTCAAAATTCAAAAGTTCTATATTCTATAGATTCCAAAATTTTTAAGTAATAAATATATAAGGTTCTTAAGTCTTAAGAATAGTTTTTATATTTTTTAAGCAATTCGAAACCGGCTTTTGTGACTGCTTCTTTGAGGTTATCAGATAAGGTTATATGTAATAAATGCAAATTATTGGCTCACGTTATTAAAAAAAAAACAATTTTCTATTATAATAATATCCGAACTGCATTATTATCTTGATCACGGGAGAATGATCGTGTTGATAAATGACCAAAAATTCAATAACAAAAACGAGTTAGATTAGAAAAACACTAGTACATTTTCAGCGTGACTTTGCATTTTCGAAAACAGCAGACCCATTTCCGTTTTCCAAAAATCGGTTTTCACGAGAGGCCCGACATTTTGATACTATTACAATAGCTTTTCGATTTTCTAAAAGAAAAAATATTCAGCCCTGACACTTAACGCGGACTCCTTCCATCCTGCGCGCACTGCAATCAAATCGTAAAAAGTTGACAATACATCCTAAAATCGATATTTTTTTTACGGCTTGCGAAGAACTAAATCCGGTAGAAACATGTCTACTAAAACTACAATGCGAAAACTACGTGTCCGCCTTTCAAATGTTACTATTCAAGTAGTGACATTAGTTGAGCCGTTCGGATTTTTAAAGTCGTTGTTACAAAATTGTCAATATTCTGAAGTTGAACGTTTTTTAACATAACAGGACGGACTCCAGTCTAATTTTAAGCAAATAATGTTTGCACATATGTTGAAATTTAATTAATCCAAGTATTTCGAATAAATACGTATCACTAGGTTGCTCTCGTGAAACTTCAAAAAATTTATCTTCGTAAAATGTCGTCTAAGGCAACCCAACGCCATCTCGTTTATAAAACTTAAAAATATTCATCTATTAAAGTAGGAATCTTGAAGGAAACGCGTATCTATTGTTTACATACGGCGGAAAATTATATCGCTCTGTACAGCTACAGAATTTCCCATTGGGGATGCTAATACTAACTACTTGAGGCAATATTCGGACGGAAAAGAATTTCTAACCAACAAAAATCGTCTCTCAATAGTTTCAATAAAAAATTTTCGTATGCAAAAAAGGGCGGTCAGAATTAGTAGATATACAGCACAGTTTAAGCAAGCAAAAACCGCACATAACCTCAATCTCCTAACCCCCTCGCAGCGGGTCAACCCCGCGCGTGGCGGTCCGACCCGTCCTAGTGTCCCCCCCTGGCTACCAGAGTGTGCTCCGCCCCCCACCGTCCTGTTTGCCCCGGTCTCTGGTGGATGTCGCGCGCTCCGATAGTCGGCCGCGTAACAGCGCGGCCCCCCCGGCAGAGGGCGGTGACGGTGCGGCGCGGAGTCGCAGGGGATCGAGGCAAACAGGACGGGGGGGGGGGGGTCGGAGCACACTCGGGTAGCCACGAGGGACACTAGGACGGGCCGGACCGCCACGCGCGGGGGTTAGGATATTGAGGTTATGTGCGGTTTTTGCTTCCTTAAACGGTGCTATATATCTACTAGAATTATATCTGACGCAGGATTTACAGACTATTGTCAACCGCTATTTCAGAATCTGACATCGGTATACATACACCACACGGTATTAGAAATTCATAACTCCACAAATACCTTATCAGTTTACTCTGATAATTATAAATACCCCACTTCCTCCTCAAGCTTACTTCGAACTAGGAAATTTAAATGCACTAAAAGCGTGAAAAATTCTCTTGATCCAAGTTTACACAACTTAAAGAGTATAAGATACGAATGCTGTTACGAATGCCATCTATTATTCATGTCAAAGTACTAAACTACTGTCATGGTGGTTTAGAGTAATGCGTCGGACTGAAAATACTACAGTAGCTTGTAACGGATAACAGCACTTTATTTATTTACTATCTTCTTAAGTAAGAAAAATTCAAAGGTTAACGCCTAAATCTTTAAGGCTGCAAAAGGGGCTCGAACAATAGGTTGATTGAGAAGCCGAATTAACAGGATGTTCTACGGTTATGCTGATAGCTCATTGTGCATTAGTAGCAATGATAACTTGGATTAATAAACCAACGAAGCAAAAGATTGGATATTGGTTGGTTCATCAGACGTGATCTCAAAAAGACTGATACTGTAACATCAAAAAAAAAAAATAAACAGCAATTCGCAAAATCAACTACTGAAAAAATGCCCATGAAAAAACCAAAGCAAAGTGACGACAAAGAGGAAAAATAGAGGATGAAGTACCATAAAAAAATAAAATCAAAATGAGGACTAATAAAAATAAATTAAGGAATAGATTGAGTAAAATATATATATTTTAATTATCTGCTGCAGTCACGTAAGCAAAAATATTTTTATATGTATTATTTAATTTTTAAACTCTTGTATACGTTAAAGCATATTTTCGTATCTACATTTCTTTTATTAACATATATTTTTTCATATTACTAAGGAATATATTTTTTGCAAAATTTCGTTATCATAACATGTGTCTTTTAAAAAAACTTTTATTATTATGAGAGAACTTTATTTACACCAAGCTTTATATTATGTTTTTAAATAGAATAAATTTTATTGTATATTAAATGACTTATTAAAAAAGAAAATGGTACTTTTAGTTGATTTTTACAATATAATTATTGTTATAATAATAGTTTCATTAATCATTTTTTTATTACTATGTATTTTTAGATGTTAATTTAATAAATTTCAGTAATTTTCAACTATTCAACTCTTTGCTAATTCCAAATCAAGTCACAAATTTGCTATTTCAAATTTTAAAACCAAAACAAAATCTTACTTTAGTTATTTAGTATTATAATTGTAGATTTTACCCAATCAGACGTGTGTGTGTGTGTGTATGTATGTAATTATATATTTTCCTCTTTTGTACTTAGACGTACTGCAAACATAGTATGTATTGTAATGTAATGTAATATAATTGTAAAGTCAAAGAAATCTTCGACCTACAAAGGCTTCTTCGAAGCAACAAACCTCAAACCAGATTTATACTTTGTTTGTCAATACATAAATATATAAGTAGATATTAATACGTTTCTTTTTCGTTTTTATTTTGAATTTCGGAAAATTAGTACTGAATTTCGCAATCGACGATCTTCAAAATATATTGTGCAAACTCATTCGCCATTTTGAGTTTTCGAGGCGATTTTTTCATATATTGCCAAAATTTTACGATCCGGCGTCGGGACAAACGAACTACCGCGAACGTTCGGGAAACCGCGGCGCGCGCCTCAAACGCATCGAAGCATTTCTTATGCATCGACAGAGAATACATCGAGTGAGGAAAACATTTAATGGCCGCTCGGGACTTAATATACTAAAAAAAAAAAAAGAGCACGCCGGACTTTTCCCGCTCTTCTCTCTTGCCGCCAAGTCTTCCTCCTCCTCTTCTTTTTTCCTCTTCCTCCTGCTCCTCTTCTTCTTCTTCTTTAGACGTAGTTCAAAAAGAGAGGTGGTAGTAGAGAGAAAAAGATTAATGACAGTGAAAATTTGAATAATAACGCGTTCAAAGCGTCGCCTTGTGCTTCCTCGGCCGTCCTCTTCCCCGTTTGGGTTTCTTCGCCGGTGGCGGCTGCGGTTGCGACGGCGGCGGGGGCGCGGGCAGCGGGACGGGCGCGGGCATCGCCGCCTCCCGTTCTGCGCCGTCGGTCGCGAACGCGGCTGCGCCGTAAGGCAGCAGCGGAATGTACGCGACCGGCCCGCACGGCTGGTAAAACGGGAACGGCCCGTTCATGTGGTAATTGATGGTCGGATTGTTGTAGGTGTGGTTGTTGTATTGCTCGGTGACGATGCGCGAACGGTCGGCGCCGTAAGCGGCGAGCGGCGGCGGCGGCGGCGGTATCTCTTTCCGCTCGGCCGCCGTTTTGAACGGCGGCCGCGGCATTTTCTCGTGCTCTTGCACTTCCGCGATGCTCAGCATCGGCGTCGCCGGGTACGAGATCTCGTGTTTCGACTCCTCGACGAGCCGCTCTATGTCCTTCATCAGTATCTCGTCAAAATCGGTTTCCGGGGGCGGCGTCGGCGTCGCCGCCGCGGCCGCCGCCATCATCTTCCTCTTCTTCAGCGGCAGTTTCGTGTCGAGCTCGACGACCTTCGGCCCGTCCTCGTCCTCGTTCAGCGTGAAACCGCGAAAGTTTTCGATCAGCGCGCGGCATGATTCGAGCGACGCCGCCGCGGGGGCGGGGTCGGCGCGCGCGCGCTTCCGCGTCGACTCGCCGCCGCCGTAGTCGTCGTCGTAATCGACCTTGACGCGGACGTCTTTGACGTCGTCGTCGTCTTCTGTTGAGAGGGGCGGCGAGCACGGGATCTCGGGCACGGTGACGTTGAAACCGGAATCGTCGTCGTCGACGGAGGGCATCGGCGAGAGGGCGGCGGTTAAGTAAGGGGAGGACTCGGAGGAGGCGGCCAAGGTCAAGTTGAGGCCGACCAGGGTGCGGGCGGCCTCCTCCCGAGTCCACGCGTCCGCGACGTCGGGACGTTCGAAAGCTAACGTACCTTTGACGTCGGGCGGTGAAGCGGCCACTCGCTTCAGCTGCGAGTCGATCATCGTGAAGTGGGCGCCGCCGGGCCACGGCACGTCCTCCGCGTCGTCCCGGACCGGCTCCTTCTTGTAGTCGATGCGCACCATCTCGCCGTGTCTGAGCGCCGACGTCGTCGTCTTCTTCTTCGTGTCGTTCCGTTTCATCTTGGTCAGGTTCAGCCAACGTTCGATGCTCTTCGGGTTGCACTCGAGACGCACCTGAAAAGAACAAGATTGCTTTCGAAAAACTGTCGCTGGAAGGGGCAAGTTCGTAGTAGCGCGAATAGCGCGGTGGGCCCGCCAGTACAATGTGGCCGTACGACGCTGTTTAAAAGTTCAAATTTTCACTAAATTATATATTTTTACATGACAATTGTTTCGACAACACTGCCTGCTACTATATATAACGAAAAATAACCATAAAACCTTAATTAATGTTGTGAGAATTCAAGTTCAATAAACGAGAGGTGTCATTTGGTTAATCTCCATGGCTTCCAATAAATTCAATTTTCTACTGATTGCGACTGTATGTAAAATATCAAAATTGTCATGAAAATGGAAAAAAAAACATAAGCTTAATTTCTTTTTCATTTCATTTTTCAAAGAAACTTGCGCACGCCACTGCAATACTGTTTACAAATGTTCGGGACTCCTCCCCGCCAGTTTCAATTAAGCTTTAAAAAATCCAACAGGATGATTGGTGAAACGAAGGGATCGAGAATATTTTAAATAGTGCCATTTTTTATTGGTATGATGCATATTAAGTATTCTTAGTTTCCAGACAGAGTCCTAGGAATAGTAATTTTCATGTGGATTTTTTTGAAATATCTCGAGCAGCGTGTGTGAAAGACGAAAACCGTAAATACGAAAATTATGACCCTTGATGCGGCCTATGACACTGTTCAAACCGATTATTAATATTTTTTACGAGTTTTGATTTACGATTCATAATTTATTATTGTAGAAAAAAAAAAACAATTTTCACAATTGTACATAATCGAAAAAATGTCTGTAATAAAAGTTGTACTCCTCGACAATGACACAGGTATTGTATTTTATCTTTCCAGCTTTCTCAGTTACTTTTTACAAACCTGGCATATATTTTTTCAGAAAATGAATCTATGAAATTTGAAAATATCACAACCGCAGATGGGCCGTTTAAAGCAACAAAAACTATTTTTTCTTCGAAATAAGTCGTTTTGTGTAAGGCTGCAAACTTTTTTACTTCTTAACAAGTTTTTTTCAAAGTTATATATGCTTCGGCATCAATTTAATAATGAAAGGAAAATTTCTATATCAGGCAGCTAAGAAAATGCGCAGTAAAAAAATTGGTTTCCCGTCACTTTTTATAAATAAATAATTGATACAACTTTGAGAAAGTGAACACAAAACCAACACAAAAGTATACAAAACCTATTTAGCTAAAAACTAAACGTTTGCTGATCATTTTTGAACGGTCGCGAATAAAAAGGCTCACCTGTACGTCATCGGTCCTCAGGAGACGGTCGTCATTGACGGCGACATTGTGTTTGCTAAACGACAAAACGTTGACGCGATAGCCGAGCACATGGGTGGGCTTCAGGATGCCACGCGTCGCGCCGCCCCGGACGCCGCCCCTCGCGTTCTTCTCGACCTGCCCCACCTTCTTGATCTTCACTTTGAGGCCGGTAGGGTCGGCCGGCTCCACCTTGTGTATCGAGCGCAGCTGGAGACCGAAGTAGTTCAAACGTAACGAACCACGCTCACGCGCGGTGGAACGAAACATACATTCTGTCGGACATTGGGCTAAATTTCCTACACCATTTTTCAAAGAAACTTCCACAGGCTACGGTAACACTTTTCATAAAATTTCTGGATTCCACCTGCGTCGGTTTTTGTTGAGCCGAACTAGCTAACGTTTCGCCAACCATCCTGTTGGCTTGTTCGGAGCTTCACTGAAACTTCGCATTAGGAATCCAGAAGTTTTATTTCCTATACCATCTTTTCAAACTACCCAAAATTTGCCAGGATGGTCCCGCTAGATGATAAAACAAAATAGATCCGTGACGATTTACATCAATAGCACTCCATGTTTAAAGACAATTTATATTAATATTGATTAAATGATGTCTATTTAATATTGTTTTAATTTTTATCATTTATTATATTTCAAGGTCGTCGGTCAAGTTTGCCAAATTTAAAACTTCTAAAAAGAGTTCAACATCACGTTTGATATATATATCATATTATAAAAACTGTCCCTGATAACTACAGAATCGGAAGCTTCTTTGGTTTAAAAGCAAAAGCTAAAATAGATTTTTAATAAGAGAGAAACTGTTTTATTTATATGCTGTCAAAGTTTTTCCATTATAAATCTGAGCACTTTATGAAAGGTGATCAAAAATATAATAAATAATATCGAATTAAGTAAGAATTTCTGACATATGTCTCTCCTAAAGGAGTGCCAATCGAAACATAAGATATACAGGGTGATTGGCACTGTCCCTTACGAGAGACAAACATCAGAAATTCTTACTTGTTTTTCTGAAAAATTGACTTATTTTCCAAAAACTCCGACTTGTCTTTTAGACATTTTTACTTATTTTCCATAAATTCTGACTTGTTTTCCAGAAATCTCGACTTGTTTCCCATAAGTTTTGACTTATTTTAAAGATATACACTTGTTTTTCAGAAATTTTGACTTTTTAGAAATTCTGATTATTTTCCAGAAATCCCGACTTGTTTTTCATAAATTCTGGCATCTTTCAAATAAATTGCGCCTTGTATTTTTTGACTTATTTTGCAGAAATTCAGACTTGTCAGAAATTCTTATTTATTTTCCAGAAATGCAAATTTGTTTCTCAGAAATTTTGACTTATTCCTATTCCGGCTTATTTTCAGACTGGTGTTTCAGAAATTCTCACTTACTTTCTAGAAATTCCGACTTGTTTTTTAAAAGTTCTTACTTATTTTCCAGAAATGTTCATTTATTTCTCAGAAATTTGGACATATTTTCCAGAAATCAGGACTTATTTTGACTTACTTTAAATTTTAACGTTAATGTTTCAGAAATTCTCACTTATTTTCCAGAAATCCCTACCCGTGTTTCAGAAATTTTGACTTATTGTGCAGGAATCCCGACTTGTTCTTCAGAAATTCTGACTCTAGTAGCCCCATGTCCGACATTTCACGCGGACTCGTTCCATTCACACTCCCAACTCACCTGCTTCTTCGGGAAGAAACTGCTTGCCACCTCGACGCTGTCCAGCGGTTCGTACGCGGGCGACTGGACGTCGTCGTCGTAGAGCGAGGGGCTCGGCGGGGCCGCCGGAGTCGCGGCGGCTTCGTCGTCGGCGCCGCTGTCGAACAAATCGAAATTCTTGTCCGGGTTGACGATGTTCGTGTTCAGTTTCGTGACGGGTCCGGACCAGATGTCGTCGGCCCAGTCGCTCGCGGCTCCTCCCTCGACTGACATGTTCTCCAGCGGGGTTACGGATATGCGGGCGACACCTACGTCGGGGTCCGTCGTCCCTTCGTCCCGGACGGTGGCGTCTAGCAGGGAGGCGACGACGTGGCACACCTCTTGAGGTACGTTCGAACTACCCGGGTGCGTCGTTTCTTCTTCCGGACCGTCAGTTAGCTGAAGCGGTTTCGTATCGACGACGATGTCCACATAGTCGGAAGTGGAGACGACGCATTCGGCAGCGTACGGAGACGGCGTCTCGCCCGCCCCAGCATACTCCTGCGGCTCGGGCGACCCGGACATCCGGTACGATTGGTTGGAGGCGGGCGCCTCGATCTCCTCCTCGTTGATCATCGGGGAGAAGCTCGAATAATAGTGCGACGCGTTTTTGTAGTGCTCGTTGTCATTGATCTCCACTGATTCGAGATCCTCCTCGCCGCTACTGTGGTAGGTCCTTTCCGCGACCGCGGCACCTGTCAAAAAACCAAATTGCAGGTTTTTTTCATCGCTTCCAATATAATTTTGCAAGCACCTAGTATAAACTGCCTTTTTTTCAAACATCTCGAAATTTACCCCGGAAAATGGCAATTTTCCTAGGATTTGTCTTTTGCCCTATAAAAATCTGCAGTAGTTCAAATGTACATACGTCACGGGCGAGGTTGTAGATACTGTGCGACAATATAACACGTTATAACATGAAATATGCCCTTATTTACTAAAAACACGTCCATTGTTCGTGGCCTATTATAATTTTGACGAGTACAAACATCCGCAATAACAATAACTAATGCTGATCTGGAACCAACATTATTTTGGCAAAAATATGTTGATAAGCTGACGTCTAAATTAAGTAGCTAAGATAAAGAGGGAAAAAAACGCACCGTTGTCCCTCCTGGAAGTGCCTCCAGTGGCCTGTTCCTCAGACGGTGGCGTCAGCAAGTTGAGGAACATGCTAGAGGGCGTTCCCGGCGTTTGCTCGACCGACGACTCGGTCTGAGTCTGCGTGCTGGCCGTGCACTTGGCGGCAGTGGGCGGCGTCGCGGTCCTCGATTTGAGCCCCGCCTCTTCTGCCGCGACCAACTTCATGATGACGTAGTTGGTAGCCGGGTCATAGCATTCGCCGGTGTTGGTTGATTGATTGGCGAAGTAGGTAGGGTCGACGACGACCAGGACAGCAGCGGCGGCGGCGGTCGCATTTTCGCCGCCCCCGGCCAGATTCACCAGGGACTTGGCGGCGATCGGCACCGCGGCCGATTCTTTGGCGACATCGTCGTCGACTTGGGCCTCTTTCGTTTCATTAGCTTCGGCGACGTCGGGCGCCGCGACGACGGGTTGTTCGCAAGGGGGCGTGTCAGTTTTTATAGTCTGGAATTTATTCGATCATCTGTCGAGATTGCCCGTATAACAAAATCTAACGTTCGATAGGAAACCAGTGTTTATGGGGAAAATTGAGAAGATGGGAAATTCGATAAAACAACATATTACATAACATAACGCAAGTTATATTATTTATAAGATAGATTTCAGGTTATACAGTGTAATTATTAAACTTACCGGATCAGGTAAAGTCGGTTCATATAAGAAAGTGACTAACTGATACGAATTAAGGAAAGACCCGGGTAAGCTGTAAGAATGAAATATGGCCGAACAGGTCCGTACTTTGCTTAGAATTTAATTATTTAGGGTTTTGTTAGGAAAGATACTAAACAATATTTATTTATTTATGTATGTATTTATGTTTAAATCTAAAATAAAACTACAAATTATTTTTATTACCTACTTAAATTGCTTAAAATTATTCACTTAATATATCAGTATCACTATCGCTATCAGCGCCTGTTCTAATTATTATTTGCTTTTCCTATATGTTTAACCGAATTTGTCCAACTTTGTGGAGGGATGTTAAAAACTTCGGTTTCTATAAGTTTGAGGACATTGGAGTTAACACGGGGAAAAACAATGTTGCGACGAATGGCAGATTTCAGTTGGTGCCAAACATGTTCAATGGGAAGCCTTAGATTTTTCCTTTTGTAGGTTCAAGCTTTGTAGAACCTCAATTAATTGCTTTTTGGTATAATCTTCGTGAAAATAAATGTCGTTATTATACACGTAGTTTTGGATTGTTGCTTTTGTGTCACATGAGGAAGGGGATTTAGTCAACTGTCTACTGTGATAACTTGCATTGTCCATTACAATGACGCTATTAGGAAGAATGTTTGGAACTATGTAGTTTGTTTTTAAACCAACTTTCAAATAAATCCTTCATGCCTTCATGGTAATCCAGAGAAAAATCTTTAATATTTTTCGCAGACAGAGAAAGTCCATTTGGAATCCAACCATCTTTAGAGCCTGCATGCAAAATAGTTATTCTTTTACCTCTTTTTGATGGCCCGTTTGTTTTACACTTATCAATTGAGTCAACCCAACTCTTTTCCGGGGTATCATAAGTGTCGAACCAGGTTTCATCCAAGTAAATAATTGACTTTGTTGTTCTCTGTAAATGCTAATTCTTTCTAGACATTCCAGTCGCCATTTCCGAATTCTAAAAGATTTCATTAAAACTTCAAGTGTTCAATACACTTCCATAAGGTAGTTCTGCCACATTTAACACCGGTTTCATTTTTTTCAAGCCTCCTAATTAAGATATCTAATGTAGGCACGCTTTGTTCCTCGTATAACTAGTAAATTTAACGCCGTATTATATCTTGATCACTTTCATCTACACTCGAGAAAATGTAAGCATTGCTTTTTTTCCTCGCTGAAATGGGATTATTCACAATTTTCCAAACAGTTGATGTTGGAATTTTCGTCAAGGTGGCCGTTTCTTCTAAAGATGCTTGCTTGCTAGCACCACGTTCAATGAGAGTCAAATATACATTGTTTATAACTTCCTTAGTCTCAACATTTCAATGCAAACATCGCATAATTAGTTTAGCTTGTTAAGGTCTTAATGTATTCTATTACGCGTCACGGTACTGGTACAGTGATTAAGTTCGCGCAGAAGACAATGACGTCCACCTATACTGTTTACTAAATAATTCGACTCTGCGCAGCACAACCTTGATATCTAAATTTTATTGGTGCAAGTTAGTGACTATTATTTCAAAGGGTTATTCTTTCTTAAAATTACAATTTGAAACTATACGCAAGCCATTCTTTGTTTAGAATTGGTTAGACTGCGCCAGCAGAGAACACCAATTTTTTTGGAAATAATTTTCACTTCTTTCGTTGGTCGTAAAATATTTGTTAAATTGTGATTTTTTGGATAAATAAATAAATGACGATAAAAACTGCGTTCATAAAAATTGGTTTCCTATAAAAACCGTAGCCCAAAAAAAAAAAACAAATAACGACGTACGTGGGGCGGTGACGGTGGCGGGGGCGGAGGTGGAGGCGGCGTTTCGACGAAGTCTCGACTCTTGCCGCATTCGCAGGTCGTTGACGATTTCGCGCTCGTCATCGACGCCGCGTCGTCCAGGAAGCTGCACGCCGACAGCGAACGCGTGGCGTCTCCGTCGCGTGTCAGGTCCGGACTGGCCAGTAGCCGCTCCTCTGCCATCGTCGACGGCTCGCTGCTCGACTCTGCCTTCGAACTCGTCGTCGACACCGAGTCCATCGACTCCTCCGTCGTGACGGCCGCGCGTCGCAACTTCTCCTTCGCCTTCTTCTCCTTCATGAAGTAAGAAATCTCGATGATGTCGTCGTCGTCGTCGCCTATCAATTCTCTGACCTTGACGACGGCGCCGCCTCTGGCGCTTTCGTCGTCGCTGAGGGCCACCACGTCGTCCGGCTGGTCGTCGTCGTCGACTTCTTCTTTGATCGCGACGTCGTCGTCGCCGTCTGTGTTGCCTACGGAGAAGGCGTGGATCTCCGCGTCCCACCGTTTGTACGCGCTGTTAAAGTCAGAGTCGGACCCTCTGGGCCGCTCCCAGTCGAAGTCCTTCGTGATGTCCAGGTCGGCCACGTCGTCGAACACGGTGTCGAGCACCATCTCCCGTTTTTCGAGGTCCCGTTCCCGCGCCCTGATGTATGCGAAATAGTCGCGCGTCATCCCCGCGATCGACGTAGAGACGAGTTTCACGACGCTACGGAATATCTCGTGCGTCGCGACGTTTTTCGGTAGGTGCCCGTATAGCGAATAGAGACACCGGTCCACGGTGTCAGCTTCCTCCGGTTTGCGCACCATTTTCCACTTCTGGAATATGATGTAGCCGCGGCAGAACGCCTCGTCCGTCTGCTCCTGCTTGATCCGCGTGAGAAAATGCCTGGAAAAGAGCGACGGCGAATCAAACCGGGTCCTGGATTAGGCTCGTGACGCGCACAGAAGAACAAGAAGAATTTTTATTAACCACATATTGTCAATATAAGGTAAAATACAAAAACCAAATGTAAAAAGTATAAAAGTGTAAAGAATTTTCAATAAGCAACACTTTGATATTTATTTTGAACACCCCAAAAGCCATATCTGGCAACATATCGTACAAGTTAATACACAATAACGCGTTTTACCACAAACCGAAACTCAATTTTGCGTACTCGACGCGCGTTTCGCCAATCAAGTTGGCATCTTCAGGAGAAGATTAAAACTGTTTGGGTACAAGTTAATGTTTAAAGAATTTTTGTCTGGTGTACCATGTCTGTGCTTTGGAACTCTTATAAGATTTTTTGCACGTGTTGGATAATATGGATAATATATCAGTATGTTTGTGAATTTCTAAAAGATTATGGAGAATATACATAAAAGGCAGTGTCATTGTCTTATATGTTTTAAAATATGGAGTGCAGTGTTCAATGTGCTTAGTCCCAGCAAGAATTCTTATAGCCCTTTTCTGAATTTTGAATATTTGAACAGCATTGACAGAGTTTCCCCAGAATATTGTGCCCTATGATATGTGATATCATTAGGGCATTTTGGCCTAGGTTCTCCCTAATTTTTCTAAGGACGAATAAGCTGGAAGATAGTTTCCGCTTAAGAGATAAAATATGATCTTTCCAGTCAAGTCTACTAAGTGTAATTGTTGTATTTATCTAGCGAAAAGAATATTTTTTGAATTTTGTCGGTATTCAATTTCAAAGAATTATTTTTAAACTGATTGTTTGCATTGTTCTCCACTTCTCCAATAATTGGGACCATATAATGTAAAACTGGCATCGTACGCAGAGGTAACTTTTTTTTTCGAATTAATGAAAAAAATATGTTTCGAAAGAAATTATTTTATACAGTAAGGGTTATTCATTATATTTTTACGCCCCCGTACCGGGTTAATTTTGAAAGATATTAACTTATGGAAATGCCGCAAAAAACAAATGACAAAATGACAGCAACATCTTTTTTTCTTCTTAATGCAATGTCCTATATATTATTAGCTAACATCGTGGATCTTTTCCATTTCATTTAGCCGTTTTTGAGATATTTCAGTTTAAAAATAATCATCATTCGATTGCTGGACAAAACCCATTTTGTTTAAAAATTGTCACGTCTGGCTTGATAACAACCATATTATCTATGTTCGCAATTGTTCAATGTTCCTACTTTTAACAACTCACGAAAACTAAAGATCAGAAGTGAAATAACTTAAGATATGGATTATACTGAGGAAGAAAAACGCCAACTAATAAAATTATATAATTCAAACACTAAAAAAATCAATAATTAATGCTAAACATTTTCCACATAACCTCCATTATTTTCTATACAACAATATTTCCCTTCAATTTCCTATTAATACACGAGGTGATAAAATCAGACCATTTGATAGTTCCTTGCTTATTTATACAAAGTCAATATTTATTATTTAGATAATCGGTAACAGGGTCGGACATTATTCAATTAAATTTAAATAATTCCTAACTGGCACATTTTCTAAAAACTGTTCTATTTCTGTTGCAAGGAAACTTAAATATCGTTGGCCATTCAAGGATTCTTGTTATATAATTGGTCCGACCGCCATATTGTTCAAGATGCCACACCATACATAAATTGATGTCGGTCCTTGGATTTTGTGTGGATTATTGGTGAACCAAAAATGTTTATTCTTGTATTGTTTTCAAAATCACAGAACGACCTTATCCCTTTCAAAATACTCTCCATTACAACTAATACATTTGTCCCAGCGGTGCTTTCGCTGTTCGAAACATTTTTTATATTCATCTTTGGCTATAGCCGACAGCTCGTCCCTCGTTTTTTTCTTGACCTCTTCAATGTTGTCAAATCGCTGTACTTTCATGCCCCTTTTCATACGTGGAAATAAGAACAAGTCACACGGAGCGAGATCAGGCGAGTAAGGTGCATGGGGCAGAGGAACCACGCCATTTTTAGCCAAAAACTGCTTAACAGAAACGGCTGAAAGAACCGGTCCCCTGCCCGCCACAAATCGGGTCTTTTTTGTCGAATACCGTTGCGCAATCTTCTTAAAACTTCCAGATAAAAAGCTCGATTAACGGTCTCACCACAACCTAGCGGCAGAAAGGTGTACCATACAAGCTCTGCGCGCGGCAATTCAATTCCGGTTTTTTATGGGTACCCCCTCGTACACCTGCTGTTGAGATGTTCTATACATTTCAGTGCAAATTCGAGCTTCTGCCTTTTATGTTCATCGGTTAAATTTTGCACTGAAAGGAACTTGTACGGGTGAAACTTATGATATTTCAACATTCGTTAAATTTTACTATAGGACTTTGCGGATATTTTCTTAACGTCAGGTAAAGAATATTCAAGTTCGACTCGGCAAAAACCGACAGAACCCAGAAGTATTGGAAATTGTTTAATTACATTTTTAATGGTATTTATTGAAGAACCTCTTCCACCCAGATATATTTGTTGATATTATCTTTTTATTATGTAAATTTAAATAATGTAATTTTATTATTTGGCGTTTTTCTCCCTCAGTATAACCCATTTCCAATATCTTAAGTTATTTAACTTACTTATATAGAGCATTTTGACAACTAGTGCTCGTCGATTGTTTTTTCGTACATTTCTATTAGATAATAGAGCAAAAATCTTCAAACTTTTAAACATGTGTATTTACATTTTTTTTTCTATCTTTCAAATTTAACCCTGTAGATGGGTGTCAAAATATTACGAATAACCCAGTACTATTAGACAAAATAATCTTCTTTTTTAAAATAATTCACTGGAACTTCACCACCTCTCAAATTCCGCAGCCAGGATATCTTCCGCAGACCTACTCTTCTGCCCTCTCACCATTTGACCCGAATACTCAAGTTTTCCTCTTTTGATTGTGATAATTTCCACGTCGTGCGTTTTGGGAATTTAAATAAACGTGACAACCTCGCACGACGTGCTCAATAGGTCTTCACATAGGCAACTATTTTCAATTCCAATCACTAAATACAGTCCCCGACATTACCTACCATTCGTTTGGTCCCGACGAGCCGGAATTCAAGTGGATATTGACACATATTCACAAGAATACGAGTCAAGTTTTGCAGTGACACTTGATCCTGCAGGAGTCAAGTAAAGGAGTAAATATTGACACTATAGTGACAACTCCCTATAGCGAAACTCTGTGTAACGTAACTCTGTATTACGAACAAAATTTGTTGTACTATTAGGTCTCCATACAAAGCTATGTATTAATCCACACTGTATAACGAAGAAAAAATTTCAAGATTTGGATCGGGCAATGTTACAGTGGTTCTTAAAAATCCTATCGTAAAACTAAAAGCAGAAAAGTTTGCTGAACAGCTTGGCATTATCGATTTCGAGGCTTCGCAAGGATGGTTGGGAAGGTTCAAACATTTGCATGGTATAAATTATGGACAGATAAGTGGCGAATCACTAACAATTGGGTGGAGAAGATGTGACTAAAACTGACAGAAAAGTACCCTGCTGACGACATTTTTAATGCCGACGAAACTGATATTTTTTACAAAATGACGCCAGATAAAACTGTCAGTGTGGGTGGAAAACATTCTAAAGAACGTATAACAGTGTTAGTAGCGGCCAATATTAATGGGAGAGAAAAAAAGAAAAAAAAAACATCAAGCATTTGCCGCTCATTTACAAAGCAAACAAGTCTGCATGGATGACATCGCAAATTTTAGAAGAGAAGATACGGAAATTGGATGCAGAATTAAAGGAGATGAACATATTATGTCTCTTAGATAACTGCCCTGCAGATCCCCATATTCCAAACCTACGGAATAAAACAAAACAACAATTGTATTACAGCCGATGGACCAGAGCGTAATACGATCGAGTACGAAGACAAATTTTCCATTAATATGGTAGATGCAATCAACTTTATTAGTAAAGCTTGGAAAGAGGTGACAGCAGAAACAGCGAGTGGATAAAGCAGTTTCAAACAACAATTACTTTTACAAGTGAGGAGTTGCAAGATTTTATGGTGATAGATCAGGATTTGGCTGCAACAGCAGACTTGACAGTTACAACAAGCAAGAAAGGGAGAGGAAGAGCAGTAAGAGGAAGAAGAAGATGAACAAGTTGATCTGGGACCACCACCAACTATCCAACAAGCCCTATATTCAGTTAAGCTGCTAGAGAGATTTTTTATGTAACATGGAGAAGAGACCCGTCTCGAAGAAATGGTGAAAATACAAGCCAAAATTCGAGGTACTAAAAAAATTTAAAAGAAAATAATAGATTATTTGAAACATTAAATGTAGTTCTTAAATATTTATATAAAATGTTCCTAAGTAGATGTTAAAATACGTACATAAAATAATTAAATATTACAGAACATATATGCGTATTGTTATTTTTCAAGTACCTATACTTCTTTATAATGAAAAAAAAAAGCAGTCCCTTCAATTTCGCTATATAGAATTTCGACTGTATTTACACGGAGGCTGGCGTCTAGCAGCGATAGCGACAAGTTGAGCATCCTTTCAATCCTCTCAATCAGAGAAACTTAAACCTATGTTATCACAATTTGAGGAATTTCACAGCTGCCTTTAGATTTAGAAAAGGCTGAGAAAAAATACTTCGAAATCAATTACTAGCGAGGAAGGAATAATTGCACATGCCGGACATTTGTTTCAGCCCGGTTCGAAAAGCTGGAAATTGGTTAAAGACTTGTGTCACTCAATTAAAATATTGCTAATAATGTGATGTCTATAGTTTTTCGAATTGTTTATTGTTTTAGTAGAATGGACCCGTTCTTCACAAAAGTATCCTTTAGGAATTTGAATTCTATTTAATAGCTGAAAACAAAGAGGCTACAAGCATTTCGACAATCCAATAATACGAACCAAAATTAAATGGGACGAATTCTATTATATGAATGACACTGACAGCCAAACGGAGTTTCTTACTATGAATTTGGTGAAAATATTCGACCGCCATGCACCTGTGCGTGCCGTGAGACTGAGTAAGCCTCGTGCTCCTTGGCTAACGGAAATATTTTTATTAACCTCATCGAGGCGTGAAAAAGCGGAGTATCTTAAGTTTGTCGAGTTTCAGGATGCGTCGCCTCTGCGGAAACCTTTGAAATCTGCACGTATTATCACTCAACCAAGACTGGAGTTACCACTTAACATGCAGGATTGTGAGACGTTAAATAAACACTTTCTTGCGGTTTTTTCGGGTACACAGACTACGCGACATAACGCTTCCGATTTTCACTTTCGCTTCTCTAAATCTGACCAAATAATTCAAATGCTTCAGGGGTTAACCATATAACCCACATGGTAAATTCATGCCTCAAGAATGGTTACTTTCCAGCCTGTGTCCCATTCCTAAGGTAAGTTCTCCCGAATCTCTCAATGATATAACGCCGATTAGCTTACTACGTGGGTTGAGCAAGGTCATGGAGAGGGTCGTCTACTTACAGTTCTATAAATTTGTTCAAAGCGGCGAAGGAAATGTCAACGGCATGAAAAAGGAAAGGCTTATTTCAGTCATAAAAATACGATCCATTAATTTGGGAACACGCTGTATTACTGCGGCTACACATGTCAAAGTCGGTAAGCAACTCGACTGGCAACATAGTTTTTTCGAATTGGCGCTAGAGGCGCCGCGTTCTAACTGAACTCTCATATACATGGAGTCGCCAAAAGTGCCAAACTATTCCATGATATCCTTTACTTACCTTAGGATTTTTCTTTAACGATACCTTCAGGGCGCAATCTTTTAACATAAAATTCGAGGTTTCATACTCACGCGTAAACATGGTTGATGATGTCGCGGCACGGCTGCGATCCGGGATCGATCTGCATCTTGATCAGCACGTGCTGTATACGCTGCTGACTGGCGAGCAAGCAGTGATACAGCAGGCACTTGATGCGCCTGCAGGACCGCGCCATGATCTTTTTCATCTCCTTCTTCGGGACGACCTTCTTCTTCTGCGACGCGTTCTCGACGACGACGTCGCAGAATCGGGTCATGATCTCCTCCATGAGGTCGAGGTAGTGCGAGTCGCTCTTGCGGGCCTTGAGCCGCTTGAACGACAGCTCGATGACCTTGATGTGCTTGACCATGACGTTCTGCAGGGTCCCGGGGTCCTGCAGGTCTTTCCCTTGGAATTTGAGCTGCCTGCGGGACGGCGAGTGAAACCGTAAAAACCGAAGGGCAAAAAAAACAATTCGATTTAAATCAAAAACGGGATTTTTGCACCTTTCCAACAACGATTTTCTCTGTAACTCAAAAATTATGGAGACATTGACGTTAAAGAAACAATTATCTAGTTTAAATTTTCTCTTTGGTGATCACAAGGACCTTTTGTAAGCAAATTGTAATATTGCCCTCCATCACTTAAATTTATTTCAAATTTGATAATTTACCTGAAAAGGTTAGATTAAATCTGGGTTTCTTTCATTATTTTAAAGAAAACAATTTTTTTATCACAATAGATGTGTTTTGATAAAGTTTGAAGTTGCAACTTTATAAGAAATATTATTTCGGGCGACGCTTTTGATGATAAAGCCGTCAACGAGGTTCCAGGCAGAGCTTATTTATTGACTTATTTTATTAAATTTACAATATTAGCACTTAAAAATGGTACTTGTTTCCTCAAAAAAAAAACGCAAGTAGGTACACTATACAAACAATACATAATAACATAAAATATAAAACTTCCTTCACACACAGCTCTTCAATCCAGTTTATGAATAATGAACTTTACTATGATGGCATCCTGTGTGTCAAGTGTAATAAGTGTTACCATTAATTTTCAAAAAAATTGAGAGCCGAGTCACGAGGGGCCTTAAATTATCCATCTTTTCTTCATTATCCTTTCTATATATTATGAGTGCCTTCTTCAGAGCTACTCGAAAAAAAAACACCCCCAGAAGGAGTCGGCAATCAAAAGTTAGGAACCTAATATGTTCCTGAATTATGGCTACACAATAGGATTTAAAAAAGGATTTACGCTTCCCACAGCAGCACTAGGTCTTCGTTATCGCCAGACTGCATTCCCATTCAATTTCATTCTAGTCAACTAATCAAATAAAAATATTTAAAAAAAAATCTTAATTCTTTTGTATTCATAACACACAACATAAAAAAATCAAGAAACATTCAACAATGTTGAAATAAAGGATGAATAAAACAATCCCAGAAAGCTTTGTCTTGTATCGATCGAAATGAAATAAACCCGGCTTGATATATGACAAGAGGAAAATACTTACTCCAAGTACCACGCCATATTTTCGAGCAATTCATTCTCGCTCCGGGGCCGGATATGTTTGTTGAGCTCCTTGCGCACCTTATCGTGCCACTCGTAGATGGCCTCCTCAGGTGTCTTTTCCTCATCTGATTCACGGGACAGATTATTAAGAAACTGTGACCCCACCGTCCGGAGAGCAAACTTACCCAAGTCTATGATGTCCAGCGGCTCGTCCTTTATCACGATTATGGGGCCCGGCACCTCTAAAGCGACCGCCATCTCCAACCCTAATGCAAATCAACAACTTACAATAAAATTTGAGCGTCGAACTTTCTTCACGACGATCATTTCTAACGTTTAAAACGTAACACCGCGAGCGGCCCGTCGATAACTACGAATACGCCAAGGTCCTCCCCTGGGCCACTAGCAGAAAAATCAATACTAGAGCAGCGCGGGCACGAGCGGAAAATGAAAAGGTAATTTTTTTGGGCCGCCCGATTACTCAATGAATGTGCATCACCTGGGCAACTACATCAACCCGGATCTGGAGCTGATTTATTCCGAAAATAATCAAGTGCATGCGTGCTGCACCGGACAAACGACATACAAACGTCTCAATTGCTAATCAATAAAACTGCGAACCCTTAACCTAACATTTTGACGCTTTACAAAAAAAAACTCGCGGCGAATGCAACCTTCCTCCTACTTTTCGCGCAGCGCATATTTTTGTACAATCCTGCGACAAACAGCCGCTTTTCTTTGAATAAATTGTTCTACATCTATCGAAATGCGAAGGAACAAATAAAAAACTCCAACTATTTGCTTGGAGTACAAATAGGAATTACGTGCAGATCAGCTGAACGTAACTCTTCTTTCGCTCCCGATTTTCTACTTAAATGACACTCAATAATAAAAAGTTTACGCGATATCGAGATGCGCGACTTTTACATCCCGTGCGTTTTCCTTTTTAAACGGGCAATTACCTCAGCTCGCCGAAATCGCGTGGAAGAAACAACTCTAGACAACAAAAACGCCTATAAATAAAAGTCAAATAAAGATGGCGGCGCACCAGTTCCCACTGCAATGGATAAAATCGATAGCACCCGTTCGTCCGTCATTAATAATTTTCACGATTTCTCGTAGAGCAAATGAAGGTTTGCGCTTTAAATAACACACGTGCCACGTTTTGGATAAATAAATCGGGGTATTTAAACGCTCAAAGGCGAAAAATACATCCGATGCATTGTCCGACCTTCGTCAACACTAGACGTACGAGAATCACTGCTGCCAGCCACGGAATACTAACGTTAGTGCCAACCGTTAGAACTGTCTGGTTCGTGCCCCTAAGCCCGACAACAAAGCGATCTAACAGAACCTCAAACAAAAATTGTTTTTTATGTTAAAATGTGGTTAACATATTTTTGTATAATTTTATTCCCACATAACTCAAAAAAAAGTTACTATTTTTTTGTCGATCCCATCGAAGGTCCCATCTATACAACAGAGAGTGTAGAAAAAAATTGGGTGACTGATAAGGATAAGTGTTCCGTGGTAAAGCTGTCGGTTATTTAGAACGTATCTGTCTTTTCTGTCAAAAATTAAAAAAACTTTATTTTTTCTTTTTAAAATTTTTAAAAATAGCCCGATAATACCAAAAAACCGATTTATTTTTTATTTCTAAATACTGGCAAATATACTTTATCATGAAATGGGTTATTAGGGAACGGAGGGTCCTAGATATTTGAGATATTTTTTTTAATAAGCAAATATCTTTCAAGAGAAAATGCCGGAAATTGTTCTCGAATTTCCGAAATGACAGTCAGAGAGCGCAACTGCTGTGTTATTTTTTTTTTAATTTTTTTGTTCGATACTTTACAGGAGGGTCTTGATATTTTTAATAGCACAAAATGGTCTTTTTTGTAGACCCTTGCACATGCAATTTTTATTTTTTTTTTAAATACTTTCCAATCCCCTCCAATAGGTTCCATCACAGCTGCAAAGCTGCATATATGTGAAAAAATTTGAAGCCGATCGCTTCAAATTTCGGACACTTATCGTGTTTCATTGCAAGGTCCAAAAAACAGTCGAAAATCGCGAAAAAAAGATGGATACCTTATGGATTTCTTATAAGCTTGTGTGCCTCGCGGAGGGTGAAAAAGGACGCAAATTCTAATTTTGTAGCTCCAACGGTTCGAAAGTTATTCAGGAAAAACCAAAAGACGAGAACGGAGAACGGAGACAAAAATTTTTTTTTTTTTTTGACGGTGATCATTTGGGTACCAACGGTGATCTCATAGGAATTACCGTTACCAAGACATAAAATTTTTATACGAGCGCAGATACTTTCGAAAAATTCGATTTAATCGATTTTCGAAAGTAACAAGGCTTTCTGATGTAAGTAATTACTTAAGACAAGTTTACAAATGATTTCAGTTGCGTTGTAAAACTTTCATAGTTCCGAATATTTTTGACATTATATTATTGATATAATAATAATGATAATAATAATAATAATAATAATAACAATAATAATAATAATAACAATAATAATAATAAAAACGTTTATTTCATAAAATATATAAAAAATACAAAGTATAAATTTTAAATGATGTTAGGACGTATATAATTTTGTATCCTGGTGTTGTGTGAATGTATATATTAAATTATTTCAGAAAAATTACGACCAAGTGACAATTCCGTTAGTTGGGGGTGACGCATGCGCAAAATATCCACACCTTGTCTACGAAAATGTCATAGCCACCTGCGGCGCATCACTTTTTACCCTAGTAGGGCCGCTATATTATCTTATATGGTTGGTCAAAAAACGTTTTAAACAACATATTGCAATTGTTTACCCATAACCCTCTTCAAGGAATACCCGAATACGATATTCACTCCATTTAGTACTCAGAACACAACATAAATTTCATTGGATTTTTGAAATTATATCGGTCAATCGACACAAAAAATTTGACCGGTCAATTCCACAACCCTAGTGTTACTTTGTGGCCTTTTTTATCCGAATCTGACCGCATGAAATATCGATCCGGACCAGGCTGGCATCCAGATCGATGTCTCAAAACTTTTTCTATAATGGGTGTTATTATCGCAAAGTTAAGGAAAAAAACAAACACAATCGGATTTCCAAAAAAAGAGGAAGCAAACGCAACGGAAGTTTATTTTAGTAGCAGGGACCATTTATATCGTAATCGCCTTGCTGTTATATTTGCATTCCTCAAAAATATTCTCAGACCAGAAGCTTTTCTGGAGTGTCCATTCGATCGAGCTTCCTTTTGGGGTAGGCATCATTAAAAGATTGATGGAGTGGTACTTCAACAGAAAGATATTACGCAACGCGAAAAAATTAATTCTTTTAAAGGAACAGAAGAAGAAAATTTTGGAAAATGTCAAGGAGACCGAAACGCACTCGAGTTCCTAGTACCATAAGTCAAACAAGTCAAAACGCTTTGCGACTAAGATCTGCGGCACAGAACGCGCAAAAAGAAAATCCCATTACTCCCAATTCTGAAAGATTATCAGCAGTAACTCCGCATCCGCCTGTTAGAGACATCTTCTGTCAATATCGTTCGCTGGGTAATGGACCATCATCAAATAGACGCGCGCTTATTTGTCGAGAATGCAGTGGACATAATGGTGGCCGATTTGAAGGAGTTCGAGGAATCCCAAGACTACTTCCCCGACCTGGAAGCTTACCCGTTGTACCAGATAGCTCTGGGTCGGCTGGAAAATTTTTCTTCCCGCTGTGATAATCTGGACCACGATAATGAAGTGTTTCGTGCCTTAAAAAAGAAAGGAAACAAAAATTATGAAGAACGACTTACGGTGAAAACCTGAAATGTTGGTTATGTAAGCGAATATGAGCTATCTATGTGATATTTTTGGCGATGCGGTGTTGCCAGGTATACTCAAATGGACACTATAACATTTTTGGATTCTGCAAAACATTCTGGATCTTTTGTATGTTGAACATTTTCGGAGATAGAAATTACCTTTAAAGAACTGTCGTCTTTGACATAAATAACTTTAATCATGTTTATGTTGTGATCTTGTTAACTTGTAATTCGAAAATAAGGTTATTTTTTAAAAATCGGCAACCACGGTCTAATTACTTAATTACAAAATCTGGAGCTACTGTTCGCAGAATATCCATATATTTTTCTTCGTTCAAATTCTCATTGTTAATACAAAAATCTATTTTATTATCCATCATCAAACAAAACACGTCGAAACTAAATGTGTGTTGAAATCGCTGTTCTCGTACAAATTTTGGATTTTCTGATGACCAAAAATGGTTATTCTTTCTGTTAAAAATACCCGAGTGTCCCATTGGACGGTCATGAAGAACGACTTACGGTGAAAACCTGAAATGTTGGTTATGTAAGCGAATATGAGCTATCTATGTGATATTTTTGGCGATGCGGTGCTGCCAGGTATACTCAAATGGACACTTTATAACATTTTTGGATTCTGCAAAACATTCTGGATCTTTTGTATGTAACATGTTGAACATTTTCGGAGATAAAAATTACCTTTAAAGAAATGTCGTCTTTGACATAAATAACTTTAATCATGTTTATGTTGTGATCTTGTTAAATTGTAATTCGAAAATAAGGTTATTTTTTAAAAATCGGCAACCACGGTCTAATTACTTAATTACAAAATCTGGAGCTACTGTTCGCAGAATATCCATATATTTTTCTTCGTTCATCATCAAACAAAACACGTCGAAACTAAATGTGTGTTGAAATCGCTGTTCTCGTACAAATTTTGGATTTTCTGATGACCAAAAATGGTTATTCTTTCTGTTAAGAATACCCTCCCTCCCGTGACAATTTTGAATCGTCGGTTCAAATAATTCTTTTCAAAAAATCTCTGCGCATCATGAGGGAGAAGAGATTGTAATGAAATTATTTTGTAATTATGCATATTATGCTTCTTCAGTATAAATAAAAATAAGATATGCCCAAATCACCTTTAGTGCTTCTGGACGTTCTTGAAACACTCACCATAAATGCCAAACAAATTCAAAATATTTGCGTTTCTATAATTATGTGCCGTCTTGATTACTTTTATTCGCTTTAATTGCAATATTTTGTTTTTTCTACTTGTAACTCACAAACCAGTGAAAATAGATGTACTATAGTTCGGTAGTTTGATATTGCAAATTATCATTCTTCATAAACGTCTAATATAATACATGTTTCATTTGCAGTTTCAACGTTGACGTCGATTTCGGGTAGAACCGGCAACATTGCACACAGGGAAAATATTTTTCAATTGTAATCGACGGCCATCGTGGCAAACCCTGTATATGCGCCCCTTTTTTTTTTCGGGAACACGCTAATTCTCGACAGTTGTTTTTTTGCATTCCCTCCCAGCAACTTGCCTCAGTGTATTGAGCAAAAAATCGAAGCTAGTTATTTTTATATTGCATACTCATATAGAATCGAGTTTTTTCGCAAAGAAAGCACGAGTTGGGTTAAAAAAATAATAACGGGGAAGATAAAAAAAATTCAAAGTTCGTTAACATTTTCAACGTAGTTTTACCTTTCCCAAAACGGCGAATTTTCTAAAAATCCGACCCGACATTTAGAAACTACCATAATTGGTTTTCAACGAACTACCGCGAGCGGCCCAAACGTCTAAGCATTTCTTATGCATCGACTGAGAAAACATTAAGAGAGGAAAACATTTAACCGCCGCCAAGACCTTATATATTGAAAAAAAAAAAAAAAAAGAGTACGCCGGACTTTTCCCGCTCTTCTCTCTTGCTGCCAAGTCTTCCTCCGCCCCATCTTCTTCTTTTTTCTCCTCGTCCTCTTCTTCTTCTTCCTCTTTAGACGATGATACACAATCAGAGATGGTAGTTGAGAGAAAAACATAAATGAGAGTAAAAATGTTAATAACAGTGCGTACATAGTGCCGTTTTCTGCTTCCACGGCCATCCTCTTCCCCATTTTCTCGTGCTCCTGCACTTCTGCGATGCTCAGCATCGGCGTCGCCGGATAAGAGATCTCGGGATTTTCGAGGAGCCAATCTGTGTAGTTCATCAGCATCTGGTCGAAGTCCGTTTTCGGCGGCGCCGCCATCATCTTCCTTTTCTTCAGCGGCAGTTTCGTGTCGATCTTCGGCCCGTCATCGTCATCGTTGAGTGCACGTCGAATCGATGGGTTCGCGACGTTGGGACCTTCGAACAACAACTTGTTCAGTTGGATGACGGGTTCGGACCTGTTATCGTCGGACCAGTGGCGCGCGTTGATCATCGGAGAGAAGCTCGAGTAATAGTGCGAGGCGTTTTTGTAGTCCTCCTCGCCGTTACTCTGGTAGGTCCTTTCTTTTACCGCGGCACCTGTCAAAAAACCAACTTGCAGATGTTTACTTAGGAGGAACATCCTACACCGGTTCCAATTTCGTTTTGCGCGCACCCGGTATAGTATAAAGTGAATTTCAAATAATCTCCCAAATGTGCAGTAGTACAAATATATACCCCTCACAGGCTAGTTTGTAGATAATGTTCGACAAAAAAAAGAAACACATTATAAGATGAAATATGCCCTTATTCGTGGCCCTCTCTCCTTTTTCACAAGCAAACATCCCCAATAACGATGGTAAAGTGAGGTAACTAATGGTGATCTGGAACCAACATTATTTTGGCACAAACATGTTGACAACCTGACGTCCAAAGTAAGTAGTTAAGATAAAGTGGGAAAAAAACGAAAAGGATAAAATTACTCACAGTTGTCCATCCTCGAAGTGTGTCCTCCCATCGCTTGTTCCTCGGACGGCGACGTCATCAGGTGCAGGAACATGCTAGAGGGCGTTACCGGCGTTTGCTCGACCGACGCCTCCGTCAGCGACCGAGTTCTGGTCGTACACTTGGCAATGGGCGACGTCGCGGTTCTCGATTTGAGCCCCGCCTCTTCCGCCGCGATCAACTTCATGATGACGTAGGTGGTAGTCGACTGATTGGCGACGCCGTCGTCGACTTGGGCCTCTTTCGTTTCATTAGCGACGGCGACGTCGGGTTGTTCGTAAAGGGGCGTATCAGTTTTTATAATCTGGAATTTAGTCGATCATCGGTCGAGATTGCCCGTGTAACAAAATCTGACCTGACATTCGGTCATGTTGGGTGAAAAAATACGCGCATAGACATTGTAACCTCACCATCAGGCCCCTTATTTACAGAGCTGTAAAACTATCTCTTACAGAGGAGAGGGGGGGAAGGAGAGAGGGGGAGGGAGAGAAAGTGAGATGGGGGAGGGAGGGGTGGGGAGAGAGAGAGAGAGAGAGAGAGAGAGAGAGAGAGAGAGAGAGAGGGGTAGGAGAGAGAAAAAAAGAGGGGTAGGAGAGAGAGAAAGATAGGGGTAGGAGAGAAAGAGAGAGAGAGGAGTTATTCTTTCTTAAAATTACAATTTAAAAGTATATGCAAGCCATTCTTTGTTTAGACTTGGTTAGACTGCGCCAACAGAGAACAACAAATTTTTTGTAAATTATTTTCATGATTTGTCATTCACAAAGAGAGTTATTCTTTCACTGGTCGTAAAATATTTGCTATATTGTTGTTTTTGGCATAAGTAAATAAATGACGATAGAAACAGATTTTCTTTTTCCCTTAAAAGGCTGTAACGGCAAGATTGTGTTCACAAAGATTGGTTTCCTATAAAAAAACCGTCGCCAAAAAAAAAACAAATAACGACGTACGTGTGGCGGAGGCGGCGGCGGCGTTTCGAAGTCTCGGCACTTGTCGCACTCGCAGGTCGCCGACGATTTCGCGCTCGTCATCGACGCCGCGTCGTCCAGGAAGCTGCACGCCGACAGCGAACGCGAGGCGTCTCCGTCGCGTGTCAGGTCCGGATTGGCCAGTAGCCGCTCCTCTGTCATCGTCGACGGCTCGCTGCTCTCGACAGTTGCGCGTTGCGACTTCGCCGTCGCCTTCTTCGTCGTGTCGTACGAAACCTCGACGGTTTCGTCGTCGCTGGCCGGCACCACGTCATCGGCGTCATCTCCGACGGTTTCATCGTCGCTGAGGAGCACCACGTCGTCGCCGTCTGTGTTGCCTACGGAGAAGGCGTGGATCTCCGCGTCCCACCGTTTGTACGCGCTGCTAAAGTCAGAGTCGGACCCTCTCGGCCGCTCCCAGCCGAAGTTCTTCGCGATGTCCAGATCGGCCACGTCGTCGAACACGGTGTCCAGCGCCATCTCCCGTTTTTCCAGGTCCCGTTCCCGCGCCCTGATGTATGCGAAATAGTCGCGCGTCATCCCCGCGATCGACGTAGAGACGAGTTTCACGACGCTACGGAATATCTCGTGCGTCGCGACGTTTTTCGGTAGGTGCCCGTATAGCGAATAGAGACACCGGTCCACGGTGTCAGCTTCCTCCGGTTTGCGCACCATTTTCCACTTCTGGAATATGATGTAGCCGCGGCAGAAGGCCTCGTCCGTCTGCTCCTGCTTGATCCGCGTGAGAAAATGCCTGGAAAAGAGCGACGGCGAATCAAACCGGGTCCTGGATTAAGCTCGTGATGCGCACAGAAGAAGAACCAAATGTAAACAGTATAAAAGTATAAAAAAAACCTATTTTATAAATAACACAGTATAGTGAACAATAACAAATGTAAAGGTCAACAACACTAACACGGAGTATAAAAATTGTACAGAAAGGGTAGGATAGTACGCTATGATCTTCAAACATTTCAGTGAGCCAATGATTTTAATTTCCACACTATAGAAACAATTTTCAATAAGCAACACATATCTGTTTTGAACACCTCAAAAGCCATATGTCTGTACCTATCTGGCAGCATATTGTACAAGTTAATGTTTAAAGAATTTTTGTCTGATATACGATTTTTTGCACGTGTTGGATAATATATTAGTATGTTTGGGAATTTCTAAATGATTATGGGGAATATAGATAAAGGACAGTGTCATTATCTTATATTCTTAAAAGCTGCACGAGCGATTTCTTATTCCTTTATTTTTATCAGTGAAACTATTTATCTGACCCAAAAAATCAACAATTTAATATGTTTCAGTATGAGTTTAAATATGTCAAGGGTGCTGATCTTTTATATGCGTAGCTATGGTTAAAGAAATGAAACGTGTTATAGTGATAGTAACTAACTTGTTAGAGACTTAAATGGCAACTGTAGCCAAAGGTATGAGGACAGGAACAGGCAGAAGGCGAATTACAACGGCTCGTGATAACCACTTTATTGTGTCAACAGCTCCATGAAGTTCGAAGAGTGGCTATTAGTCAGTGGACAGTGAGAAGAAGAAAATAACCTGACCCCGAAACCCACCGCAATCATCTAAAAGCACGCCTACGCTTTGCACGGGATCATCTGAATTGGACATTGGACCAATGGCGGTCTGTTCTGCTCTGAGATGAGCCAAGAATATGCCTTTTCGGTAGTGAACGACGGAAAAAGGTGTACTGAAGACCAGGACAGCGATTTGCAGAATTCTGCAGTGAACAGCGGAACCCTTATGGAGGTGGGGTCTGCAAGATATAGGGTGCAATTTCTATGGACGCACCTATGCACCACCTCTCTATGAATTTTTATAACATTCTTAACTATTCTACATATTTACACTATATTTCAATAATTAAAATAATATAAAGTTTTTTTTTCAATCCTCTTTCACCTATATTTGATATTATAAACGCCATTCGTCCAGATAAATCGTCATTAATGTAATGACTCATACTTCAGTGTTTCACGGCATTGTGGTGTAGGCGGCGCTGGTTGGTTGACGTTTACATTTTTGATATTAAGTTATGTTGTTTGCAAAGTGTATTTATTTCTCTTCTCTAATTGAAGACTTACGTTTGAATTTTCCTTAGAGAGCAAGGTAAAGGTTTAATATTTGACCTAAAGTTATTTATAGAATACACACATAAGTAAAAAACAATTAAAACGAAATGCATCAATTTTTCACCCTTTCACCCATATTTGCATTAACTTTTTTGAAATGAAATTCGGTTAAATGTGTTTTATACTGACGCGTAAACGTAGTTGATGATGTCGCGGCAGGGCTGCGATCCGGGATCGATCTGCATCTTGATCAGCACGTGCTGTATACGCTGCTGACTGGCGAGCAAGCAGTGATACAGCAGGCACTTGATGCGCCTGCAGGACAGCGCCATGATCTTTTTCATCTCCCTCTTCGGGACGACCTTCTTCTTCTGGGACGCGTTCTCGACGACGACGTCGCAGAATCGGGTCATGATCTCCTCCATGAGGTCGAGGTAGTGCGAGTCGCTCTTGCGGGCCTTGAGCCGCTTGAACGACAGCTCGATCACCTTGATGTGCTTGATTATGACGTTCTGCAGGGTCTCGGGGTCCTGCAGGTATTTCCCTTGGAATTTGAGCTGCCTGCGGGACGGCGAGTGAAACCGCAAAGCAAAAAAAAAACAATTTAGAAATAATGTTTTACTTATTTAGGTACACGTTTCAACAAAAAATCCCGCAAACAAATACAATAGTATAAACCATAATAAATAATAAAACAAAATACCATTTCTGAAAAAGAAGAAATGACCCCCAAATGAGATATTGAGCCTACTTAGAAAAATAATAAATGTAAATTTTGAAAGAAACTGAGAGCAAGGTCACCAACCTTATAACTGTCTACCTTTCTATATTGTTTTTTGTATATATGGGCCTTGCAACTGCCTTATTCAGAGATACTGCAAGAAACCCCTCCCTGAAAAACTTGTTAATTAGAAGTTACGGACCCAACATGTTCCTGAAGTATGGCCCACACATTGACATTTAAAAAAGGCACTAGGCCGTCATTATTAGCAACCTGCATTCATATTTTAATTTAATTTCAAGGAAACTACAAATGTCTGCTACCAAAAGTTCCCCTTAAACCTTTGAATGGAATATGTAAAGACCATAGAAAACACTTCTTCGGTATGGCCATATTAGACCTTGTCCATGCATTAGATATTTTAACAATAGAAAAGCAAGTAGTCAAATAAAAATAGTTAAAAGGTGACAGTTTAAGTACAATGAAATAAAAGCAAACTTTAATTTTTGCTTGCTACTGACAACTCCTCCTACTCTTCAAACTTTATTAATGGCAGCCTTTTTCCACCACAGGTACCACTGAATTTTATATTAGGTGACAACACTGTATTTACAATTAGTTACAGGGGGAACCCGCCCAGTGTCGGCACAGTTAAGGAGTTGTGATTAACTTGCGACACCCTTATGACTTAACGGTACATATAGATGGACATAAAAGTTCATTTTAACTTTACGCTCATCTTTTAATTACTGGCAAACCTCCAGGTGGTCCTTCGGATAAAAAAAAATTCCCCAATACTCTCTCATCAAGTGTGCAAGCTTCAAATAAAGGATAAGTAAAACAACTCCAAAGCAAGGGGTGCAAAAAGTGCCTATCCTTCCTCAGAAAATTTGGCTTGTGTAGATCGAAATGAAATGAACCCGACTTCGTTAAGAGAAAAGCACTTACTCCAAGTACCACTCCATAATTTCGAGCAATTCATTCTCGCCCCGGAGAAGGATATGTTTGTTGAGCTCCTTGCGCACCTTGTCGTGCCACTCGTAGATGGCCTCCGCGGGTGTCTTCGCCTTATCTGATTCCCGCAACGTATTATTTAAAAATAATATCTCCCAATCTGTTGACCGAACTTACCCAAGTCTATGATGTCCAGCGGCTTACCTTTTATGGGGCCCGCCACCCCTAAAGCGACCGCCATCCCCAACCCAAATGCAATTTAACAACTCACAATAAAACTTGAACCTCGAAAGTTCTTCATGCCAAGCAGTCTCAATGTTAAAAACAAATGAAAAGGGCCGCCCGATTACTGTAGGGCAACACCTTTATTTATTTTATTTATTCCGAAAATAATCAAGTGCATAAGTGACGCACCCCACTAACGACATACAAAAACGTCTTAATTGATATTGATATGACTGTTATTTTGTACAATCCCTCGTCATTCGCTAAATCGGTAATTACCTCGGCTCCCGTGAAAGAAACAACTCTAGACCATAAAAAAGCCGCTTGTCATTAATTGGGTTTTAAATAATACACGTGTCACGTTTTGAACTAAATTGGGATATTTAAACAAGCAAAGGCGAAAAGTATATCCCATTATCACCGAACGTTCATCAACAATCAACATTGGACATACGAATCACTGCTGCCAGGCACGGAATGCTAACGTCACTACCAATTATTACAGCTGTGTAATTCGTGATCCGAAACCTGAAGTACACACCAAAAACAAAACGATCAACAAAACATCAAACAAAACGTGTGTTTTTTTTGTATAATTTTATTCCGATATAACTAAAAAAAAGTTACTGTTTTTTTTTTTGGTTAAAATATGCAAATTGAAATTCCCACCTCTACCTACCGTTGCACCAAGTAATCGGAGAGCATAGACAAAATTTGGTTTACTGACTAGTGTTCCGTGGTGAATCTGTCGGTAATTTAGAACACGTAGCTGCCAGAGGAGAAATTTGAAAGGTTTAACGGTCTTTCTGGTGATTGGAAGTCGTAAAAAAATTGTACAGACGTTTATGAGAATATCGGCTGAATTTGAACGCGGACGGCACACTTGTGCATCGAAAATGGTGCGTACCAAGAAGGAAGCGCTGACGCCGCGACATAGACCACCATTAGCGACTCGCAACAAAGCCATTTCCAAGGTGCTGTCTCGACCCGTTTCTTCGGCCGTGCCCGCTCCTACGGCAGCGAATATAAGGGTCGTGGTCAGGGTGCGTCCTCCGAACAACAAAGAACAAGGCGACAATTGCAGAAATGTAGTGAAAGTGGTTGACGAACAGATGCTTATATTCGATCCGAAGGAGGACGACCAGCCTTTCTTTTACCACGGCGTGCAGCAGAGGGGCCGAGATTTGAACAAGAGAGCCAACAAAGATTTAACGTTCGTGTTTGATAAAGTTTATAACAATATGTCTACAAACATGGAGGTGTTCCAAAGCACCACTCAAACTCTAATTGGCACCCTAATGGACGGATACAACTGCTCGGTGTTCGCGTACGGCGCCACGGGCGCCGGGAAAACCTTCACTATGATCGGCAGCGCCGATTCCCCAGGCATCACTTACCTAACGATGAAAGAACTATTCAAATGCAAGGACACGCTGAGCGCCGAGCGCGAATTCGAGCTGATGCTCACTTATATCGAGGTGTACAACGAACTCGTAAAGGATTTGCTGAATCCTGGGCCGCCGCTGAACCTCCGCGAGGACAGCAAATACGGGGTGATGATTCCCGGCGTCAAAGGTTACAAAATTACGAGCCCCGAAGAGTTGTTCGCCTTGCTGGAGCAAGGCAATCATCGAAGGACCCAGCATCCGACCGACGCGAACGCGGAGAGTAGCCGATCTCACGCCGTTTTCCAGGTGTACATTCAGATGACCATAAAAACCACAAGAGAAGTGAGACGTGCCAAGTTGAGCATGATCGATTTAGCCGGTAGCGAGAGGGGCTCCGCCACGGGATTTGTCGGCGCCCGATTCAAGGAAGGGGCCAACATCAACAAATCTCTACTCGCCCTCGGCAACTGCATCAACAATTTGGCGGACGGGCATCGCCACATACCCTACCGGGACTCCAAGCTGACGAGGCTGCTGAAAGACAGCCTGGGTGGTAACTGTCACACCATCATGATCGCTAACGTGTCTCCGTCGTCGATGAGCTTCGATGACACTTATAACACCCTCAAGTAAGTATTGAATTTGCGGCCCTATGTTACCTTTAAAATTTTAAAAAATGTGTGTGTGTCTTTTTTCGAAAAACTGAAAAACCAAAACCTATAGAGAAGTGAGGCAATTTTTGCATTAGGAAAAGGCCCCTAGTAGTGGAAATTGTTGTTTTTCTCTCGCAGCCAAAAAAGTACGTATAAAGTGATGTACTTTAAAAAAATGTTTTTGTATTTATTTATTAATTTAATAATTATTAATTATTTATTATTTAACTCCCCAATGAGAACCGCATCTTTATCCTAACCTAAAATATGTATATTTACCTCTACCTAAAATTAGTTTAAGTAGTCATTTGTGTGCAATATCTAGTTGTGTAAATAAGTTTCCAAAACTCCACCCTAGGTCATCTAGCATAAAAATACCATACCTACACATCGACTGTCTCTTGCAGCCAATAGTCCCTTCGTTTTGACTGTAAAAATTTATAATAAATTTCCTATCGAACTGAGGGAGATAACTAGTCAAACAAAATTCAAATGCACTCTTAAAGACAAATTGCTACTCGTCGCCTATCACAATATTTTCTTTCTTGTGTTACCTTTTAATACGTATTCGTTGTTTGTTATTGTTTATATATATTTGTTATTTATCTAACAGTATTACTTATTATTATTAATTAACTAATTATACTAAGATAATTTTATACTTTTACATTATGCTGACAATATCCAACACCTTGTAAATGAAGTCTTATGGAAATAAAGCTATCTTTATCTTTAAGCGTCACTCGAACACGCCGTTTTTCGGAGATATTTCCCACGCTTTGAATTTTGACGTTTGTCAATACTGACGGTCATGTCGGTGCCTGTATTCGTGTGGTTTTGCGAAAATGTACCAAAAAACTAACGGTCGTAGAAAAAGTGTAGTATGCAACACGTTCGGTAAACTTTTTAAGTCACTCCGCTCGTGAGTCAAATGCCGTTTACCGAATTTGTTGCCTAATATACTATTTTGGATGAAATAATAAAAAACGTAAATGGAATACAGTGGTGGAAATCATAACAGGAAGAGCCAGAAATTGCGAAACAGCTACCGATAATAAAACAGTTCCTTAGTATCAGTAGCACTTTTGGTTTGGTACAGTCAGATATAAGGAACAGTATCGGGATAGAAAAAGGGGGATAATTAGTATTTTTGTTCAAACTATACAACTAAAATGCAGATGCATACAGTGTATGTTATTATATTATTTGTCTTTTTTTTTTATTAAAGAGTCGTGTTTTACTTTTTATTTGCGAAGTTGTGGTTTTTGTGTTGGTTTCAATAAAAAAATATTTAAAAAATAGGGGCTTAATTTAAATGATGATTTTAAATTAAAAAAAAAAATCACGTGATTTGATTTTGATCAAAATCAGCCACATAATAAATAACCTTATGTATGTGTTTTGGGAATCGCCTCAGCGCAAAAATCGTTAATTTATGTAGTCTTCGCTCTTGCTCTTTTTCCATTTTTGTTTTTGTTAATGGGATTTTTCATTTGTTTTCTGGCGTTTTTGTAAACTCACCGATCTTTTTGCGGCCTCGCCTTCCCTGTAGGTATGCGACCCGCGCAAAAAAGATCAAATCGACCATCAAACGGAACGTGGTGAACGTCGACATGCACTTCGACCAGTACATAAAACTCGTCGAAGACCTGCAGACCGAGAACGCGAGCCTCAAAGCGGAAATCGCTGCGCTCAAAAGCGATCTCGATCGGGTCGCGTCGCAACTGTCCGATGGCGCACGTCCACAAGAGGAGGGGCCGCCGACGCCACCGCCCCCTTCCGATTTGCTGCCTCAAATCGAACTGCTCTTCGACGAGAAGAAGCAGATACTGGAACGCGAGTACCAAATGCGAAGCTCCGAGCTCGGCATGTCGCTGCGCAGGTAAGGGAAACGGGAACACCGCAAATAGTCTCGCCTTGCAAGGGATCTCGATGTAGCAGACGATCAAATATTGTAGATAATTGTAATTTGACAGTCGATATCTAAGATAAGTGTAATCCGAATACGAATTAGGTAAACGGTGCTTGTTTTAAAGATACAGGACGTACATCGTTTGCTAAATCCGCATAGGACATATGAATTCCTATGCATACGATCAATTGTTGTTTCCAAAAAAATATATATATTTATTTAGGACCTTAAAAATTACCAAGAAAGTTCATCCCTTCTTTAAGATTAATACACCATTCTCTTCAAATTTCCTGATGCTTGGTATTTTGTTTCTGTGCTTCTGAGATATCCGTTTGCAGTAACTCGAATATACATATATTTATTAACCTTTAAACCTAAAAAAGGTTGAATAATGTTATAAAATACGACGTTTTTTCACTAAACATTCAAAATGCCTTTTTTGTTAGCTACTATAAAATATGAAATCAATTTTTTCTACTCCCGTCTCAGCCACTTCGGACATTATCGGGATTTTACCGCACGGATTTGGGAGCAATCGGATGTTTTCGGAGATATTTCCCACGCTTTGAATTTTGACGTTTGTCAATTCTGACGGCCATGTCAGCGAATGTATTCTTGTTGTTTTGCAAAAATGTACCCAAAAACCCACGGTCGTAGAAAAAGTATAGTATGCCACACGTGCCACAACTCATCATTTGCTACCGTCTCAGGGAAACCGCGGTAGTTCAAACGTACCGCGCGCCGTAAAACGACGTGCTCTTTTTGCTTCAAGGAAACTGAAAGAGGAAACGAACCGTCGACTGAGCGACTTGCACGTCATCAGTCCCGAGAAGGACGAGGCGCACCGGCGCCTGACCCGCGTCGTCGAGCGCTTCGTCAAGAAGGAGGACGCCACCAAGAACGAGCTCGCGCTTATCCAGACGGCGAAGCGGGAAGTGGACGACAAGATCCAGGCCTACCTCGACGAGCATCCCGAGCTGAGCGCTCTCGTCGCCACCGCCAACCTAGAGATCGCCAGCGTAGATTATAAGTACAAGGTAAGCTAGCGGCGACGCCGCAACGAAGCGACCTTTATCCGACGTCGCCCGCTTTCTCGCAGTGGGAGCTGAGCCAAAAGGAGACGAAGATCCTGTGGGACGAGCACCGGAACAAGGACGCTCTCCTCGAGAAAATTTCGAGCCTGGTGAAACCGATGTACCTCAATTTGCTCGGCCGCGGCGACATCCCCAAAGCTTTCGTCGCCGAGTACGACAACCTGCTGCTCGATTTCCAAGGCAGGAAGAACATGTGCTGGGGCGACGTCGAGTCGGAGGAAGTCGCCGCCGTCGAGGGCGCCGCGCCGGGCGTCAAACGAAAGATAGGCGAGCAGCAGGGTGGCAGTAACGCCTCTCTCGACTCGACCTACTCGACGATGCCGACGGTGCCGAACAGCAGCCCCGCGGGCAAGCAGCGCGCGCCTCTCAAGACGGTCGGGGTGCACCAGCTCGTCGCGAAAGGTGGGGAGTACTTGGGCGCGGCATTTTTCGAAGTGTTGGGGGGCCTGTTCGGGGACGTGGTCGCGAGCAAAGCGAACGAACATTAAAGTTTAAGCCACGGAGGGGGTTTGTTTTCTTCTTACGCTGCTTTTTTTTTTGTTTTCGTCAGGGTTAAAGGTCGGGACTTCCAAGCGGATCGCGCACGCCACGTCGCCACGCAAGTACCCTCACGTGTCGCCGAAGATGAGGGAGAACAGGGCGCTGCCGGCGACGAGACGGCCGCCCATCGGTAGGCTCGAGACGGCCAAGACCACCTTCGTAACGAAAAGTAAGTCGGAGCGCGCGAACTGTCCTGAACGGCGATTTCGACAAGTAGTTCGAACGTCCCGGAAAAAATTCGGAGATGAAAAGCCCACGAGTAGTTCGGATGTACCGGCGTCGAAAAAAAAGTCTGTTCTCTGTAACAGACGCGCTTGATTTTTTTTCGAATCGAGCGGTTCCACGTGGGTGGTTGAAGTTTTGCCCCCGCCGCCGAAAATGGCCGTGCCGTCCAACGTCGGCGGCCATTTTTTCTTGGCGGCTTTTGGAAAATCGCCGTGAAGCCCGGCCAAGTTCGATCTCCGGTCTCTCTTGAAAAATTAATTAAAACGATTTTTTTTTTGGGTTCGCGAAAAATGTACTCTTCTCGGACGCTGTGCGGTCGAGGTAATTCTTTAATTGAAAGCCCCGCGGGACTCGAAATCTCGACCTTTCATACGATACCGTTTCGCTAAAAATGCGCAAGATATATCGGGCGTAAACACGAAAATTGTGAAAAGTATTACAGTACCCTGTGGAAATTTTTTGGAAAAATGAAAAATGTCTTGATTCAACTATTAGCCGTGACGCCGAATCGAAAATGGCAACGACCCGGTCGGTACTAGACGTGGTAGAAAAAAAATCTGTTCTCTGTAACGGACGGTCAATCGCGTATAACTTGCGAGCGGTTCCAAGTGGGGGGGTTGAAATTTTGCTCTTTTTCGCGGCTCCGCTTTCCGCGGAAGGCCGCCGAAAATGCTAACGTCGGCGGCCATCTTTTTTGGCGTTTTCTCGAAAAGCGCGACGAAGCGCTAAAAATTTTTCGGACGGGACCGGTCGAGGATGGCAGCCAAAAAAAAATCCGGAAATATCTTTAAAAATAAATTAAAAAGATCTTTTTGAGTTCAAGAAAATTTACGTTTCTCAAAAACTGTTTAAAAATGTGCAAGGTATATCGAGCGTAAAAATGAAAATTGCCTTGATTAAATGATTTCCCGTAACGCTGAATCGAAAATGGCAGAACGGTCGGTACGAAAACGGCGTCGAAAAAAAAGTCTGTTCTCTGTAACGAAGGACGGAATTTTTCGAATCGCCTGCAACTTCCGAGCGGTACCACGTGGGGTGTTGAAATTTTGCTCCTTTTCACTGCTCCGCTCGGCGGCCATCTTTTCTTGGCGATTTTTTAAATGAAATGAAAATGAATTAAAACGATTTTTTTGAGTTCACGAAACCGTTTCGTCGGAGTTGAAAAAGAATATGGTCTTGAGTAAACTATTGGCCATAATGGCGAATCTAAAATATTAAAAAACGGGGTGGGGTCATCCACACATCGGGTATTGTTTCCAGGTCAAACGAAGGCGCCGCTAGAAAGACCAGTGTTCCGTTGATAAACGACTACTCAACGCGGTGCAGCAACGACTCGTAAATATTTCATTTGTGTTTCGTTTTACTCAAAAAAAGCCTTTTGTATATTATATGCGCGATTTATTTGATATATATATATATATTTTTATATGTTTGATTTTTAAAGTTTACAAGAATAAAGTCTGATTACTTCCGCTTTTATATATCAGCCATGTACAGTATTCGCAATATCTATTATTAAATTAAATTCGTAAAACCACTCACCAAGAAAGTTTATTTAAACAATTTCACAACCCCGCTCGCTCGTAAAGAGCCAACGCCCTCGACACCGTCTGTTCGAGGTCGTCCAAGTTTGAACGGGCCCTCACTACCGGCGTCAGACGCGCCCGGTCTAAAATCACCAAAAATCCGATAACCAAAACCGCAAAAATCACGGCCGCCCCGACCATGGTCGTCTGCAACACGTACGACGGCATCATCGGGCCGCCCAAGGACGCTGCCGTCACTATCTCGCAGTGGTGATGAGCTCCGTGATAGGCCATCCTGCCGATTCTGATGACTCGATCGTTCACGCCTGCTTCGATCTCTGTGTTCGCATTCTGTGTTCGACGCTAAAAAATATTCGAAACCGTCATTTTTCCACTCCGTCTGGTTTATATATTTGGCTTGGCACGGTACGCGATCCTTTTGTCGTGAGGGAGGCCATTTGCCGCGTAGTGAGTCCATTGTGGCGGTACAACGCCAATTGAGTTAATAAAATAGGCCGGAAAGAACACATAAACGTTAACTGTTAAGCTCTTTATAAATCATCGCAATTTGCGTCAATCCGTCCGTCGTAACGGGCAACGAACCCGCGCGTCAAAAGAAGAAGAAAGCAAACAAAACCAAAACCGTTTTGTCGTTCGTAACACAATGAGCGGTCTGAATTTGCAACGGATAACGGACTTGGATATTGCGTGTCAAACTATGGCGTTCGATTTCCTCGGCAAAATATTAGCGCGGAGGCTGGACGACGGCACCGTCTTAAGAGGCCGAATAGTCGAGACGGAATGTTACCCGGGCGGCGAAGATAAGGCTTCGCATTCGCACAACGGCAGGCGCACGCCTTCCAACGAACCCATGTACATGGCCGCTGGTACCAGTTACGTGTACATGACTTATGGGATGTACCATTGCTTCAATATATCGAGCAAGGAACCGGGAGCGGCCGTGCTATTGCGCGCTTTGGAGCCTGTAGAAGGCCTCGACGTAATGCAGAGGCTTCGCAAAGGTTGCCTGGCTTAACCACTCTGTATAAGTGAATATATCTATGTCCCTTTGCAGATAGAAAGAAAAAACTCGACGATAGGCAGCTGAAAGTGGACGAATTGTGCAACGGACCATCCAAGCTTTGCATTTCGCTAAACATAACAAAAATTGAATGTAACAAACTAGATTTGACCCAAAGCGATACTCTGTGGTTAGAGCATGATCCGGAGTTCAGTGCCCGCAATATTCAAGTTGTTAAAACGTCCCGGATCGGAATCGCTTCCGCAGGAGAGGAGTGGTCGAAGAAGCCGTTAAGATTTTATATTTTGGGCAACCCGAGTGTTAGCAAACGTGACAAAAACTTGGAAACCAAACTCAACTCGGTTGATTTTTCGGACTAATCCGGTTTCGTTGTTTTGTTTATTAAACCTGTGATATTGTTTTAGTTGATTTTGTATTAATAAATTTTCGAAATAAGCTCGTTGTCATTAATTAATCGCACCAATAAGCAGTCAAGCAACATCATGGGCGAGTGTCCTTCGGTTAATATTTCAACGGAGCAAATAGCAAAGAAGAACTCTTCTTTAAGTATTATTCACTTACCAATCGCTTTTTTGCCCGTGAAATGGCGCTGTCGTCGATCCTTTTCTCTTGGATACATTTTGTTGAACATGGTGAGTCGTTTATTATTTTCGCGTTTATCTCGTCCATCGGATTATAAAATAACAAAATAAGAATGCGGCGCGGTGTTATAGCAATTGAGTGTCATGCGTAGGTTAATATTTTCGTTGCTTTTTGCAGGGTATCGACATAAATCACAAATACGACCGAAAGGTTAGACGTACGGAACCCAAAAGTCAAGATGTATATTTACGTCTTTTGGTCAAGGTATGCCGGGATTTTACCGCATTAACTACGATGGTGAATTAACGTGTTTTAGTTGTACCGCTATTTGGCTCGCCGTACAGGGGCCAAGTTCAACAAAATCGTCCTAAAAAGGTTATTCATGAGCAAGATTAACAGGCCTCCGATTTCGTTGTCTAAAGTTGTGAGGCTTATGAAGAAACCCGGCCGGGACGGACTTACTGCCGTCATTGTAGGCACGGTTACGGACGACACTAGAATCTACGAGGTGCCGAAATTATCGATTTGCGCCTTAAGAGTGACCGAAAAGGCTCGGGCAAGGATTCTGAAAGCTGGTGAGTGATTGAGGTTTTTCCGTGTATGTTGCCAATTGTCGCTATATGATGAAGCTAAATACAGATTCTTAACGAGAAAATGCTGTTTTTAATTGAGGACGTAATTCTGACACATTTTTGCTGAAGTTTCAGTTTGCCCAATAATTTTGTTTGCCGTAAAGTCCATTCGCTTCGTTGTAGGTGGGGAAGTAATAACTTTCGATCAGTTGGCTCTCAGGGCCCCTACTGGTTCGAAAACTGTTCTTCTGCAAGGCAGGAGAAACGCCAGAGAGGCGGTCAAGCACTTCGGTCCCGCTCCCGGTGTGCCGCACAGCCACACCAAGCCTTTGGTTAGATCGAAGGGCCGTAAATTCGAGCGTGCTCGCGGTCGCAGGCGCTCTTGCGGTTACAAGAAGTAGACCGTTTTTATATTTTTTAATTATATGACATAATGGTTCATAATTAAATCAATAAAACCTTGAACACGCCCATTTTTCTTTTATTTCTCGCGTTATTCCTGTGAATAGAAGGAACGGGTTAAGGTCTGTGAACGTCCGTTATCTATGGTCGTGGTAGTTCAAATGTCTCGGCGTGACGTGGTTTTTCAAACATTTGTTTTTTTAAAAAGGCGTGAGTGTTGACGTGTCTTACAATATTGCGACTCGTTTTCCGATACAAACATTAACGCGGAATGGCTTCGAACACGAAAGTGAATGTAAAGGAACGTTTTTCCGACGGCGAAATCGATCTGAGTATGTCAGATTTGGACGATGTTCCTGTCAAAGAAATCGTAAGTACGAACCGCCGGGACGCGGACGCGCGTTTAGTTAAAGATCGCAGTGGTTTTGTAGGCGGCCCTGAGAAAAACGACGAGCTTGGATTTGTCCAACAACAGGCTCACCAAATTGCCGGTGAGAAGGCGGGACGCGTGCGTTATTTCAATTTCTTAACCTCAATGTTTTAGGACAGTTTTACGGTGCTCATCAATCTAACAAAACTCGATTTGAGCAAAAACGAGCTGAAGGAATTGCCAGAAGACTTCGGCAAATTAACGAAACTGAAGCACTTGGACCTGTACAGAAACAATCTCGAGCGATTGCCTTTGAGCTTTGGGGAATTGAAAGATTTGCGATTTCTGGATTTGAAAGACAACCCTTTGGTGTCGGCGATAGCGAAAATTGCGGGCCCTTGCGTGGACCATAAAGGCTGCTTGAACTGCGCCAAGGACATTGTAGCGTTTTACCGTAAGCTCCAGAAGCAGCTGGAAGGCGAGGTAGAAATGAGGAAAAAAACGCGTCAGAAGCAAATTGAACAGGACCAGCATAAAAAGCAGGAAGAGAAAAAGAATAAGGCGAAGCAGAAACAGAAGGAAAAGCAGAAAGTGTTGAATAATGAAGTGAAAAAGAGCGTCAACTCGAAAAAAGCGTCGAAAAAGACCAAGAAAGTGGCCGACGCTGTTAGCTCTAGTAGACCCCTTTGGCGTCTGATAAAAGCAATTATATTTCTGCTTGGGGTGGCCGGGTCTGCTCTGTTTGTGTTTACGTCGGTTAAATATGAGCCTGTCAGATGGGTTGTGCCCTTCTGCTCCGAGTATTATTACGCCATTTTAAGTAAATTCCCGTCGGAATACAGGGTCTACGGCAAATCACTGGCGAACGCCACTAGCCAATTTCACGACAAAACTGGGGAGTTTGTGCTTCTGCTCGCCGATCGGGTGGGTTCGAGCGAGTTATATCGACATGTCTTAAACAGAATCAAAGAGATTTTTAGTAGTTTTGTGAAATAAATGTTTTTTTTTTTAATAAAACGCTGTGATTAAGGGTTTTTTTGTTACTAGAGACACATTTGCGCTGGTATTTACTGTTTCCTTACCGAAGTAACAGTTATCATTTTGAAAAGACGCAGACATAAGAAGCTAACCTCTAAAATGAGATAAACAAAAATCGTATCTGCGGATAATCGTTATGGAAAGCCCCGAGATCTGGGACTTTAAAGAACCCGACCATTTTTTCCAAATTCACGAACACGCAAAGATCCCGCTCGAAAAAACGAAAAGGTTTCCGTTCGCTCACTTAGTAACGGTGGTGCTTCCCGACACGTCGAAAGTGAGCTCTGACCTAACGGAAATTCTTTCGAAAGACCGCGACTATTATAAAATTTTAAATTTTCGCCCGTCCGAGATACTGAAAAACGGGTTGTTCTTGAATAATTTCGTCAGGAACGGTGAGTTGGGATTATTGTCCGTGGGTACGCGGATCGATTGTGATAACTGCTTGGCTATTACTCCAACCGGAGTACTCACTTTAGTGCTCACAAAGAGGACCTACCAAGAGGTGGGTCTTCAAGGTAGAGTGTCGCACTTTACCAAGAAATTGGGCGATCCCTACATAGTATGTATTGATTTAAAAGACGGGGCCTTGGTATCGGGAAAATCGAATTACAAGAAGCTGCAAACCGTTTTGGATAGGTTTCCGAGTTTTGACGTTATTGTATCGTGGTGCCCGCCCGACGACGAAATATGCCCGTCATCAGTAGCAAAATTTTTAGTAGACCGCGGGTACAAAGTCAAATTGTGTACGCCAAAATTTGGGAGGCACGTCACTGTCTCAAATCAAACCCCGCTTATCAAACCTCTGGACGAGAGGAAAGAAAATGGCGTTTTAGAATTTGTCGAATGGTTGGGCATGGTTTCTCTGGAAGCCGACTTGGACGGTGATGTAGAAAGTTACATAAATACTTATGAATGTCCAGAACCGAATGTAGACGCGGGTCTGACCCAAGTGCTACAGTGGCGGGGCCTCTTTTTGCCTCGGCACGTCGAAACCCTATTGGTCGCTTTGCAAAATTTAAACTCCACAAATCCAAAGCTCTGGGTGACATTATACGTGCAGGGATTTTCAGATTCGCCCGTCGGATGGAATTATGAGGAACAGCAGCATTTCATAAGCGGCGACAGCGGATATTTGATGACGTTCTGTGATTTAAAATGTTTGCTTTGTACGTTCGGTTGCTCCAAGAAGAGATTAAAATAGACACGCATCTTGGTGTTTTATTTCGTTAATCATAGAATGCGGAGAGTATTTCCTATTGAATTGGCAAGGAAACTGGTTTTAACGCGAGGTTTCATTGACTTTTTTTTCACAAAATCTGATGGCTTACTTTGATTTAAAATGTTTGGTAGTCTGACTCTCCAAATCATTAAAATAGAGATGGCGGCGTTTTATAATGGATTCCTTTGAGATATAAGTGAAATGCCCAGGGTATTTTCAATTGATTAGGCAACGCCGTGACGTCAAAAATTGTTTTCAACGCAAAATAAGATTCCAGCAACCTCTCTTGCACTGAAACTCAAAACTAACCTCTAATGTTATCCGTGGAGTATTGCGCAGAATATTTTAATGTAGCCCTTGCCGAAACACATTTAATAAGCACCAACATATAATACAGTGAAAGTATGCGCTAAAACAGTCGAAGTAAACTAAATCACAACAAACAGCGAATTGAAATAAATATAGAAGTCGGCACACACTTTATGTACACTTTAAGCGCTCCCGACGCTGCTCTTGCTTTCCCGCAGGCTGGCGGACCGGCGTCTCTTCGCCTCTTGCTTCTTCTGCTTGGTTTCCTTCTGCCTCTGCGCCAAAAGCTTCTTGTAAGCGTTCATCTCTTCCTTTCGCTTCAAGCAGCGTTTCTTCTTCAACGCGAGCCTGTGGCGTTTGCGTTGCAACACCTCGGGCGTGATCAATCTCTGCACCTTCGGCGCCTTGAACCGCGGCTTCTTCTGCTCCTTACCTTCTTTAGGCGGCAGCGGTCTCTTGACCACGTACTGTCTCACGTCGTCCTGTTTCGTCAGGTTAAACAGCTTGCGGATTTTGTTCGCTCGCTTTGGGCCCAACCGTCTAGGTATATTGGTATCCGTGAGCCCCGGTATGTCGCAGTTGCCCTTCCTCACGATAACGAGCGACAACACGCTCAAGTTGGCGTCGACGATGCAACCGCGGACCGATTTTCGCCTACGTTCTCCGTCCCTACGTGGTCGGAAACACGAATGACCCGCCGATAGCAACAGACGCACCCTACCGTTGGTCAACACGCCCTGTTTCATCGGGAAACCCTGCTTGTCGTTGCCGCCGGTTATTTTGAACACGTAGCCCCTCCACTCGTAGCCGAGCGGATCGCCCGAGATCTCGGATCCCATCCTTTTGTCGAAAAAGATCCGGATTTTGTGGTCGTCGACTATCTCGAACAGTTTCTGGCATCCCGTCGCCGGGAACGATATGTTCAGCTTCATGTCTGCGACGCGGGTGTAGATTACGAATATTAACGCGACATTTTCTCGCGACGCCGTACTTTTTGAACCGGTCGGCGTCGAAACAAATTATCGATCGAGACGCCGACGTTTTGTTGGTTGCCTGACCGTGCTGTCGTCTGCGGTTAAATCTGAACGCACGACGTAGTCGGCGTCCAGCCAATACTTATGAAGCAATTGTGAAAAAAAAATTGCGAAGGTCTATCCAACGTGAGCAAGGCCGGGATTTAATACCTCGTTTATAATGATCTTGCGGCTTTTAACAACCGACATGGCCGCTGACAGATGGCGAATAGTTTGGCGGCCGCATTTTTGTTATGTCATTGCATAAGTTTTTTCTTAAGTCTAATTAAGAAGAATGTAGGTTAAGTCAATACCTTCCATTCATTAAAAAAATAAATAAGAAAACGTGCAGTCAAACGGAGCTACTTTGACACGTTATATAACGTCCTCATTTATTAACCTAACGTTGTGATATAAATTAGATTATAACAACAAACAAAAAAAAACTAAAAATGTACTCCTCCAACCGTACTCACACAATAGAAACAGTGTCTATATGTTTGATATTTAACAAACTGGAAAATAGACTTACACAAATATTTACATGTCAATTTATTAGACAGAATTCCCTACATTTTTAGATACTCTTAAATAGCTGGGAAGGATGTTTGGAAGTGTACAAGAAAGCAATTAAACTGAAAATTTTAATTTTTACTAGAACAAGTATAAGAAATACCCCTTGTCAATTATTGTCTATAGGAGGTGCCGTAAAAATGCCGCAACCAAACATCGTCGAACTGTCAGCGGCCATGTTGTTTGTTGAAAGCCGCAAGGTCTTATGGGTCTATGCCAGAATTTATCATTAGAGCTGAAATTGGTTAAAAAAGACATTTTGAACCTTCTCATAAAAATTTTGTTCCTGTACTGTCAGCATAGGCAGGACCTCTATTTGTCTAGTAACTATATGGTCGCAGCATCAAAGAAAAGAAGGTTTTTTTTGTTAAAACACTTTTATTAAAGGCACTTTATACTGGTCGTTAAAAAAATAAATGAAACATTTTAATTGCCTTACAGTTTTAAAATTAAACAAGAACTGAAGAAAACATCCTAACCTAATTTTTTTTAATTACTTAGTACTTGTAAGATTAGAATCTGATATCAACATAAAGTAAAAGAAGGGAAAATTAAAAAAATAATAAAAACAAAAAAAATGTTCGTAGTGTTCCGTTTAACGGTACTTCCCTAATATTTTAATGTTCCATATATTTTCGTTTTTAGAGATAAAAAATAAATACGTTATTTGCCCTAATGGTTGGGTTTGATCAAATGATTGTATACTGCCATCAGTGTGTGTTGAATTTATTAATTTTTAATATGTATAGGGTTAATAGCAATAGACATTAAATTGCAAAACAATAATAAAAGTAGTATTTAACATATACCGTTCATAATAAAATGATATTTAACCATCGAAATCAATCACAATCGTTCTCCGATAACAATATTTCAAGAAAGTCCCTGCTAGTGAACGTGCATCGCGCGACAGATTCAGTTTAAATTTGGCGCCGTGACAAGAACTAGTCGCCGCGTTCCGATTGGTCGGCACCGTTGGAAAATAAACCTATGCACGTTTTGTCGGTTGCCTAACCGTACCATGGTCTGCGGACGAACGTGCCGACATTTTTTTGACCGGTCCCGGTTCGGGATGACGTCGTACCGCGACGCTTGTTCTTCCCGCGACCGAACGTCGCGGCGCGCCGTCCAGTATCCATCGCCGACGGTCGACGCTCGCAGGCGACGTCGCGGAATTGGAAAAAGCGCCGTTTATTCGATGTTTTCGCGTACGTTTTTAATCTTCGACGCTTACAGAACGACGAACATACAAGATGAAGTTTATTAGAGGTCAGTTGTTTTTTTTTTTGCGTCATACCCAGACCCCCGATTTTTCGGAAAATTTGTGCGGCGATTGCGTTGAATGGGCTGTTTTTTTTTTCGAACGCCTCCTCGACGTGATGTAAGCGCGTCTGTTTCTATTTTTATTTTTACCTCGGAGGTCACGACTAATGTAATGTTCCGGCCGCGTCTTCCTGTGTTCGTCTATCGGGTCTTATCGACGTTAAAAAGACACGCGATTCGTCTAATATGACCTTTGTGACTCTCCAAAGTCAGATTTTACGTCAGTTCATGAACTAAAAAACTTGTTTTAAAGACATTTCCGAGAATAATTTCCATGATACCACCTCAATATTATTTATTTCTAAACGCACTACCCTACCCTACAGCGATGTGCGCATGCGTGTTAAATATCTCTCGATCAACTGAGCACAATAACAAACAACATAGCCTATAAAAATAGAACTGTGTGTTTGCGTCGGACTTATTCCTGTTTTTGCGAACGGTGCACCGAAATGAAGAAGCAAATTAGATGAGAATGGCGAATTGTTGTTCTCTGTTCCATATAAACAGCAACTTCTTCTACTTTTAGTGTGCTGCCAACATGATTATGGCGCGATTTTACCGCCAAAATATGAATTTGAAGAAATTCTTACCTTTGTACATTTTGTACATAAGTTTTACGTAACGTATGTAACAGGATTGCTTTCGAAAAATCGTCGGTGGGCGGGGCAAATTGGGAGAGTGTAGCGCGGACCAGATTTAATTTCAGAAAGAAGCCAATTCGGGGATTTTGTCCGCGAGGGACAAAAGGAGACCAGTTTTCAGTTTTTTGCAAATTACCGACACACATTTTCACATTTTATCGATTTTCACTTTATGGTTTTCTTCCGCAACCATAAGAAATAAAAAAAATTATTAATTTTAGGGCAATTTTTCAAAGAAACTTCCGCGTGCTGCTTTTTATAAAACTTCTGGTTTTCTCCTGCGTCTGTTTTGTGTTGAGTCCATCTAGCTAACGTTTCGCCAATCATTCTGTAGGCAGGAGGAATCCAGAAGTTTTATAAAAAGTGATTTTAGGGAAAGATTGAGATGATATTCAATTGAACCATTTTACTATGATCACTTCATGATAGTATTAATACCGTGTTATGATTTTTTAAAATAAACATCGACACCAAAACCTTTTAGCAAAAAATATATTTCCAAATAAGAGAATCTAAATGGTTTAACCAGCTTATTGTCATCAAAAGTAACCGTATAATTATAAACTTTACGCGGATTCAAATGTGACTTTAACAAGGACTAAAATGCAAAAAAATATCTAAAACCGTTAACTCCTTGAGCAACATTCAAAATGCGGCGCTATGAGCGTGCAAACTACAACAAATACGATCTCCAATTTAACATAAACGTCGTTTCTTTTTCTTGATCTATGCTAGTGACACGCTGCTGTTTGTTCTTTGACGCAAGCGCGGCGTACGGCGAGAATCTCGCCTGTCAATTCGGCGTCACGGAACATAGAAACCGCTCCGCGTCACAGAGTAAACAATTTCGCGCGAGTTAATTGGGACATTCCGGTCCGAAATAGCGAGATATGTGCCGCGATGGGCTCCGAATCGTAGATTTACATCGACTATTTTTAGACGCTGCGCTCGAAATAGCCGATGCGCCCATTAAAACCGCCGAAAGAGCAAAAAAAAAGCGCCCGAAAACAAAAACCGTTGGCACCACAACAAATCGTGTGCCCCCGACCTCCCGACTCAGGTGCAAGGTAGGGGGTCACGTCGTATACGAGGAACGATAGAAAAATCGCTCGATATCTACGAATTTCTTCGTTCTAGCCGTCCCGAACCCCGACAAATTGCCTCCCAGGTTCCGCGACGACGCGTCGCAGTGCGTGACGTTTGCGGCAAACTCGAACGCCATCCTCAAGGCCGAACTGCACGATCTGCCCGAAGGAACGGAATTTTCTTGGTAAGTGACGCGCGGCCGTGACGTCAGGCGATACTTCCGCGGCGACCACAGATGACTTCTTCTTCGTACGTTTCACAAACAGATGGGCGATTTCTATGATCATTCGCTCAACCATAGATAAGAGGGGCTTGGGCGCGAGAGAAAAGCTGGGCCGTCGGGCGTGTTACTGTGGTATCGTAGCGAAATAACGATACTTTCGATTCGAAATTATAATTAACCGGGCGCGCTCTCTGGCCGGATTTAAATATAAATATGATTCTGTTTTCAGTTATCTTTAAAAATAAGTCGCAAGGTCCCGGGGCCTCATACGCTTCGGTCAGGCCGGAGTACGAACCGGTTATTGCGCGATTTTCCCTTAAAAAAACCAATAAGGGAATTGTAGAGTATTATATAAAGTAAAGGAAGTGGGAGAATGTAACGGTGGGAGACAGAAGACATTTAGGAAAAAAAAGATGGCAAATAATCACGACCAAAATTATTTTATTCCTCTTTGAATTGGATTTGATTGATTTGAACTACTGGAAGCGAAGTTCTTATTGTAGGGAAAAAATGCAAAAGGAAAAAAACCCTTTGGTAATATATCTATACAATTTATCGTGGTTTTGGAGTTTTCGGCCATTTTTCCGAAATATGCCGCAAAACCTAAACACGTACATACATATCAAAAAAATGGGTAAGTTGTCTATCCTGCTACAGATAACGACGGGAATTGGAGATGTCTGCGACTTGGGTTTTTTATGTTTGGTTGGTTGACGTCTCAAAGGGATAAAATAATTCTTGCTGTGGAAATGATACGTTTTAAAATTTTAGCATGGACGTAATGTGGTCATAGATGGCAGAATTGCTAGTTGGTGCACCCATAGTAATTTTTCGTGCCTTGTTGCGAAATTTTTCCCTATAACAAACGTTTTTTTTTTAATCACTGCAGCTGTTACTGTTGTATAAGTAAAAAATATATTAAAAAGAACACACAATCGGCTATTACGTAACCAAATTTTAATAAAGGCAAAATAAATGTATTTTCCATATCAACATACTTGTGTAAAAATTTGTTTTCATATTAGTTTATTGACTTGCAACTTGCATTATGAAAAATTATGCGCCGGTTAATAGATTCTTGACGTCGGTGGATGCGCGGGCCCGTCCGCGGAATCCGGCCAGTAGCGGTCGGTCGTGGGCGGCGTCGCGACGGCGACGCCCGCCTTTTTTACCGTTTTTCCC